AGTTTAGTTACCGTAATCCAAAGCTACCGTAATCCAGAGCTACCGTAGTTTAATAGAAATATCGTAATCGTTAGAAAAGCGTGAGAGAACCAAGCACTAAAGGTATAAAACGTTAAAATGATCAAGAAAATGGCGCAAATTGGGCATGTCACTGAAAAATGACATGTCTACTGACCACAGACAAGCTTTACCCACCCATTCCAATATTTGTTTTCAAGTTTTTTTTGGCTTCTTGGATCTGAATCTGGCCAGACTGAAGTCTTTTTGGCCAATTCTCTTGCAAAGAAAAATGACAGCCGTCGGAAAGCGCGCGGAAACACGGCGGACATTGCCATCCTCTCCACTTTCCGTAACGAAAAAAACATCAATCACGATGCCGGCTTGATCAAATAGTGTCAAAAATGTGATTGAGAAGCTTTACGCCAAGTTGTGGGTAAATGAAAAGCTCAAAACAAGATTCAATAACTCAAAACAAGTCAATAACACAAAACAATTCAATAACACAAAACAATTCAATGCATTTCTTGAGGAATTGAGATGCTTGAGTTGTCCAATCAAATAGTGCCAAAAAATGCGAGTTTTAAGAAATTGACAATTAGTAAATTAACTTAGAAATACTGAATACTTGAAGTACTGTAGCACTACAGTAAGCAAACAACACCCAACCAACCCCCACAACAACCAACACCCAAAAAACCCCCCCCCACCAAAAGCCTGAGAACTGAGAAAAAAAAATATTAGACCAGAACTATAGAAAGCGTGTGCTTTAAAATCTCCCGAAACTGAATACAGCTGATGCTTTTAAGACGAGCTGATGAGAAACACGTAGCAATCGCGCGATCGCACTCACGCATTGACCTTGACGATGAAGGCACATCCCTTGTTTGTCCAGAATGGCATATCCCTTGTTTGTCATCCTATAAAAAAATGAATAAACTTGAAACAAAGTAAAATAACAAAGTAAAACAACAAAGAAACTAATAAAAACAATCACAGAGAATAGGTTAAAAATAAATTTGTCTCCCAAAATTGAAACTTTGAGGAATTTAGGCTGCCGAAAACCCCGCAACGATAACGATAACGATTCTGGTCACCCTGTAAATAAGAAATAGTTTGAATTTTTTTGATTTAGATGTACAAAAATGATGTTGATTGATGAATTTGTATGTCGTAGCTTGAAAAAAACCAAAACATAGCCAAAAAATTGAAATGAAAATGCGGGGATCAGCTGAATCGGCGCCGCGGATAAGCCGAGAGCTGTATTGGACAACGATTTTTAGCCATTTCTCACTAAAAATCGCAATTTGTCATGTAGAAGAGCAAAAAAAAAATAATGGAATTTGAAAGAAACTCTCAGTTGAAGAAAAAGAAAAGGAAGAAAAAAGAAAAAAAAAAAGTGGTACTTTTCCAATATCGGGGGAACGAAAGGAAAATCGGGGAAGCAAATTTTGGCAGCGCTACATATGTCCTATATTATACAAACTATCACCATAAAATTCGCGAATTACCCGTTATTCTCACAACCTTTATACAGTCATGGACAAAAGTCTTGGCGGGTCCTGGGTGGCAACCTTCAAACGCAAATTTAGGAACCTTCCCGAGAGGCTATAAAAAAGTTGTCACAAGTATTTTTGAGCATTTTTACTCTACTTTTAGCTATGACCAAGCATTGAACTCGAAAGTTTATTTTAGACAACAAAAATAAGCGTCAAAGACAAAAAGGTCACAAAAACAATGGACAAAAGTCTTGGCGGCACATACATAGAGGCGAAAAATTCAATATTTTGTAGGTCCGCCTTTAGCTGCAATGACCGCTTCACCACCAAAGTTCACCGTCGGACGCAAGTATTTAGAGTCTCTTTCGAGTAACTACGGTGAACTTTGGTGGTGAAGCGGTCATGGTATGGGGTAAGAGACTCTCTCTTGTTATGTATATTAATCTTGTTTTTGACTGTATTAGATCACAAAAGTGACTTAAATATCTAACACCCAGCGAAATAGATCTTTTCCCTTTGAGCGGACTTTCATCGATTCGCCACAGTTGCAAATCCACGACTGAATGACTTCTTTGGTGACGAAATAATCGATTGCCGTCGAAATAATCGATTATCGATTATGAACGCACAAATATCGGAGAAGAGCATCGTCGTTAAAGTTTAAAAAAAACGTTGCAGTTAAAATACAGTCCCGGAAATGCATTTTTCGAATTTTTCGAGGGGGCAAAATTTGCTCCCCCGATTTTCCTTCGCTCCCTAGATAATCCTTCCGCTCCCCGATATTGGAAAAGTACCAGAAAAGTTAAATTTGTACTTACCGTAAATACCGTAATAGTACCCCCATAATGACGGTGCGGAGTGTTGCGTAGTCTAGCTTTGAACGAGTTTTTCTCGACACTGGTTTATGCTACAATGCGCGCTTTGGTATCAAAAAATAGCTGAGATCAGGGTATTTGATACCAAGCGCATTGTAGCATAAAGCAGCGCAGAGCGGATGTTTAAAGTTAGACTACGCAACCATCCCAAAAACGCTTTTCTCGACACTGGTTTATGCTACATTTGGTATCAAAAAATAGCTGAAATTCAGGGCTATTTTTTGATACCAAAGACGCATTTTTTGAAAGTACGGACGCTTTGAAAAAAATGAAATACTAAAAAACTTTTGCGACTACGCGACTGTACGAGGAGGGTGGGGTACTATGACAGCAGAATTTAGGATAATGCTATAAATTAAACTAATTTGTGGGGGTGGAACAAATGCTACCTTTTTTTTGCGCACCTGGACATTTGCGCACCTTTTTTTTGCTGGCAAGGCCGTAGAGCTTCGAAAATATTTCCAGTTAAGGGAATCGTATGCGTAGATTCAGAATTTCGACAAATCAGACCTCGCTGACACGTCAGATTTGGGCTAAAAGGCAAAAACTACGCAACTAACGCTTTTCCGCAGCGCCTTAGCCCAAATTTGACGTGTCAGCGAGGTCTGATTTGTCGATATTCGGAATCTACGCATACAATTCCCTTCTATGAAAACGTTTTTGAAGCTCTACGACTTTTCCTAAGGCCTTTTCCAGCAAAAAAAAGGTGCGCAAATGTCCAGGTGCGTCGCATTTGTCCCACTCCCAAAATTCGCATATCTCATTTTCTACAAATCTCCGCTTTCTTCGATAATATTTTTGCGCTCATCGGGCAGCAATTTTGGCTTGGTTGTAGTGGAAACCTCGCAAAATTTGTTGAATTGATCCAAACAACTACATAGAAATTTGTATCTACGTGACGTGTACAACTTTCGATATTCGGCGCGATGTAGACAAAGCTTTTTCAGCTTAGGACCATTCAAGTCATCGGATTTGAAGGACTTTTCGAAACCAAGTCGAGTTGACAGATCTTCAAAATTTTTCTTAGCTGTCGCATTGTTATCCATCTCGTCTTTCATAGCTTTAAAAATAAAGTTCCCAAAACCAAGTTTTAGATGCAGAATCGGTAGCACACATTGTCTAGGCTCAATTTTCCGAACGTATGAGCGAAGCACTCCTTTTCGACTGTCAGAATCGGGAGCAACAAGGCAGGCATCCAATGACTTCAAGGTTCTTTTGGAATAGGTATTTTGATCGAGAGGATACTTCTGTCCAGGTACTTTTCTCTTCTTATCTGCTCGAAATTCGCACCAAACACATGGAAATGATGAAGCGTTTGAAAGGCCATATGCTGATGCCAAAAAATTTAAATCTCCACCCAAAAAAATCTGCAAACCTAATGGTAATAACTCGTCATAAATTGTATTAAGTTTTTGCAAGTTTTGGTTGTTGTCATATCCGAACCAAACAGCTATAATAAACTGATTGTAGCAGGATTGTGGTTTTTCACCCTTGTCCGGGAGCATTAAAGTCAACTTTGTTGTATCAGCTCCTTTGTCACACATTAGCACTATCCTTTTCTTTTCACTGTCTTCTACGCGAGAAAGCCTGAATTGAACAGCTTGAAGCACATTCTTTAATTTGATAATCCCTCCAGTGAACACATATTCAACGTTAGACCGAAAGCTCTTCTTTAACTCTTGTAGACGATACTCACATTGGAAAAATTCCTGTGGCCTTTCCATATGCTCTGTGTGCATCTCTCGTCACTTTAGATTTAGCAAAAAGTGCCAACGTTTGAATTGGAGAAATAGGCGATATGATTGCCAAACCATGCTGCGAAGACAGATTTCTTTGCCAATATCGTTTACGAATGTTGTTGGCGATATGAAGAGGTAAAGCTTGTCGAGAATGAGCTGATCGCTTCATTTGTTGCTTGAGAGCCTTGGCCAATCTCACTTTTCGCATTTTTTCCTTGTTGAATTTTCGATCGTTTTCTGCTGATATCCTGATGCGATAAGCTTCTTTCCCCGTTTTCCGTTTCTTGTTGATTTGAGGCATTTCTCTACCTGTAAAATACAAATCATTAGTTGGAAACAAAATTATGTAAACAATAAAAAAAGAGCAAAAGTTTTGATCAGAAGTGAAGAAAATGAAAACACATTTGTTTGTTTTAAAATTTTTTTTTGTAATGGTTATGGTAGTTTACCCACGCTTTAGCGCGCAGAAAGTTGAAAAACGCTACTTTTGCGTTCAAAAGGCATCAACTTTTCACAAATTCACCCAATTGATCTCGTTTTGGTGTCAAAATGTGCACAAGACCCTTGAGCATAAAGTTTGGTATATGACGCTCACCAAAATTTCCTTTTCGCCGAGAACCAGCCTGTAAAAGAGAGGCAATTTTGGCGTTTATATGGAAAAATAGTGATTTTTTCGATTTTTTTTGATTTTTAAAAAATCTGTCAGACGGATTCGAAAAATTCTTTCAAATTTGAATTCAGGACATTTTTTCGCATCGAATAGCACTTACCGTGAGCAAGTTTAACGGCGATCGCATTTTCGCGCGGATGTGCACCCCCCTAATTTGTATTTAACATTTGTCTCGAAAAGTGTTCCCTACAATTTCATTTTCATTTTCTTTCTCTCGTTTATGAGAGGTTCGTTTTCTCTTACGTTTCATTTTTTTTTATTTAAAATAACTTGTTTTTTATTTAGCTTTCTACTTGTTATCGATTTTCTTATTGGGATTGGCGATTGATGTGGATGAGAAATTGAATAAAACGGTGAATCGATCGAGACGAAAAACGGAAGGTGAGTACTTTTTATGGCATTCTTTCTTTTTTTCTTAAAAAGTTCTTCTTGAAAAAGAATAGAGCGCATGAAATAAGACAAAAAAATCGTTTTCTGGTGAATTTTGACGTGTGATACGTCATTCGCTTTCCGGACAAAAAGCCCTCGAGCTAAATTTTATATATTTTTTTGCTATTTTGCCGAAATTTCGTGCTTTTTAGCTATTTTTCTTTATTTCCATCATCTTTATGACAGTTTCGGGCTTCTTTCTATTCGCCATGACAGCCATTTACGCACTTACAATCATAAAAAAATGTTCGTAATAGATGGAATTTTTATAAATTTCGAGCCGTTCTTTTGCTTTTGCTTTTTTTCTGCATTTTGTGACACGAAATGTAAAAGTGCTAGTGTTAATTTTTCGAAAATCTGTCGATGGAACTTGAAAAATTTTTACAGTCTCGTGATCAGCGCATTTTTTTTTGAGTTTAATGACGTCACACATTAAAATTCACCAGAAAACGGTGTTTTGTGCGGATGCGCGCTAGAATAGTTGGGGGCAGTCTGGAACTTGACCCAAAATCAATATTTTTTTACGAAAACTTGCACACAGGGGTTTTTGACTATGTTGAATCGACTAGTAATACTTTTATAACTTTTTTAAATTAATTATGTTTTATTTTAAGATAGGTAAACGAGGCCACTAAGTTAGCAAGTTGAAGTTGTGCAGGTCCAAACGTGAAGCGGCGGCGGCCATTCTGTAAAAATACATACTATCAAAGGGAAGAGCAACAAAAATAAACTGTTTGTTGCTTGGTGTTGCGTAAAAAAAACTCCCTGGTAGGTTAGGACCTATTTTTCGGCAAATTACCCGTATTCAAGTTTTTACTAAAAATTTTATTAATTAATAGCTGTAAAAATATTAATTAATATAATAAAAAAGTTGTAAGAGTATTACTAATCGATTCAGCATACTCAAAAACCCCTGTGTTCAAGTTTTCGTGGAAAAATATTGATTTTGGGTCAAGTTCCAGACTGGCCCCTCCAACTAATCTAGCCCCAAGAATAGCCTAACCAAATGTCATAAAGCTTTTCTTGTTTAGATTTTCGAAAGACGGTCGGCGATGAGGATTGGGTGCCGTCGCTTGATCTTTACGAGAGATTCAATCAGGTATACTTTTGATTTTTACTAAATCTTCTACATAACCATTAGTACAGTCGACTCTCGATATAACGATTTGCTCGAGACCGGCGCTTGAAATCGTTAGATCGAAACAAATAAATCAAGGTTTTTCAGCCAAATCGTTATATCAAGCTATTATAACGTATTTACCAAAAGTAGTATATAAATAACAAGCGATTAAGAAACAATCAAAGCGTATTGAAAAAAAACTATTAACCGGTTTGCCGAGTATTAAGTTAGTGACGAGTAAACAAAGTCTGATCGTAAAAAACCATCCATAACCGTAAAACTTTAACAATTTTTGAGTCAGCCTTCAGTTTGGGGCACTTGAAAAAAACGATATGCTTCTTCGGGAGAAACTGACGTGATTTCGATCACTTTTTCATTCTCGTTTTCAGATGATAAAGAATTTGATCGAATCGCAACAGCTGCCAGTTCGTAAACCGAATGTGGCCAAATTTTCATCGGCAAAAACAAATATTCAGCTGCATCAATTGATTGAACTACATCTCCAGACGCAATCAATTGCTTTCAAACTTGGTTCAGTTCATCTCCGAAAGCGTCTTTATGTGCTTGAGTGTCATAATGACAGCATCTTCAAGATCCGCATGTTTACTTGCCCTCAAATGTGCCCTTTTTGTTTCACTTCCTTCGTTGATCGCATTCAAAATCATCGAACTCTTGCCAATAATCGTAGAAATGGTCGGTTGTGGCAGCCCAAAATGCTTTGCCAATTCGTTCGGTCCTTTTAAACCCGAGAAGTCGATTATTTCCTTCTTCAGGTCTAAATTGATTCGCCTTCTCTTCGTTTTTGCTTTTTCTATTACCTGGGTTAAAGATATTCAATTGAAAAAAGTAATCTTTGTTGAATTTTGAGATGAAAAACGTTATATCGAATACAAATTTTCACATTGTTATATCGAGAGTCGACTGTAAATCTAAATTTCTAAACTAGCTTCTACTTTTCAGGCAGGCAAGGGTTTGAAAGAAGTGAAAGAGGACGTTTTGGAGGCTTTCCGATGGGATATCGATTGTCCGTTTCTCAATGAAGTTGATCTACAATTGCGGTTGGTGCTTTTTTTAATGCTGCATAGCAAAATGCTTTGATTCATCAACATTTAGCATTTGTTTTAGGCAACGCCAAGGACGATGTGCACCAGACCTACCTGCAGAAGAGTAGCTTTTCTTGCAATTTTTCCAAAACCTTTGCTTGGAATGCTTTTGCAACCAGGCTGTTTGATTTTCCTGACAAGCCAATTGTTAGCTTTTACCCTGGCTTGGCTATTAAATTTTTGGCGTAACCTGGTTTGCAACGAATCAATATTTTTGCAATTTTATTTCTTTTTTTCTAGGGACGCTCAATTCTCGAACTCGTCTCTCAGAGAGATGCGCAATAAAGTGAAAGAGCGACACGAGAAGCATAAAAGGAAACGCCTTTTCCTCATACAGGACACAAAGAAACATGTTTGTTTTTAAAATTTAGTTAATTTTTAAGTTTAAATGTTGTTAGTTCAAATGTTACTCGTTTAGCTTCTGAATTTTGCCTCATTTGGGAAACTTCGAACACCTCCGAAAACGGTGAGCTTTTCCCAGTATTTGCTAGAATTTGACCGTTTCTGCCCAAATTTTCTAATTGTTTTAATTATTTTTATCCAAAATCTATTCTAGACCATGTACCACTGCAAATATGTGCTAAATTTTGATAGTTTTAGGTTAAAGAAACGGGTGGAAAGTTCTTGATCATCGATGGACATTGGCTAACGCTGCGATGCCCGCTTGGTGGCAATGAGACGACAAAAATTGAGGCAAGTTTAGGGATTCTACATCAGCTTTATGCAAATTTTAGAAAATAAACCTTTTATCGTTAAGAGATACTTTATTTCAATAATAAAGCGTAAAAATTTTATGATAAGCAGCAGAAAAAAAATTATAATATTAATTTTTGCAGCAATGCTCAATCGGTTCCAATAAAACAAGCCCGACTACATGCTCAAAGCCTAGAGTAGGTTTTGAATCTTATTTTTTTATTGATTTTTTTAGAAGCAAAGTGATACCGAACAACACGCCACCTGGATTGTCAATGGGAATACGGTCGAGTACAGGCATTACGAGTGGAGATTGAAAGTCGATCGAGATTTATTTGAAGTGAGAACTTTCAATGTTTCAATGTTAATTTGTTGTCTTCAGGTATTCCCGGTAGTTCTCAATGATTCGGGGATTTTCGAGTGCTGGTTTGAGGGGCAAATGCGCGGCTTCGTCGAAGTCGAAGTGATCTCACACTGGGTAATATAGCTTTAATTGTTAAGAACAGCTAGGTTTTTAATTCAAAGCTTGAGTTAGCAAAAAATATCTGGGTTTCTTGATTTGTAGAATGTTTGAATAGTACCAAAATTTCTTTAGGAGTTGATTCGACGCGGGATGGCCAACTACGGAAAAGTAAACGTTGTCTACTTGCTGATGTTCGTGACGATACTGTTTCACGTTTGGAGACGACCGGAAAGGGTGGGGTTTAGATAAAATTAGAAATAAATTATCTAGTAATCTTTGAAACCTTATTTTAATAGTTGCTTTTAGGTATTCAAAAAAAGTCAGCCGCAGAAATGGTCGGACGCTTATTTGGGGCACAAATTGAACGACAATGTGGAAAGAGCAAAGGTTTGAACTTTGATTTTTGGCTCATTGAGCTCGTAGAGTGCCGTTGGAATGCGATTTTTTCATTTTAGGAGAATGTTGCGAGGAAATATTATGGTGACGATCTCGAGAAACAAAAGGAAATGCTCAAAAACAAAGAATTCACGGCAAGGGGTGATTTTGTTTGGATTTTGCGACAAAACCGAGCGCATACCGTAGATCCAGACAAAATTTTTGATTTTCTCTGATTTGTCAACCTTTATATGTTAATTTGTTTCATCAACTGTCAACTCTTAGCCATCAAAATCTTAAACATTTCCCGGACTATAGAATTCTTTAAATAACAAATCTAAACTGTAGCTTATTGAAATCGAAAAGTGGATAAAAAGTACCCATTTTTAAGCTCTTTGAAAATTTCGTACTATAGCTAGGGAAAGAAATAGAATTTTTGTTTTTAGAAACCGCAGCGATGAATCGACAAATCTTGCAAACGATCCTCGATGGATGTCAAAATTCGACCTAATCCTTAAATTATTTATCTTTTATATGTGCATTTGTTTCATTGTTTTCATGTGTGTGAATCTATTTCTGTTTCTAATTTCTATTTCACTTAAGAATTTCTTTATTCGTACAAAGAGGAAATCAATTTTCAGGGGTAAAGCTTTTCGGGGGGAAATTTTGAGATCAGCGATGAGAAAGTGGAAATGGAAATTTGAACTAACAAAATGGAATTGGAAATGGAATAATGCAAATTATGTGAAAATATTAAAATAGATATGTACAAGGCTAGGGGCAGAACTTGTCCTGTACTCAGTACCCTACATAGTCGGACGTACAGTACTTGGCCAGATAAGACAGGGTACTGTAGGTCAGGAAATCATGGCTCTTTGCCAGGAAAGGGCTCTTGCAGTAAGTACAGTACCGTACACCGGAGCCTTTGGCCATGAATACAGTACTTAACTATCGATCCACTTCATCCAGGCTTCGTCGAATTTCTCGTCACTCGGATCCACCGGATCCTTTTGCTCGAGCATTTCCACACGAGGTCGCGGTCTTTGCGTGGTACCTGGAATTTCGTTTTTTAATGGGGTTTCACCTGGAATTACCTGGAATTTTAATGTTTAAACTAAGCTCTAGCCTAAAAGTCGACTTTAGAGTACGGTAGCTAAGCGCATCTTTTAGAAAACGAATTACTCACAGTAAGTCTCAAATTTCATAACGAAATCGAGATCTTTAGATCTTTAAATCTTTAGATATAATAAACTAACAATAAAATTGAATACTATAGCAAAAACAAACCGGTAAACTGGTAGGGAAATTGGCGGAAACGAATCGATTCCTCTAGAACGACGTTGATTCCGATGAAAATCTCCTCGGACGCCGGGATCAACAATGATTTCTCGAGAATGAAACCGTATTCTGAAAGTGATGATGTAAGAAAGGTTTACTGTAGCTTACTGTAGCTTACTGTAGCTTACTGTAGCTTACTGTAGCTTGCTGGAGCTTACTGAAGCTTACTGTAGCTTGTTGGAGCTTACTGAAGCTTACTGTAGCTTACTGTAGCTTAAAGGATTCGTTTCCTAAGCAGTGGCTACTTTCAAAAGCTGTCACAAACTTTGTACTCACCTTTAGTCAATGGTCGAACCTCGATGGTGAAAGCGAATTTTGGGTTGAGCTCCCGTTGCACCCAGTCCATTGAGGAGCCCGGTGAGGTGTCTGTAAACGATTTTGATAAGGAATTTTGTGATTAGAAATAAGGATTTTGTGAAATTGCTATTAGAATCTGTTCACTGATTCCGAAAAGCGATGCGTTCAAATTCTTGAAATAATTTGATTTTATTTATTCCTTAAAGAATTTTTTAGAAGCCACCGTCATAAGACACAGTTAGAGGAGGGGACACTCTATCTCTTCGTGGCCGAGTGAATAGTAGCTCAGCGTCCCAGCTGGATCCGCTGTCCACCCGAGACGATCCTGGTTCGATTCCGGGAAGCGCATTTTCTTTGGTTTTTTTGTTCTCACTTGAAAAACTTATTTACTCTCCACTCGGCTTTCATAAGAGCCGTCTCTTATGAAAGCCGATTAGAGGATGGTAAAATATCTCTCTGTGGCCAAGTGGATAGTAATCTAGCATCCCAACTGGATAGTGACCGGAGACGATCCTGGTTCCGGTCAGGCCCATTTTCTTTGGTTTTTTTGTTCTCACTTAAAAACCTTATTTATTATCCACTCGGCCCTCATAAGACACAGTTAGAGGAGAGAAATCTATGTATTCGTGGCCGAGTGGATAGTAACCTAGCGTGCCAACTGGATAGTGACCCGAGATGATCCTGGTTCGATTCCGGTCAGGCCCATTTTCTTTGGTTTTTTTGTTCTCACTTGAAAAACTTTAATTTATTTCAATTTTTCTTCGTTCGAATTCAAAAAAGCTCTTGTACCCTTTTCAGAAAAGGATTAGCTTTATTGGTAACAGTTTACTGCTAACAATCGTGAGCAGAATGATTTTTCTCTACGGTAACGAAAAATTCGACAAACTATTCAGTTTAGCTAAGTCAGAAAATAGTAAACACAAAGTTGACAAAGCTTTAATACATAGTCGATTTTCTTAATCACTTACAAAGCATATCGGCTGGACTCCCGTGATAGTAACGAGTGCCATTGTAGCGGTAAATCGCCTCAACGACTTTCTCGCTGACGTAGACCTAGAAATGTTATTCAGAAATGAAATTTCCTAAAAACTTTTCCTTTTTAGTCTAAATTTCAATGTAATAACTGATTCTAAACTAATAGAGAGTTTAAAATTGAGTTAAGGAAGTAGCTAAAGAAGTAGCTAAGGCAGTAGCTAGAGAAGTAGCTAAGGAATTAGCTAAGGAAGTAGCTAAGGCAGTAGCTAAGGAAGTAGCAAAGGTAGTAGCTAGAGAAGTAGCTAAGGAAGTAGCTAAGGCAGTAGCTAAGGAAGTAGCTAAGCCCTTTTTTGGGTCATTGTTCAATTTTTTTGATTTCAGGGGTTTTTGTTTAGTTTAGAATTGATTTCCTAACAAATCTCTTAACAAATCTTTGAGTTAAAGCAGAAGAATACATTTCTTGATGAACTCACAGCTCTTTCAATGCTTTTTGGATAGGTTTCTTTGGCGTAGGCGTACGGGTAAAGCCAGAGTTGACCGTGCGAATGCAACGTGAAATAGGCCTCGAGTTTCGGCAGTGAACGAAGCCATTCACTGTAGGTTCTGGAAAAGAATGAATTGAATCGGAAATCTTTTGCTACTAGGATTTAAGGAATATGGATTTTTTTCTTTTGAAAAGCAAACCTTGTTTCAGCTTCGCTAAAGGGTTTAGGACCCGGGTAAACGTCACTGCACGGATCCTCGACACCATCGGTTTTCGCTGAAAGCTTGCAATAAAGTAAAGTAGATTTATTCGATAATGAAGGCTATAGTACCGATTGTACAGCTCTAACAGTACTAATAGTACAGATCTAACAGTACCAGTAGTACAGATCCAATAGTACCGATAGTACAGGTCTAACAGTACCAATAGTACAGCTCTAACAGTACTAATAGTACAGATCTAACAGTACCAGTAGTACAGGTCCAATAGTACCGATAGTACAGGTCTAACAGTACCAATAGTACAGCTCTAACAGTACTAATAGTACAGATCTAACAGTACCAGTAGTACAGATCCAATAGTACCGATAGTACAGGTCTAACAGTACCAATAGTACAGCTCTAACAGTACTAATAGTACAGATCCAACAGTACTAATAGTACAGATCTAACAGTACTAATAGTACAGGTCTAACAGTAACAGTAAATCTAAAGCTACAGTAGGCTACAGACCCAAAACTCACCAGTAAAAGCGAGATCCCAGTTTCGATTCAAATCCACCCCTTCGCAGCAACGAATCCGCGAGAAACAGCGCATTGTTGAGCGGTTTTTTCGCCACAAGCGGTGCTGAAAGTGGGAGAATTACACTGTAAAACAATTTTACGCCCAAAAAATTAGTAGATCAGTAGCTAAGGAAGTAGCTAAGGCAGTAGCTAAGGAAGTAGCTAGAGAAGTAACTAAAGCAGCAGCTAAGGAAGTAGCCTAGTCAATAGCTACAGTACCCTAGATCTGGAAGTACTCCAAAAACCTCAAATTCGAGCTACAGTAACCAAAAAAAAGCCAAAAAGCTACCGTAGAGCTACAATTCAACACCTAAAGTATCCCAACAGCAGCTACAACTATCTTACCTTGAACGGTTCAGTGACCTCATCCCTTGTGTAAATGTACCCATCCGGGTTCAACACGGGAACAATGACGAGATTGAAATGAGATAGGAAACGAGAAATCATCGCGTCCTTTGACTCCAACAGCTTGCTGTACTAAAATTCTCTATTGCAACGAGTACCGTTATAATAGATACAATAGTACAGATACAATAGTGCCTATAGTACTGATAGTACCGATAGTACAGATCTAACAGTACCGATAGTACAGATCTAATAGTACCGATAGTACAAATCCAATAGTACAGATACAATAGCGCCTATAGTACTGATAGTACCGATAGTACAGATCCAATAGTACCGATAGTACAGATCTAATAGTACCGTTAGTACAGATCCAATAGTACAGATCCAATAGTACAGATCTACAGTCTGTCCAACTGACCCTCTCAATCAGGTAATATCCCACGTGTATCGCCGACCATTCTCTCGCGTGAATGCCCGCATCAATCACGACATAGGGTTTTGTTTCATCAATGCCTAGCTGAAAACTGGATTTCATTGAATTTAACTCAATTTTTAACCGGATTACGCTTTTCACTACGATTTCCAGTAAATTAACACTTAAACAACGGGAACCTTATGGAATTTCTTCCAGTAGAAGCCAAAGAATTTGCCCACCTGCACTCCCAGAATCTCTCTATTCTGCTCGCTTCGGCCGACGGTGATGACCGTTGTGTTCGCGTGAGTTTCGGCTAACTGAAAAGCGCTACGATAATTGAAATTAGCATTTAAACAACGGGAATCTTATGGAATTTCTAGCAATTATAAACCTGATACATAAAATTCTCGATTTGTCTCAGTGAGTAGTAGTCACCAGGCTGAAGTGGAACGTTTTTTGGCGGCAACGCGGGGAAGATTCTGAAAGTAAAGTCTAAAAGTCGACTCTGACAGTAAAGACGTTTAAAAATGTTTATTTTATTCGTATTTTATGCTTAAAATCCTCTTTCTAAAATGCTTTGTGCGTAGATTCGTAAAGAAAAACACTTTCCAAGTGAACTAGAGTCAATTCTTAGCTGTTCTTGGCTGTTCTTGGCTATTCTTAGCTCTATTCTTGGCTGTTCTTGGCTGTTCTTGGCTATTCTTAGCTCTATTCTTGGCTCTATTCTTGGCTGTTCTTGGCTATTCTTGGCTGTTCTTGGCTATTCTTAGCTCTATTCTTGGCTCTATTCTTGGCTGTTCTTGGCTATTCTTGGCTGTTCTTGGCTCTATTCTTGGCTCTATTCTTGGCTCTATTCTTGGCTATATTCTTGGCGTTATTCTTGGCTGTTCTTGGCTGTTCTTGGCTCTATTTCTTGGCTCTATTCTTGGCTGTTCTTGGCTATTCTTAGCTCTATTCTTGGCTCTATTCTTGGCTCTATTCTTGGCGTTATTCTTGGCTGTTCTTGGCTGTTCTTGGCTATTCTTGGCTCTATTCTTGGCTCTATTCTTGGCTGTTCTTGGCTATTCTTAGCTCTATTCTTGGCTCTATTCTTGGCTGTTCTTGGCTATTCTTAGCTCTATTCTTGGCTCTATTCTTGGCTGTTCTTGGCTATTCTTGGCTGTTCTTGGCTCTATTCTTGCTCTATTCTTGGCTCTATTCTTGGCTATATTCTTGGCGTTATTCTTGGCTGTTCTTGGCTGTTCTTGGCTATTCTTAGCTCTATTCTTGGCTCTATCTTGGCTCTATTCTTGGCTGTTCTTGGCTATTCTTAGCTCTATTCTTGGCTCTATTCTTGGCTCTATTCTTGGCTGTTCTTGGCTGTTCTTGGTATTCTTAGTCTATTCTTGCTCTTTCTTGGCTCTTTCTTGGCTGTTCTTGGCTATTCTTAGCTCTATTCTTGGCTCTATTCTTGGCTCTATTCTTGGCTCTCTAACTAGAGCTAAACGATTTTCTAAAATTCTTCTTTGACTCCTCTTTTGGTGTACTTTGCTTTGTAAACTGTACTTTGTAAACGCACACTTTCCAGCGCATTCAACTCAGTAAAGTAAAGCTTTATAGAGTAGCTCCCATTTCTTGTAGCATCGGGTAAACGCAAGTGATCTAGCGAACGAAAGTTACCCACAACTAAAATGATCCTCTTCTAGCTATTCCGTTTTTTTAAAAGGTGCTCATTTTAGACAGAAACTACCGTAATCTCAGCGGAATTTCGGTCAAATTCAATGAGGGAATAAGGCTTAGTTAATGAAACAAAAATTTCGCTGATCTAAATGAAAACAAGAACGAAAACTCTTCAACTTACGATTCAAATTGTGCATAAATTGCCTCATTTCTTTCCTTTTCCCGCTTCTGACGTAAAGCATCGTCGACGACGGGTAGACTGAAAATTTTGGCATTATTTTGGGTTAAATTAGAGTAAAGTGACGTTATTTGGATGAAATTACGGAAAATTGATGTTATTTGGATGAAATTACAGTAAATTGACGTTATTTTGATGAAGTTACAGTAACTTGGCACTATTTGGATGAGACTAGAGTAAATTGACGTTATTTGGATGAAATTAGAGTAACTTGACGTTGTTTAGATGAAACTAGAGTAAATTGACAATATTTCGATGTAATTACAGGAAATTGACGTTATTTAGATGAAACTAGAGTAACTTGACGTTGTTTAGATGAAACTAGAGTAAATTGATGTTATTTGGATGAAATTAGAGTAACTTGACGTTATTTAGATGAAACTAGAGTAACTTGACGTTGTTTAGATGAAACTAGAGTAAATTGATGTTATTTGGATGAAGTTACAGTAACTTGGCACTATTTGAATGAGACTAGAGTAAATTGACAATATTTCGATGTAATTACAGGAAATTGACGTTATTTAGATGAAACTAGAGTAACTTGACGTTGTTTAGATGAAACTAGAGTAAATTGATGTTATTTGGATGAAGTTACAGTAACTTGGCACTATTTGGATGAAACTAGAGTAAACTGACGTTATTTCGATGAAATTAGTGACTTGGATAACCAAATATTCTATTAAAAATGAAAATGCAAAGCACTTACCTTTTGATTAAATGAATCGAGCCGAGAAACAACGGAAAAAGTTCGAATCGCATCGTAGACTGGAAACGAGAAAATCTCGCTTAACTCGCTTTTTTGATTTTTGATTTTTTGCTTTTTTCCCTCTCTCGCTGATCCAATTTTTTTTTTCAATTCGATCACCGATTTGTCGCTCTGAAATCGATAATTTGAAAGATAAACTCGAAAAAGGAATGGAAAGAAATGGAAAAAACAAGTCAAATGAAAATTTAGGTACAAGATGATGATTTTTTAAAAAAGATGGCGTTAAAAAGGACGGCAAGTTGGCGGGATCGAACCCTTGAATCGGATCGAGGTATAGCTTGGGGATTAGCTGCGTTAACCACTAGGCCAAACCGACACAATGCTGCCAGCAAGAAATCTGCTTTTTAAACCAAAAAAATCGATAAACGTGACTTTTTTGAGTGGAGCAAAACACCCAAAAGATGTAAAAACGATTTTACAAAAAAGATCAAGCTAGCGGGATCGAACCCTTGAATCGGATTGAGGTATAGCTTGAGGATTAGCTGCGTTAACCACTAGGCCAAACCGACACAATGCTGCCAGCAAGAAATCTGCTTCTTAAACCAAAAAAATCGATAAACGTGAGTTTTTTTGGGTGGAGCAAAACACCAAAAACGATCAAGCTGGCGGGATCGGACCCTCGAACCGGATCCAGTTACAGCCTGGGAACTACCTGCGTTAAAAACTAGACCACATTGAGACAATGCCAGCAGCGAGAAATTTGCTTTTTAAACCAACAAAAATCGATAAACGTCCTTTTTTTGGGTGGAGCAAAACACTCAAAAAGATTTTACAAAAAAAGATCAAGCTGGCAGGATCGAACCCTTGAAGATTTAGGTACAAGATGATGATGAAGCCAAAAAAAGATCAAGCTACTGGGACCGCACCCGGATCGAGGTACAGCCTGGGGACTAGCTGCGTTAACCACTAGACCACATTGAGACAATGCGGCCAGCGAGAAATTTGCTTTTTAAACCAAAAAAAATCAATAAACGTGACTTTTTTGGGTGCAGCAAAACAAATTTCGAGTTCTTCAGCGAAATTTACTAAAGTTACACGCTTAAAATACACTGACTAAATAAATATTTTGAAAAGTTTACGGGGGAAACCAGTTTTTTCTGTGTCAGCACATCCATTTGACTAATTCTTTTGTAGTTTATTGAATGAAAGATCAATGGGATCATGGGGATTTCAGGAAAAGTGCAAGGGAAAGAGATTTTTCTTGAACTTTCGAAAAAGGCTTGGATCGGCATCGAACTCTCGACGTTATCGCTGCAAATTTCGTCTGCTAGCCACTCAGCGATTCGGCAACAAGATTGCGGTAGTGTTTTTGCAAAGGATAAGCAAAGGATAAGCTAACTTTAAGCGAAAAAAGAACAAAATCCGGAATCCGGTGTCCACCTTAATCCAGTCTACCGTAGTCTAGCTTCTAGGGGAAAATTGGCTAAGATATCGCACGCTTTGAATACAATTGATCGGCTAGGTAAAAAAGTGATGCACCGATTTTGCCTAGAATACCAAAATACCTTTGAAAAGCTACAGTAACCTAAAAGCTACGGTTATCAAAGCTAAAGTGAGAAAAATTAGAGTAAGTACACAGTACACAAGTACACAAGTACACAGTACACAAGCTAAAGTACACAAGCTTGTCGCAAATCGTACAGTATCTCTAAAGCTTTATAAAAGATGGACAAGCTACGGTGGTTTAGATAAAACAGAAAAGCTACGGTAGTTTAGAGAAAACAGACAAGCTATTGTAGTTTAGAGAAAACAGACAGGCTACCGTACTTTAGAGAAAACAGACAAGCTATTGTAGTTTAGAAAAAACAGACAAGCCACCGTACTTTAAAGAAAGTCGACAAGTTACTAGTTTAGAGAAACGTGGACAAATTACCGTACTCAAATCTACAATAGACTACAATAGACTACAATAGACAATAGAAAATAGCCAAACCATTATTGAATACTGTACAAGCTAGAGAAATCCAAGAAGATACAAAATTGTCTAGCCCAATTCAGGCTTTTATTATCCCAGAAATTTAATCACTTGTGCAAACATCAAAACAACAAACCATTTCTTATATAAAACGATAAAAAAAGCAAAGAAAAAGGCGAAATTTTTCTCTAATGATAAACTATAGGTAAATGATCTATGAAAAAGGAAAAATCGAAAATGATAGCAATGAACGAATGAAAGAAAAGAAAAGAAAGGAAAAGAGAAGGAAAGAAAAGAAAAGAAAGACGATAGACAAGAGAATTTGGGCTAAATTTAGCATCAAAATAAGAATTGGTTGAAAAATGAAGGACAGGGTTTGACTTGATAAAGTCGATGAATTACCGTATCCAGAATCGTCCTAATCTAGAGATCTAAATGATCTAGATGACCTTATTCAATAGTAAGACGGTTTGCCAGAACGCAAGCGATTATCGCCAATCGCCGAAGAAAGAGCGCACAAAGACGGCAGAAAGAAAATCCAGGATCCAGCCAAGCAATCTCAAAGCCAGAGGATCAAAATGATAAAACCAGAGAGAAGGGACAGCTTGGACGAACCTGGACAGATTGCTTACGGGAAAAGGAAACGGTCCGTCTTGTAGAAAAGCCCTACGCCAGACCGTGCGCGATTGCGTGACCGCACAAAGAACACAAAGAGGTCTCTTTCAAAGGAATTCTTTTGTTCTTCAAACATTGCTCAGATGAGATATGAAGCTAAAATTTTTTAGCCAAGGATTTTCGAGGGAGGGAAGCGATTAGCAGGGTTCATTTCCAAGCAAAAGCTTTAATTTGTGCTGATCTTGAGTCATTTTTCTGGCTACAAATAATTATTGTTGGGTATAGTCCATAAAAATCGAATAAGTAATCGAATAACCAAAAAACAACTAAATAAATCAAATTAACAGAATAACCGAAGTTTTCAAAGGATTGCAATAATATTGGGTTGGTGGAAAAGTTCTTTCCGATTTTTTGGGAGAGTACCTTAAATTTGTCCAATTTTGACGTTTTATAGCTCGTCCTAAAGCTGAATTCAAGACGGATCGATTGGTAAAAACCGTTTTGAGATATCTCTTTTCTAAAAGTTTTTACAGCTATTTTAGTAAAGGGCGGCAGAGCCAAAAAATGGCTGTTTTCACGTTTCGTTAGTTTTCCGTGCAGAAACCTAGGCTAAAAACATGCGTTTGGTGATCAGCGTCAAAAATAACCCCTAGACACAAATTTTCAGAATCTTAGCAAAAATTTTTGAAAAATATTGTCACTGGTGGAAGTCGAACCAGCGACCCTCAGATCAATAGCCTTTACACCGCTTTTCGCAATTTTCCTTCGTTTTTCTCGTTTTTTTTTGTTTTGTTGGTGCGAACTTTGGCTAGACAACTTTTTTTTTAAAAACAAAAAAAAAACGAGAAAAACGAAGGAAAATTGCGAAAAGCGGCGTAAAGGCTATTGATCTGAGGGTCGCTGGTTCGACTTCCACCAGTGACAATATTTTTCAAAAATTTTTGCTAAGATTCTGAAAATTTGTGTCTAGGGGTTATTTTTGACGCTGATCACCAAACACATGTTTTTAGCCTAGGTTTCTGCACGGAAAACTAACGAAACGTGAAAACAGCCATTTTTTGGCTCTGCCGCCCTTTACTAAAATAGCTGTAAAAACTTTTAGAAAAGAGATATCTCAAAACGGTTTTTACCAATCGATCCGTCTTGAATTCAGCTTTAGGACGAGTTATAAAACGCCAAAATTCGACAAATTTAAGGTACTCTCCCAAAAAATCGGAAAGAACTTTTCCACCAACCCAATAGATTTCTACTCTAGCAGGTATTTGTTTTAAAAAGCTTTTTAAGCAAAAAGGACAGTCAAAAAGGACATTTCTGCTGATCCTTTTAACACTTATAAAGCTATTAAAAAGTAATCAATCAAAGTAATCAAAAGGTATCGGCAAAGAAAAAAAAAACAGAAATCTGTGAAATCTGTGAAATCTGTGAAATCTTATCGGTGAAAATGAGCATAAACTTTTAGCGCAATAAATCTCGATTTGAGGGAAAATCTCGGAGAAAAACTGGATCGAATGAGAAAACTGATAAGGAATTTTCGGATTTTGGGGAGGAATTTTGGTTATTTACTTGAAAACTTGCAAAAAAAGTTGATATTGAGAGGTTTTTAGATCATTTTTAGATCATTTAAGACAAGTACCCTAAAGTCTCGAGTATAAGTTCTGACTTAATTTACATTCGCTTTAATTTTAATCTTTAATTGCTTTGAATTTCTTTTTGTTGGGTTTTTATACATTTTTATTGTTATATAAACTTTTATTATTGTTCTTGGAGCGCGGGATACTACAGGGTGACAGCCTATCACCATTGTTATGTGCATGGATACATTCAGACGATAGTGTTGAAGAAGACGCTGGAAAGCATCTCTTTCGACCGTCGACGTGGACTTTGGCCGGATGAAGAGGCCAGGGAGGGATCCATAAGACTGAGCACCGGAGAGGAGCAGGGCGGACGCGTCGAGCCACGGCCAGGGCCGAGCCACGCCCGGAGCAACAAATAACAGCATAAAATTGCTATAACCCTCAATAAATTTACTTCTATTATTGTTCTTAAAAAGCAAAAAAGTTATGCTGCAGCTGGGTTCGAACCCTCGACACACCGCACCGGAGACAGCCGTCAATTTGCATGCGAAAACCAAACAGAACTTATACTCGCGGCTTTAGGGTAATAATCTGGTGAAGATTCAAAGAAGCTTAATACATTCACGATGATCGTTGAGTTAAGTATCGTTGGGAATTTGTTAAGCTCTACCATTGCAAAGAAGTGTCTGCAACAAGGAAAAATTTCCTCATGACAGCCTATCGCCATTGTTATGTGCATGGATACATCCAGACGATAGTGTTGAAGAAGACGCTGGAAAGCATCTCTTTCGACCGTCGACGTGGACTTTGGCCGGATGAAGAGGCCAGGGAAGGATCCATAAGACTGAGCACCGGAGAGGAGCAGGGCGGACGCGTCGAGCCACGGCCAGGGCCAGGGCCAGGACCGAGCCACGCCCGGAGCAACAAATAACAGCATAAAATTGCTATAATCCTCAATAAATTTACTTCTATTATTGTTCTTAAAAAGCAAAAAAGTTATGCTGCAGCGGGGTTCGAACCCTCGACACACCGCACCGGAGACAGCCGTCAATTTGCGTGCGAAAACCAAACAGAACTTATACTCGCAACTTTATGGTAGATCATTTAAAAATTCAAAGAAATCACAAAAGATCAACAAAAAAAGGCAGCTTGATGTTTTCTGATAGCTGGATGAAAAAGATAGCTGGATGAAAGATACTTTGAGCTCAAATCTGGAAACGAATTCCATTTGGTGCCTGCAATTTCTTCATTTTCTTAAAGAAATCACTGTTTTGAAGAAAAACTAAAGAAGCTAGTGCGCTAGAAAGTGTGCGTTTAGAGATTTGAGCATTCAGTGATTCATTTAGCATTCAGTACACCAAAAAGAACAAATTTAAGCCTTCATTTTACTATTCTCGTGTACGTGAAAGCTTGCGTTTGCAAAAAAAGTGCTCACAGTGAACGCCCAATACTCGATTGACTTAAATACTCTTTTTTTGCCTAAAAATAGTTAAAGATCTATTTTTGTGAGCTTCTCTCAGTTTTTTAAAGAACAGAGAGATTTTCGATCTCAAATCTTCAAGTTTTCCCTGGTTCTCTCGCAGCGATGATATCAGAAATGATTATTGTTATTTGTCTCAATCATTTTTCTCTCATAGTTCTTTTTAAAGCTATCTTTTCCTTTCTTTGCAATAACAACTACGTCTTTTTTGTGAAGAAAAAAGTCTAGACGAATGTTCGGTACAAGATCTTTGATCAGATATGAACAAGGCGTTGATCAATGGCTTAAAGGCATTGATTCAAAGAGTTTGATTCAAAAAGTGTGACGACGAGTCACCAAAAAGCTGCCGGAGTCACCAAAACGCTGCCCGAGTCACCAAAAAGCTGCCCAAGCCATCAAAAAGCTGCCCGAGTCATCAAAAAGCTGCCCAAGCCACCAAAAAGCTGCCCGAGTCATCAAAAAGCTGCCCGAGTCACCAAAAAGCTGCCCAAGTCACCAAAAAGCTGCCCGAGTCACCAAAAAACTGTGCGAGTCAGAAAAAAGCTCTAATAAGACACTAGAAATACCGTATCCTAAAAAAATGTCGCGCTTGCGTATAAAAGGGGTTCTTCTTCCCCATTTAGTCAGAATTTTCTCGCTTTTTCTCTCCGAAAGTTGTTTTCGTTTGTTCGAGATACTTCCACAATTCCCATTAAGGATTAGGGCAAATTTTCAGAACGATTCAAAAGCTGGTTCTCAAGATATGCCAAATTTACGAATTTTCACTAAACTTGCACTAAACTTGCAACAAAACTTGCATTTTAAGCGAAACTACTAAGTGTATCTTTTTGGAAATTTGGCTATAAGCCTAATTTTTGATTCTCTACAACTTTTCCATTGACACCAAAATGGGTTTCTTTTGAAGAAAGTGCTCAAATGCTCAAACTGGGACATCTCCAGATCTCCAGTCCTCCATTTTTGTGTCTCACACTTGTCTCACACACAAACCAGAATCCTAAGAAGAAAGAGGAATCCGCAAATTGCCTGTAAAATGAGCAGAAGTCGTCAATAATAATGGAAATTATTTGGAATGAATTGATGGTTTTATGTTGAATAAATTTTCGTTCAAAGTCCCGCAGTTTTCAATTTTCAACTTCAATTTCAACACCAACCCAATAGAAATCTACTAATAGCAAGATTTCACAGTGCTAGATATGTTTTCTGTTCATCTAGCTGTGCCTGATAATTACATTAAGTAGACCGAAAATTCTGATAAAGCCAGTGAGTAGATTTTTGAGGTTAATGGTGGAGAGAAGGTGATGCAAATTAGAAGACGAGCGCGTGGCGGGGAAAAGATACGGAATTATCTATATTCTATCAAAATTAAACGAAAACATTGTCTCTATAGAAAGTTATAAGCATTTAGAGCTTGACTATTCATTCAAAAGTTCCCTAAAACACTCAAGAGCGAATTGTTCTTTGTTATGCGCAATTTTGCGCGCGAAATCCCTTCTCTCAAATTGATGTCTTTTCATCGGCGTTTAAATGATTCTCTTTCCCCGAAATTCCCCCATTTTCCCCGTTTGATCAAAGCCGATTGATCAAAGCCTTCTTTCAATCCATTTCCCCATTTCCATTTTCTCAAATTGTTGCTTGATTCCCTCAAATGGATTCGTTCAAATCCCATTCGTTCAATTCTTTCAATCACTCCCAACAATCGATCACTTCGCATTCCCGACAACCATTCGGCAATCTGGCGAATAATTTCGAAGAAAAGGGTCAGTTTTAAGTTTCAATGCTAATCAAAAGACTAATCTTATTATTAGAAAGTTGATGAAAAAAGCTTATGCAAGAGGTTATCGGACATTTGATTTGCCCCGCCTCTTTTGCCATTTTGCTAACTTTGAGCTCAAATTTCTTGGTGTTGGGCTTTTCAATTTAAATAGTTTTTCTACCAATCGACAGAGAAAGCCTTGGCGCATTCAATGATATCAAAAATATTACAATTGAATAGCTCAACATTAAGATATTTGAGCTCAAAGTTGGATTGCCAATGGTAAAGGGAGCCAATGTCTCACAATCTATGCAAGATTTTCTCTTTCTTATCAAAATGAATGAAAATGAATGATAACTGATAATTTGTAAAGTTAAAATGTTACTTGCAATTGATTTCCCTGACTACTTTCAATATCATTAACTATTAATCATTCAATATCGTTCAATATGATTCAATATGATTCAATATGATTCAATATGATTCAATATCATTCATTATCATTCAATATCATTCAATATCATTCAATATCATTCAATTTCATTCAATATCATGCAATATCATTCAAATATCATTCAGTATCATTCAAATATCATTCAATATCATTCATTATCATTCAATATCATTCAATATCGTTCAATATCGTTCAATATCATTCAATATCGTTCAATATCATTCAATATCATTCAATATCATGCAATATCATGCAATATCATTCAAATATCATTCAATATCATTCAAATATCATTCAATATCATTCATTATCATTCAATATCATTCAATATCGTTCAATAGGATTCAATATGATTCAATATCATTCAATATCATTCATTATCGTTCATTATCATTCAAATATCATTCAATATCATTCATTATCATTCAATATCATTCAATATCGTTCAATATCGTTCAATATCATTCAATATCGTTCAATATCATTCAATATCATTCAATATCGTTCATTATCATTCAATATCATTCAATATCATTCATTATCATTCATTATCATTCAATATCGTTCATTATCATTCATTATGATTCATTATCATTCATTATCATTCATTATGATTCATTATCATTCAATATCATTCATTATCATTCATTATCATTCCACATCATTGCTTCCCCATTCAGCTTTAGTCAGTGTTCCCACAAGTGTTTCTTTTAGGAAACTTTTAGAGTCTAAGAAGCATTAATATAAGAGTCAAGGCACATTCCAGGTTTCTCCTCAGCTTCACTCTCGTTGAGAGCACAGAAAAAGTTAGCCTCTCATTTCGCGAATCGTTTCTTCGTTAAACCATTCATCACACCGAATAGCGCTCAATTTTTGGATCTTCTGTGCTCAATTCTCGCAAGATTCTACTCGAAAAAAGACGCTGAAAAAGTTGGCTTTACTCAACTGATTAAAATATTCAAATATTAGCTTGAAGAAAGCTTTTACAAATTAAAGTCTTTACATTTTTCCAAACGTTTTTTTGAAAATAATACCGCCACCAACAAAATTTCTAATTAAATTATTAAAAAGCTTGATTTTTTTTTCTCTGCAAAATAGCTTTTGAGAAATTCTTGGAAGTAGTTTTGTGAATTAGTTTTGTGAATTTTCAAAGACGTAAAGGCGAGCAGCTAAAGTCGTAATTTGGACACTTTCTTCAATACTTTTCTATTTTGATGTTAAAGTTTGAACTATAAAGGAACTATCAAGGGGCTTTAAAGGAGCTTTAAAGGAGCTTTAAAGGAGCTTTAAAGGAACTAAATAGGAACTATAAAGGAGCTTTAAAGGAGCTATAAAAGAACTATAAAGGAGCTTGAAAGGAGCTTTAAAGGAGCTGGCAAGTCTGGCATATAGCATATAATAAAAAGGTTTAGACGATCAAAAGTGTGATCAAATTGACGGTGAAATTGTGTGTGATTAGTCGATCATCGAATTTGGAAGAGTGCCAGCAAAAATCCTTCGCACAAACACAACGCTTTTTACACTCTCTGGCGCTTACCATTTCTTCCTTTTACAAAGTGAGCAATTTCAATTTCAATTTCACCGTATCGTAATAAAATCGTAAAAGAATTCATATGTAAATTTTCTAGTTAAAAGGTTCCTACGATCTTTCCTTTCTCCTCACACAATTCTCCCAGTTGAAAGACTCCCTTGAACCATTGATCAAAACGAGTCTCAGCGAGAAATCACAAAAACGATTTTGTGAAATTTTTCAGGTGAAACAAATCTAGAGTTTTGTAGTGATTTTTATCTATTAGAGCTTCTATTTTGGTTGTTAAAAAAGGTCGCGATCACTTGCAGAAAAACAATTTTTATCCGCAACTAATTAACAAAAACAAGAACGTTGACTCTTCGAAGTATAGTCCGTCATTCTCTACGACATTCTGCGATCAGCAAGATCAAGCAAGTTCAGCTGTAAGAAATCACGAGTGCTTGAGCATTCAAAGCATTTAAAGCTTGCACTCTTGCACTTGCAAGTCACTTTCGTCCAAAGCAGGTGATCGAGTGGAACGAGGCTTGTCTTCAAGATCAAAATCACCGTCATTGAAGCGTTTGAACCATTTGCCAAGTTTTGTCAACAGCTTCCAACAACAACAAGAGCTTCCAACAATAACAACAGCTTCCAACAACGGCTTCCAACAACAACAACGGCTTCCAACAACAACAACAGCTTCCAACAACGGCTTCCAACAACAACAACGGCTTCCAACAACAACAACAACAGCCTCCAACAATAATAGCTTCTTTCGGCTTCCACCTCACAAATCACTTCAACATCTTGCAGACAGACTTCTTCTTCAATAGTAATAGAATAAAAGACGAAGTTCACTTTTATCTATCTAAAGATATGGAATGTATAAAGTAAGTTATCGTATTTCTTCGAATAGAAAACCGGGTAAAGAGTATCATCGCGTACTCCTGCGTAGTGGCCCTTTTTAAAATTTCTTTTCTGCATAAAACCTTTCAATCAAGTGCTATAGAGCTGGAAAATGGCTCAAAAATTTGTTAGCTCATGTGGTATTTTTGAGTCATTTTCCAGCTCTATAGCACTTCATTGAAAGCTTTTATGCAGAAAAGAAATTTTAAAATGGGCCACTACGCAGGAGTACGCGATGATACTCTTTACCCGGTCTTCTATTCGAAGAAATACGGTATATAAAAAAACGCTCGCAAGAAAAGAGGCTTTTAAATGATTCAAAAGCTATAACAATCTATTGCCAAAATAATTATATAAACTTTTGAACTTTTCTGCAAGTGACCGCAAACTTTTTTAACAACCGAGTAAAAGGTGCTACAAGAAAAAGCTACAAGAAAAAGCTACAAGCTAAAAAGCTAGAAAAAGCTTTTCCAATCCAGTATACCTAATCGTAATCACTTAAAAACAACACCGCACATCGGCGCGAAATAAGGCAAAAATGCGTTTTCTATAGGATTTTTCTGGGAGTACCTTTTTTAGATGCGGAAAATTGTAAATTGTAATTATAACTTTTTGTAGAGTTGAGCAAATTTTATGATTTTTGCATCAAAATGTTCGTAAGAGTCTTTAGAATAACAATTATCCCTTCGTTTTTGGTCCCTAGACCCTCGTTGTCGAGTTACGAGCCCCAAACTGCAGGGTACCACAAAATTTCCCATAAAAAATGACCAAAAAACCGCTAAAACTAAATTTTAAAAATTTCTGTCAGAGGGATTTGAAAAATTCCTTTAGATTCGGAATCAGCACAATTTTCCGCATCTAAAAAAAGTACTCCCTATAGAAAACGCATTTTCGCGCCAATGTGCACCGTGATCCATACCCAAAAATCCATATCCAACTTTCAGTCTCTTTCGAATCCCGATTTCCTCGACTCCCTCTTCACAGCTGATGCGAAAATCAACGATTCTCTTCCAAAAATCGCGGCCACAATCGATAAGTTGCTTGAGAATGGCGACATATAAGAAATATTTTTCAATCAATAAATTCTGAGAAGTTTTATTTACAAAGAAACAAAGTATAGACTACACAAGGAATAACAATAACGAGTGAAATTACACGTTTTTGCACGCACTTATGCTTTCCCCAAAATACACAGCACCAGAATCGGTTTACAAATTTAGCCAATCATAGCAAATATTAGGTTGATGCATAAGTCTTTTCGTTTTTTTCGTACTTCTGTTAAAAAGTAACAAATTCACCAATTAATCTATAGTTTGCTCTATAAAAAAGTGTTTTTTTTGTTCAATTTGCATCTTTTTAAATCAATTTCGGTTCACTTTCAAGCAAATTCGAGAGTGAAAAACGCCTTTTTCGTAAAAATCTATAAAAAACTCTACGGAAAAATTGGCTGAATGAATTTCTCTGAAATTTTGGCGAAATATCAAACTTTTTTTCTCTATCTTTTATCTATTGACACGAAGATAGGTTTTCTTTAGCTAAGGTGTCTAAACCGCATCATCGAGTTAGCCCTTTTTGACTACCCGACTTCATACTCTCAAGAAAATCCAGGCATAAAATATTTTTAAACCCGTTTTAATGTTATTTTGCAGAAAAATAATTGGTTTTTCTAATGAAATCAACCGTAGTTTAATTGGTGCATTTGTTGGCTTGAAACGGCAGACGAAAAGGAACGAAAAGACTTATGCATCAACCTAATAGTATATCTAACATTAAGGAGTAAATTCTATGAGCAAAACCCTCTAGTATCACCACAGAATAATAGCTGACAAAGAGAAGGCATCATTATGATTTTTTTGAACTTTAACTGGCTTATTATTCTATTTTGTAAATCGAAAGTCAATTTTAAATTTATAAACAAAAAAAGCAATAGTTTACGAGCGTTTCAAATGGATAAAAACCACTATATATTGGCTAATCATTGGATTTGATCTTTTATTAGTTGTTCATATTGTTCAAATTTGTACTACTTTGACGATTTTGTTGAGAATATTCATGGTTACTCACTTGTTGTTGGGAATTTTCATAGCTCTTCACTTTTTGTTGTTTTTGTTTATAAATTTAAAGTTGGTTTTGATTTACAAAAGAGAAAAATAAGACTAAAAGAGTCAATGAAAACTGAACTAAAGAAGCAAAAGAAAATTCGAGTGCCGGAGATCGAATCTAGCCTCTTCGTCTTGTAGCGTAGCAAACTACCAGTCGGCCACCGAGTAAATCATGATAGCAGTTTAACTTCACCTTATGAAGCTTAACATCGCCTTATGTGGCTTAACATCGCCTTATGAAGCTTAACTTCACCTTATCAAGCTTAACTTCACCTTCGCTTTCGCTCAAAAATGTTCCCTCGATTTTCCTTGCGATTGTAAAGCATTGGGCAAAAACTAATTACAGATTCAGATTGAATATGATAAAGCAGTTAAAGTTCAAAAAATCTATGACCCAATGCATTCTCTTGTGAGTTATGAAAAAGCACAAAACAAATTGAATAGTACAGAACAGAATGTGTAAGCTCAAGGGAAAAAGGTGGGCAACTTTTCAAATCCCAATGGATTAGATCTAAAATAGCATAAACAACTACTCACAGGATGATTTAAAATACTACAACTCCCCGTCGGGCCAACGGCTCACATCGGGTACCGGATTGTTTGCATCGGGTCCAATCAATGACACGTAAACAGCATAAGTGTGCACGGCGGCGCCTAGAACGAAAAATTTGCATATTATGACAGTTCAAAGCTAAAAAAATTGCTCTTATGGACTTAAAGTATGTCTAAACTTTGCCAGGTTTGTTTGAAAAGTAAAAAAAAACCCACCCAAAAGCACGTGAACGTGCCAAATCGCGTGCGCAAACGGAACGACACCGTCCAACTTGAAGAAAATCACGCCAAACATATAAACAAGCCCGCCAATCATCATTAAATCTAAGCCGGTGCGATCGTTCTAAAGAGAAACTGACATGTAAAATGTAGAACGGCAAGATGTCTAACTTTAACTAACTTATAAATTGAAAAAACAAATGCACAAACCATTGTAAACATGGCCACCGATGGTAGACCGGCAACGAAGATGTAGAGTGCCGTCTCGAGACTCTTGTAACTAAAAATGACAAATTGGGGGAAATTTTTGTGACATTTATTAGATTAATTTATTATCTGAAAAACTTTAAAAACCGACCGTTCGTGAAAATTGTACTGATAGAGAATGCCGAGAATGGCGAACACCCAAATCATCCATTTCAAATTGAGCCCCGGATAGCCGCAGTGTCGAAGCGCTAGCCATGGAGTGTAGGAGGCGGCTGGAAATGAAGATTTTTTTATTGATTTTTGATTTTTTAGTTACAGAAAGAACAAAGACAGTAAAATTTTCTCAAAAAACCAACCGATAAACAAGTAGATCACGGCTCGATCACAGATGTGTAAATAGTAGCGTAGGCGTTGTTTTCTAAAGGAATTTTTATAATTTGATGCGCAAATTGCTTACCGTAAATACTGTAATAGTACCCCACCCCCATAATGAAGGTGCGGAGTCTAGCTTTGAACGAGTTTTTCTCGACACTGGTTTATGCTACAATGCGCGCTTAGGTATCAAAAAATAGCCCTGAATTTCAGCTATTTTTTGATACCAAAGACGCTTTTTTTGAAAGCACGGGCACTTTGAAAAAAAATGAAATACTAAAAAACTTTTGCTCGTACGCGACTGTACGAGGGGGGTGGGGTACTATTACAGTATTTACGGTAGTAACTAGTAGACTACTTGATTACTTACAGTTCAAACGATTGAATAAACGAGGCTTATTTGATTCAAGAGACTTTGAAAAAGACAATCAGCTGCGTGGGCTGTAAGTAATCAAGTAATCTAACTGGCAAGTAATCAAGTAATCATTTCAGATACTTTGTGGATCCCACAGATCACTCTGTACAGACTCAAGGCGTCGAGACTACTTACTATTAAAAGCTCTATTAAACATTGGTTCTCACTCCACTCAAGATTCTTTCATTTTACATGTTTGAGTACATGTTTAGAAGAGCCCAGGGGGTTTAGAAATAGGAAAATTCCACGAGTGTTTTCTGCTTTTGCGAGCTTTTCCTTCAACAAATCCATTTGAGCGTTGAGTGCTGAAATTTGTTGCTCCAGCAGGGGGGTGGGGTACTATTACAGTATTTACGGTAGGTAATAAAGAATCTAAAAAATTCAAATCTAAATTTAACGAAACTCACTGTTTTACCGGTCGATACAACATCTCGAAGAAATGGTAGAGTGTCGAGGCGAGGAAAAGCATCTAAAGTGAAAACCTTTTATTACAAAGATTATTTTATCATATATCATAATACTACAAAATTATGCTTAATAGATATCTATTCTTAAAACGAACCGTTGTAAATACGCCGTACACAAACATCAACGTGTACTGGAGCTCACGATGGGCTGCGTCGATGATGTAATAGAAAGCGATCAAACTCGGTACGATTCCTATCTAAAACAGAAAATATAGTAAGCCTTTTATTAACAAAGATTAGTTTATCATAGTACTACAAATTACAAAAAAACTATTATCTAAATATCCTTTCGTGTAACCAGTTCTTTTTTCTTGTTCTTTATTGCAACCTGCAAATGCAATTGTAAATATTCTTTCTTGTAACCAGTTCATTTCAGTTTCAAAAGAATTACAAATGTTTCGATGCTATGCAATTAGCTTGATTCGTTGCAAATTAATGTTTCTATAGCGATTTAAAAGCATGCAAATAGATTTCAGAAAATTTCTACTGATTTCACAGCTACTGAATTTCTACTGATTCCCTTTAAATTCTCGTTTAATTACCCAAGTTTGAAGTTATTTTGGCATCGATTTCAAGAAAATTTAAAACGATTCTAAAAGTTTAGAAATTTTCGAAAGAATCCTCAAATTGAAGACGAAGAAATGAGTTAAAATTTGTGACTAACACCCCATTTGTTGCCAAAACTCTTTTCCCCTGTGTAGCCCGGTTAGCTCAGCACCAGACTCTTAATCTGCCTGTCGCGGGTTCGAGCCCCGCATCGGGCTGATGCTTTTTTACTTTTGTGGGAATTAGAAAAGGACAGAATGTTGGATGTAGCCGTTGAATTCCCAGTAGAGAAAAATCAATCGATTTTTCATTTAAACTATATGAATCAAAATATCATACACAGAAAAGTTCCATTTTTCAAAAGATTCCTAAAATCATCAGACTACATTTTATTTTCAGGGAGCTTGTAGCAAAATCATGAGAGAATCCTGAATTGCAGGCAATTGTAAACAAAGCAAAAGTAAAATTGTTGCTTTAAAGGCTCTATGAGACTCAAGAGAGCTCTCGATGTTTTTGCAAAAGATTCTCGCAAAAAAGCAAAAAAGCAAAAAAGCATCAGCCCGATGCGGGGCTCGAACCCGCGACAGCCAGATTAAGAGTCTGGTGCTCTACCGACTGAGCTAACCGGGCTACGTGCCTGCCTCTTTGGAAATGGAAAAAGGCTGACCCCGAAAAATTTCTAGGCACTGGGAAAAGAATTGCCAAAGAAAAGGGGGAAAAGAGCAGGCAAATAAACGAAAAAACGGAAATTTGCTATTTAAAAAATCGTCTAATTATCTTTAAACTTTTCAAGCGATTTTGTTTTTTCGAAACTTTACTGATTTTAAAAATCCAATTACATTTTAGCTTATTCGTGCTCTTTTTTGGTTAAACTAGTGTTTTAGGGGACATTTCGAAAGCAAATCTATGTTTCAGTGAAGCTAATATATTTTAAAACAGTTTTAAAACGATTTAAAACGGTTTAAAACGATTTAAAACGATTTAAAACGGTTTGTCGGTTTTAAAACGATCAACCTTTGGTCATTTAATAAAATTTAAAGATTAAAACTCACTCCATGCGTTCCAACATTGGCTAAATGCTCAAAATGTGTCGGCTCGTAAGATTCCCCTTTACCAGGTCGTCGATTCATGTAAAGGCATTTCGTTGTTAGATCCTCTTTCCCAAGCTTCTTGATGTCCTAAAGGAAAATAATAATAAGCAAGATATCTTTACGTTTAACTTAACTTTATATAAGTTAACTTAACCTTTCATTACTTTCAAAGAACAAAGGTCAGATAAACCAAGTACTAATTTTACCAAATTAATAGAAAAGCTCACCTCCGAGGATTCTGGTGTCGGCTCCTCCAGGAAAAGATCATCCTCATCTTTTGTGGTTGAGGCACGTCTAAAAAAAGATGTGCGTAGAAATTAAGGAACTTTATGCCACAAGTTAATAACACTCATTTAAAAACCTACTTCTACAGTTATAAGCTACAGGCATACGCTAATTCTTGGCGTATTCAGTGCAGGAAAATATTTTTGAGGTTTTCAGCAATTTCAACTAACAAGTAACAAGTAACAGAAAGTGTTAAAGGGTTTTAGTTAGTTATATCTATAGTTTTGACAAAATAAACACTTCATTTAGCAACAATCTATCGTTTTTGAGAAATCAATGAACAAGCAACAAGTCAAAAAACACGCGTGTTACACAAAAGTCCTTCAATAAAAGTAAAATCCATATTTCGTGGCTGAAATTACTGCCTGAATTCCTGAATTCCTGCCTGAATTCTTCTATCAAGCCGACCAAATCTTGCAAAATTTGTGGAGAAATTTTGCTTCATTCGCTTCGAATATAGTACCACAGCTCGACCTTGCTAGTTCATCAATTCAAGATCCTCTACCTGATCACTCCACAACTTCCCATCCCATCGACCGACCAGAAACGTCGCTCTCACAAATCGCTCATCAGCAGAACGTAGCGGTGCCCCGGATTCAATGAAATCTAAAGAAAATAGCAATGAATTGTAATGTCACTGTCAATGTAATGTCACTTTTTATTAGTAAAGTATCTCCAAATCTAAAGAATTTTGTGGAAAACGTGAAATATTTACAGGTATTCTGTTTCGAAAGGAAATTGCTTCAAAAATTTGAACTTGTTTTTCTGCTTTTATCCACGATACTGCCTTTTAAGATGAATGAGTAGTTTAGATATTTTCAAAGTTAAATAAACGTTTCAAAAAGCTCACATATTGATGATTGACGTGGCGCTGATGATATCCCTTTCGTTTGTGAGGCGAGTGAAGAAGCGCTCCTGAAAATTGAACCAATTATAAATCCAAGATCAAAATAGAAAAAGCAGAAAAAGGGAAATGGAAACTAGCCTAGTTGAGGGGGGCACAATTTGTTTCTTATATCAAACTATAATAATATCGTGTTTGTTTGTGACCCTAAAGACGGCCGTTGGGTTGCGGGTTATTTTAGCTTCACTGGCACGGGTAAAGTTGTTGTACTTGCGACCAAAAGTGAAACTATGCATCATCATCAAACTGTTGATGTCACATGAACTCTAGTCGGTGTATTGCTTCGAGTGTTGATGCTATTTTTGGCTTTGATCATCTTTTTGAACCGATATCACTGGCTCTCGACGTTCTGTGTCACTGGGTTCACCAAATGACTTGGTGATTGCCCGTGAGATGATGATAGGCTTGGGGCACAAGACAGGTGCTGCCAAAGGTTTCGGTGGATTGTGAATCCCAGTGGACTCTGGAAAACGGACAAACTTCTGGATCAGCGAGGTTGCACCGTCGCGACGAGAGACAAGATTCATAAAACCGAGACCAGAACCTCTTTCGATTCCGCCGAACATCCAAATCCTTCTTTGCTCAGGAATAGGAGCTCGGTTATATTTTCGGATGGCCGTTTTGTCGATCACAACGTGAACACCAGGACCGCCGATAGTTCTTGAGTTGACATCGAAGTACTTCGAGAAGCCATCACGGAACCACTAGAACCATGACGGTGTTTTTGTCGGTTTTTATTTCTCTAGCCATGACAACAAATCAACAGTAGTAGTAGTAGACGAGGTGCATAGCTTACTTGGGAGCAACATGGGTATTCTCGAAGAAAGTTCCCACGTGGAACCCTATGCGATGCGGTGGATCCTAGCATCTGCGATTGCGGCGTAGCACCTTCACGTTCGCTGGTGTACCTCGTCGCTGGTGCACCTTGTCGTTTCAGCAGTTTGGACAAGTTCTTTTTTGGTGAAGCATCCCAACATCTTGCAGCCATTGGTTGAAGTCTTTGTTTGACTGGAGTAGCTTTTCGCTGAGTTCATGCCATGTCTTGGAGCACGGTGGATCGGCAAGGATTGGCCATTTGTTTCACTTTGCGATGTGCGGTAGTGGGGGAAGCTCGATTTTGGGTTCCTTTTATAAGGCTCAGGACTAACACTTCATAACAAGTTCATCAAACTCCGCCAACAGAACTTAAACAGTATAAAAGCTCCCTTAAAAGCAATGTTGAAGTTTAGCTGAGATATAGTTTTTCGGATTCAACGTAAAAAAAAAGCTGAACGATTACAATGTTACAAAAGCTGATCAATTACAAAAGCTGAGCAGTTACAAAACCAATAATACATGAAAAGGTCATAATGTTCATTAATAAAAACTAAAAGAGTGCTAGTTTTCTTTTGAAAACAGCTTTTACTATGGAAATTAAATTTTTTATATAGAAAAACTTCAAGTCGGGAAAAAAGTAAAAGCTTTCATAGTAATTCTAAGTATTCTATGCACTAGAAATAGTTTGTTTACAGATTTTAGCACCACAAAAACCAGCCTGTACACAAAAATAGCAAGAAGCCAATTAGAAATCATAAAATCACTGAGAAGAGGAGATTTTTTCGCTGATTTTCCTAAAGAAAACTTTCAAAGGTTTCCTTTTCACAAAAAAAAAGTCAAAAGATAAGAGCTTTTTTTGCGTTTTGAGTCCTTTTTTGAGTCATAAGATCCATTGTCATTCGGGAAAACGCAAAAAAAGAGATTAACAATGGCGAAACATGCAAAAATGATAGCTCCGCTACACAAAAGGTTGTAATTTTTGCTCAAAAATGGCGATAAATTATTTTTTCGCGTTTTACCGATAAATCAAAACGTTTTCTTGTTAAAATTTACGTAGAAATGAAATAAAATGAATGAAATGAAATGAAATAAAATGAATGAATGAAATAAAATGAATGAATGAAATAAAATAAAATGAAATGAAATGAATAAAATAAATAAAATAAAATGAATGAATACGGGAGTGGGACAAATGCGACCTTTTTTTTGCCCACCCGGACATTTGCGCACCTTTTTTTTCCGCACCTTGCCCATTACCGCACCTTTTTTCGCGTTTTAAAGCTCTAAAAGCTCTAAAAGCTAATGCTAACCAATTTCCATTCCAAAAGTTGTTTTTCTAGGTAATTTGAGGGTGTCGAATTCAAATTTTGACATAACAAAACGTGTGGAACCAATTTGAAAGACAAAACGGCTAGATCAAATTACAGAAAATTGTTGATTTTTCTCTTTGCATAACTTCGTCCGTTCGCTTCCACAAGCTCTGATATGCCAAAATTTCGGTTCTTTTCCAATATCGGGGGAGCGGTCCGATTATCGGGGGAGCGGAAGGAAAATCGGGGGAGCGGAAGGAAAATCGGGGGAGCGAAAGGAAAATCGGGGGAGCAAATTTTGCCCCCTCGAAAAATGCATTTCTGGGACTTTTATTTTAACTGCAACGTTTTTTTTTAAATTTTTTGGCAGCGCTACATATGTCCTATATTATCCAAAGTACTGCCATAAAATCCGCGAATTACCCGTTATTCTCACAATCTTTATATTAGATCACAAAAGTGACTTAAATATCTAACACCAAACATACCTCTACCTTCCCTATCGGCCGCCTTCTCTTTTTGCCGAACGCTCCACAATCCCGAACGAACAAATGGCTACCTAAAAATTTATTCATTAATAGTATAATTGATCATAACAACGAAAGAAATGTAAGCGAAGTAACCAAAACAAAAACAAAAGTAACCAAAACAAAAAGAAAAGTAACCAAAATAAAACAAAAGTAACCAAAACAAAAGTTTAAAAAAAAACGTTGCAGTTAAAATAAAAGTCCCAGAAATGCATTTTTCGAGGGGGCAAAATTTGCTCCCCCGATTTTCCTTTCGCTCCCGCGATTTTCTTTCCGCTCCCCCGATAATCGGACCGCTCCCCCGATATTGGAAAAGAACCAAAATTTCAATTCTACACCCTCAAATTACCTAGAAAAACAACTTTTGGAATAGAAATCGGTTAATATTAGCTTTTAGAGCTTTTTTAAAACGCGAAAAAAGGTGCGCTAATGGGCGAGGTGCGGTAAAAAAGGTGCGCAAATGTCCAGGTGCGCAAAAAAAAGGTCGCATTTGTCCCACTCCCGAATGAAATGAAATAAAATAAATAAAATGAAATGAATGAATACATAGAAATGAAAAGAAAACCAAAAATTTAAACCAAAAACAAATTTGCAAGCGAAATTTTCGTTGAAGCTCAAAATTCGCATATCTCATTTTCTACAAAAAGCCTAGTTTTCTCTATAAAATAAATCTTTATTCAAAAAAGTTTTATCAAAATAAAATCTTGCCCACTTTTTCTACATATTGTGCGTTTTTTTCACAGCCTAAACACCTCAAAAAGCTTTTTTTGTATAAAAAAAGTTTGGAATTAAAGAAAATTAAGCAAAATTTATAAATTTGAATCAAAAACATCAAAGAAAAACCGCAAAATCATTTGAAAAGAAAGATTTTTAGCGAAAAATCGGTAGCACTGACTGGTTGGTGAGAATTGACGTCAACTCTTAGAGAAAAAAGAGGGAAACATATCGGGATTTTTAAAGAAAACAAAAAGAAATTGAGAACAGAGGAATATTGAGTGTCTAGATGAGATTTAGAGAAGAAAAGATAGGGAAGTGGGGACTGGAAAGCGAGAGAGCCGAGACGAGACACGAACACAAAAATGTGGGTCAGCTCTGGAGCTCTGGATCCCGTTTATGCAACTCTTTCTAATGATAGAAAAAGGCTCTGGAAGAATAATAGGTTCTGGAAGTCAAATACCACAAAACTACCGTATTCTCTCTAATAGTGGACCCGGAGTGGACCCGTAGTGGACTCTGAGCCTCGCTTAAATTCACCCAAATCTTGAGAACCGCTTATCAGAACCTATCGATGTGGGGTCGGAAAATGTAGTTGATGATGAGATCTTGACGATGATTAGAGTGTTGAGCTTCTGGGAAAGCTTAGAAACTGTAAAATGGGCATCAACTCGACTGGGAAAAGCCGGTATATGAAAAACACACTTTTAAATGGCGCACCGAACCCTCCAGGCGCACCGAATGAATTCTAGAGTCATGCAGACGGAGAAATCTTGGCCTAAGCCTTTTCCTAAGCTTTTATTTCTCATTTCCTACTGATAAAATAGCGTTTTTTTCTCTAATAGTAGTGCGCCTTGAGCGCCGCCTAAATTCCTCGAAATCTCGAGAACCGCTTATCAGAACCTATCGATGTGGGGTTGGAAAATGTAGCTGACGATGAGATCTTGACGATGATTAGAGTGTTGAGCTTCTGGGAAAGCTTAGAAACTGTAAAATGGGCATCAACTCGACTGGGTGCACTACTATCAGAGAGAATACGGTATTTACCATTTACTATCTAGCATAGTAAATCTATCTATTGGGTTGGGGAGAATGAGTCGGCGCCCAACTTTAAAGGGACTTTTTGTACACATAAAGCCTTCTTTAAACATACGTTTGGTTTCATCAAAAGGATCCACTATTTCTCTACAAAATGACTTTTGAGAGATTCCACCAAGCTTTTCTTTCGTGGAGTTTATGAACTTCCAAACGCAGCTGGTTAAAATGGCAAAGAGTCCGACTCATCATTTGAACAGTTTCTTTCACATAAACCTTCTTTGGTGTTTATATAAAAAAGATAGAGCACATTCAATTACTTAAGTTGCCAAATTTGCAGGAAGATCCCACCAATGGTTTTTTCTAGATGACACTTTGTAGTTTTTGTGAAAAAATGGCTTTTTCTTGAGCCGAGGCGCTGTTTGAAGTTTCTTTTAAATGCCATTTTGTAGAGAATTAGTTAACCATTCTACTCATATCAAACGCATATTATTTGACGAAGTCGAATAGAAGTTTTAGACATTTTTTTGATTTTCGGCGCTGACTCATTCTCCCCAACCCAATATCTTGTTAAACGGATTTATCAGTTTAGCATAGTTTAGCAAAATTAAGTTTTCTTTCTTGTAGATTCTGACAAGGAAAGAATGATTGAGTCACGTGGTTTTTTCCAATGAAAAAATTTCCTCAATCATCCTGTATACATTGAAAAGCTATTAAATGTTTAACAATAACGACAAACTACAATCGAACAGGAGAAAAGCGTTTATGTGAACACACAAAGAATACAGAAGAATGTAGAATGGAAAAAAAGCAAAAAAAACATGAGACGGATCGGATTCGAGCTCTGTACAAGCACTCAACCACTCAGCCATCGATAAACGGTTTGTCGGCTTAAAACGAGAGGCTCAAAATCTTTATGCCAGTTTGGCGGTAAATACGCGTCATTCAGTAGCTAATTTTTACAACATCAGCGTAAAATTCTGCGTCGAATGGCTTTTTAAAAAAATATTTATTTTACGATTCATCAAGATTATGAAGATGGCTGGGTTTCTGATAAGTTCTCTGATTGTGAAATGGAATGGAGATCGATGGAGAGTGAATGACGGACACTCTCGTTTCCACGAGCTGATACAGTTTCTAGAAAATTCTTTTTTCTTTTGTTTTCTTTTGTTTTCTTTTGTTTCCTTACTTTACAACATTAAGAAGTCCAAAGAACTCTGCAAAGAACTATCCAAAGAACTCTCCAAAGAACTCTCTAAAGAACTCTGCAAAGAACTCTTCAAAGAACAACTCTAGTTGCAAACACAAGCAGTTTGGCACACTCATTTAATAAATTAACCTATTGCACTGCTTGAGAGATCAGCAAAATCGAGTCGAAGCACTCGGCTGCCAGCTCGCCAATTGCTTGCCATGCAGGAAACCACTGAAAAACCAATTGTAAGTAGAATTGCCAAAAGGTGAGTAATTTGTAAAACTACCGTAATCAAATAGAATAGAATGTACGAGAGAGTACGGTAGTTTCACAAGTAGAAAAGAAAACCACTCAAAACTCGAAACTTTACCCTCTTCCTCACGGCTCTCCGATGAATTCTCTTGGGTACTTGTGCTCGTAGATTGAGGTGAATCCTGAATACTTTACTAGATCTTTACTAGTATTTTTTGTAAACTCACCTCTTCTGGCTCATAGACTTTCGGCTTGCGGCGAACAAAGCTCCCATCTGGTCGAATCGAGATGATCTTTCGAGTGCTGAAGAATCAAGTACTTTATGCTCTTTGGCTAAAATAAGTTTGGCTTTGTCTTGGCTTTGTCTTGGCTTTGTCTTGGCTTTACCTTGGCTTTGTCTTGGCTTTGCCTTGGCTTTGTCTTGGCTTTGTCTTGGCTTTTGCCTTGGCTTTGTCTTGGCTTTGCCTGGGCTTTGCCTGGGCTTTGCCTGGGCTTTGGCTTTGTCTTGGCCTTGGCTTTGTCTTGGCTTTGTCTTGGCTTTGCTATGGCCTTGGCTTTGGCTTTGCCTTGCTCTGACTTTGTCCGTAATCCGTAATTCTATAATTTACGGGAATTGAGCTAGAATTTAAATTGAAAAAATTGGCCTGGAATCTACGAAAAATTGGGAAAACTCTAAGGTAAAACAAAGACTTCAACCAATGGCTGCAAGATGTTGGGATGCTTCACCAAAAAAGAACTTGTCCAAACTACTGAAACGACAAAGTACACCAGCAGACGTGAAGGTGCTACGCTGCAATCGCAGATGCTAGGATCGACGGGTATGGAATCTATGGGTAAGTGAGCTAGAATCTACGGGAATTAAGATTAAATTTCAAAAATTCAATCCCATTTTTCGGATAAATCATCTTTCAAAGTTTTTGCCAAAGAAATTCATTGTTAATCTTTTGTATCGTTCATTTCTTTCTACTTTTTCTTTTGATTTTTCCTTCAGCTAACAATGAGACGTTCAAATTGATGAAAAGAGTTTTAATGTTTAAATTCATAAATGAAAAACAAAGAATTCAGTGCGCTAGAAAAGGTGTTTTTACAATTTACAAACACACAAAAGCCCCAACCTCAATTCCTCCGGCTCTAAGCGTATCTGCCCAATCGAGGGATCGGAGCTCGGCTGTGAGCTCGAGAAATCCTCATCAAAAGCTTTCGTGTAGTCCGACAGAGCACTCCCAAGTGGATCGGATTGTTCGATTGGGCTTGTGATTGCGTCTTTTTTCTGAAAGACAATCTAGACAATCTATTTGTTTGTCTAGAAGACTGAAAAATCTTGATAGTATTGAAATTAAAGGTAAAAAAGGTTCAAAGGTAAAAATCAAAGGTAACTATCAAAGGTAACTATCAAATTTGAAACCTCTTTTCTATGCGAGGGACACTGAATGGCCTCGTCTCGTTTTAAGCGCTCAATCGGCTTCGAGGGGATCAGTTGCAGATTCTGAAATTCCAGAGTTCTTGGATCTTATTCTGATAGATCGATATCTATCAGAATAACAAAATTTTCATTCTTACTTGGCTATTTGAGGTCTCTGGATGGATCTTTTCCATTTCCCGTCTTCTCAATCCTTTCAAAAATCCACGAATCTCTTTATGACCTTTTGAACAATGAGACTAAAACAGACTTTTGAGTTTTGAGAAAATAAAATGATAAAACAAAAGCCGAACAAAAGCCAGCAGCCGAACAAACAAAATTCTCGGGTCTTTTCATTTTGAAAAGCTATTATATTCAAAAACTAAAGCCAATTCGATCATTTTCTTTGGACAAAGGGTTAAAATAAAATTTCTCCAAGTTCGGGATATCAAAAAACTTGTTAACAAGTCAATCCATTGCCACAACAAGTCCATAACAAGTCAATCCATCTTAAAGTCAACTTGATTAGGTAATTGAACTATTGGGTACAACAATCTGTTGATTCAATTACTCAATCAAATTTGGGCCAAATCTGAGTACAGTAATTTACATAGGGATTTCTTTTGTTCTGTAAATGATTCCCAAATGCGATTTAGTGTTAAAAATTTGTGCCCACGGGTTTTCAGGGTCGTAGAACCTATTGGCATAGTTTATTTTAACCCTTTGTCCAAAGAAAATGATCGAATTGGCTTTGGGGTTTGAATATAAAAGGGTTGATCTGAGAAAATTTAAATTGAGCCAGGGAAATTGAGCCAGGGAAATTGAGCCAGGGAAACTGAGCCAGGGAAATTGAGCCAGGAAAAGTGAGCCAGGAAAAGTGAGCCAGGGAAACTGAGCCAGGGAAATTGAGCCAGGGAAATTGAGCCAGGAAAAGTGAGCCAGGGAAATTGAGTCAGGGAAATTGAGCCAGGGAAATTGAGCCAGGGAAATTGAGCCAGGAAAAGTGAGCCAGGGAAATTGAGTCAGGGAAATTGAGCCAGGAAAAGAGAGCCAGGAAAAGTGAGGCAGGGAAATTGAGCCAGGGAAATTGAGTCAGGGAAATTGAGCCAGGGAAATTAAGCCACGAAAATTGACATCAGAAAATTATTGTCGGAGGGAAAAAATCAAAAAATTGATTAGCCAAATCTCAAAGAGAAGCCCCTATGCTAGACGGGTTTGCCAGACGCCGAGCGATTGCGCAACCGCACAAAGAACAAAGAAAGAAAGAATTTGCACAGTGATTTCTCTTTTGTTCTGTTCTGTGAATGAGATTTAGCGTTAAGAATTTGTGCCCCGGGTCGTAGAACCTATTGTCACCTATTTTCAGGATCGTAGAACCTATTGGCGGAGTTTATTTTAACCGTTTGCCCAAAGAAAAGGATTGAATTGGCTTTGGGTTTTGAATATAATAGCTTTTCACAATGAGAAGGCCCGAGAATCGGCTTTTGTTTTATCATTGTAATCAGAAGATCAGACTTTGGAAGCTTTGGTCAAAGCTGCAGAAGCTTTGGTCAAAGTTACCGTAATCCTACAGTAACTTACCTCCACTGTTGTCTCATCAGAGACATCTGATGTTTCATCATCACTCTCTCCACGTAATTTCCTCGTTGCATTAAATGTTCTAAAGCTTTTATCAGAATTTCTCCTTTTCCCTCACCGATCTTTCAATTTCTTTGGCAAATCCGGGATCTTCACCACTTCAATAACATTTCGAAATCTAAAAAAAAACGATTTTTATCGTAATTTTTTATTTAACTCTTTGACTGTGCCGATTTCTTGACGCTTTTCTTGAGCTTCTGCTAGAGGAGAACCGACATTTAATGCTGGGATAAAGGACGGGATCTAAATTTCAACTTGGCAATTCAATTGGTTAATCCGTTTTCTAAAAGACACCGATTTTAGACAAACTAAACTGACGGTCAGATGACTCTGACCGTTAGTTTTCATTTAGAAAAGCCCAATTTTTGGTATCATTCAACAAGAGGATCACAAGGTTTAGTCAATGATACAAAAATTGTGCTGATCTAAATGAAAAATAACGGTCAGATTACGGTAGTTTATCTAAAATGGGTGATTTTTAGAAAACAGAATAGCTGAAGTTCTAACCATCGGTTGTGGCAACTCGGAGCCTTGTGGAGTGGTCGATGAGGTTGAAGGAGTTTCGTCTGATACAGATGATGATGCAGATGATCGATTTGTTGAGCTTTCTTTGAAAGAACCTTCCCCTAAAGAGTTCTGTAGATAGTTGCAAGAGGAATTGAACCAGAAGCAAAGAGATTCTTAGCTCGCTCTTGATACAAGCCTTGATACAAGCCTTGATACAAGCCTTGATACAAGCCAAGCCTCTTATCCACTACACCACCAAGGGGATTTTCTAGGCGAGACATAGATATGCAGCGTTTTGTCAAGTATACAGCACTTGATGGTAAAAACTAAAAACTGCATCGGATTCCTCTACAAAATCGTCTAGGTCTTGTTTTGGAAAGCTGGTGAGTTCATGTTTAAAAACAAGACAAACAAGAGAATTACCATACCGTAAATACTGTAATAGTACCCCACGCCACGTCATCAACAAGCTCGAGAAGAGCTCGCCGGATAGCAAGCGATGGGTGTCCGGACAGTCGCGTAGTCGCAGAAGTTTTTTAGTATTTCATTTTTTGCAAAGCACCCGTACTTTCAAAAAATGCGTCTTTAATACCAAAAAATAGCTGAAATTCAGGGCTACTTTTTGATACCTAAGCGCACATTGTAGCATAAACCAGTGTCGAGAAAAACGTGTCCAAAGCTAGACTACGCAACGCTCCGCACCGTCATTATGGGGGGTGGGGTACTATTACAGTATTTACGGTAGGAATTACCAATTATCATAGTGAAATACCATAGGAATTTTGCGATATTCAAGCTACCGTACTTCTAGGAAAGCTACCGTACTTCTAGGAAAGCTACCATACTTCTAGGAAAGCTACCGTACTTCTAGGAAAGCTACCGTACTTCTTTCAAACGTACTAGCGTACTCTATAGTACGAAATAGTACGAAACTCTACTATTTCGTCTCACAGAACAACAAATGACTTGTTAAATCTCATACCAAGCTCTCCAAGCGTTTCCCTATCCAGCAATCCCATCAGTTTCCCGATCTTGCCCATTCTACCGTAATCGACCAGTTCTTGCTAAACTTTTAATCTTTTACAGTACTTCTACGTACTTATTTTACAGTACCTTTAACTCTAAACGAAGCTCGGCCAACTGCTGCAGGGCTAACACTTTCAGACGACGATGTGGACTAAAATTTAGCTGATTTAGAATAGTTTCAAAGAAAAAATGAAGAATTTGACTAAAACCCAACTGATTTGTGACCTCATCCGAATAAGAATCCAATTTCTCCAATAAATTCTCGTCATCAACAAGCTCGAGAAGAGCTCGCCGGATCGCAAGCGATGGGTGGCCGGGCATCTGTCCGAAAATTTCAATCTACTATAGAAATCTAGCCTAGTAATGTAAGGTTCAACTAGCAATGTAAGTGTTAGATTTGTTTCAAGTGTTAGATTTGTTTGAAGTCTAACACTTACACTTGAAACAAGTCTAACACTGGTTTGATGCAGATTGTAGCGCTATTGGTTTCACTATCAGTCAGCCTCGGGAACGGCAATGCCACCAAACCTAGCTTACAGTGCCCGGAAATGTTTCAAAACATATTTTGGATTAAAAAACTGGGTCTAATACTTGAAACAACAAGAAGCTAGGACTGGCCTAGGGCTTGATCAATCTAGAAGTTAGGCAGGAAGTCAGAAGACAGATTTGGACCTGACTAGCATGAGGCAATCTGGGACCAGCTAGGCAGTGGCCATCTAGAAACCAAGCCTAAACCTGGTATGACATGCTAGGGTACGCTTTTGCCTAAATCTGGACCAATCTGGACCTAAATCTGGACAATCTGTCTTACCGTAGGTATCTACAGTACCTTTTCAAGTAAAAATTGACTAGAAAAGAAGCAAAGGCTCTATCTACTATATAAAAGAGACTCTATCTACTATATAAAAGAAGCTCTATCTACTATATAAAAGAGGCTCTATCTACTACTACTGTCTGTCTGTTTGTGCGCGCTACTCCTCAGCCCCCAGAGAACCGTTTCAAATAACTTATAGTTAGTTAGACTTAGAATTACATGTAGTTATGCAATCTGTTTTTAAATTTTTAAAAAACCAAAATTGCCGACGCGGACGGGAGTCGAACCGGGGTTTTGTGGGCTAGAGACAAGTGCATTCGCACTGCGCCATCTAGCATGGCCAAGTGGTTAACGCGGTTAACGTGGTCGAAAAGCATGGCAGGGTAGTTAACACGCTCATGACATGGCCCAGCGGTTAACGAGCATGGCCGAATGGTTAGCGCGCGCGTTTCTCAAACGAGAGGTCGCTGGTTCAACTCCTCTCGCCGCTAATTCTTTTGCTTTTTACTCTAAAATTGATTTAAATCAAAACCAACGCGTCAAAATGACCATTAAAATAATGCTACAAAGCATTAAAAAGACTGCTGGTAAAGCGATAATTCAAATTCGCATAACGCAATGTATTCCTATCGCTGGATGCCGCGTTGGCAAAGTGCCATCACTTGCGCCTACCGTACCCCGGCGCGTCACTGATCGCGTCGCGTATTGCCCGGCACCGATCGCCTCGCCCCCGTTTTTGCGGCTATGTTCTCTCGGAGTCTCTGGACTTAGCCTCCAACACGGCGTGCCCCTTTTCCACACACTCACACCCCACCCCACAGCTCTCCCCTTTCTCTCCCATATCGACCCGTTTGTGCGCTCCGGAGTCCCCAGAAATTTCTAAGTTCGCCCAGCTCAGTCTATGAAGCGCACAATGGGATCGATTTTTTCGCGATTTCTTCTATCCTTCACTTTTCATTGTTTTCGAATTTTGATTTTGTATATTTTTTTGATGATTTATAGTAAGGAAATCGATTTTCGGGGGTCAATTTGTAGCTGAATTGGCTGTCTATAGGGTTTTACCGGGTCCAGGGTAGGGCTATGTCTGGTCTGTTTGATTCAAAAATTGGATTTAAACCAAGGAAGATGACAAGCTGGTCCAGATTCAATTTTTGACAGTTAGATCGCTTAATTCTAGCTCTGGAAAAGACCTGGCTGGCCTGAATCGACTTGTTTACTCGTTCTTTAATAGCCAAAGTCATAACAACTTGTCTTACTCTCAATCCTTGATATCTTTGCTCATTAGTACCATCTCTTGACTATAAGGGCTGCTTGTCTGGGTTTCGATTGGAAGGGCTGGGAGGACCTGAGGGGAATGGGGGTGGTCTGTGTGTTCCCCTATGGCTCTTTTCCCACCCGCAGTCTATCATCGGGAGGTGTTCCCTTTTCTCATGGAATCTCTCTCTTTCACCGCCTATTTTCTGCTCGATTTCTCGACCCCCAGCAAAAAAGAAATAGACAGACAACGTCCAGCAGATTTCGTCTAGAATGAGAAAAGTGGTGAACCTGGCCTGGGTGGAAACCTGGGCGGGGTTACGGAGGTAATTCCTCAATTTGGTCCTAGGAGCAGATCTGAGAATGGACTTGAAAAAGATTAGGGGCTAGGACTGAGAAGGACTAGGGCTTTACTTACAAACGCTTTAGTTACAAAATAGATTGGAACTTTTTATATTTTAAACCTAGAGTAGCTGAGCCTAGGTGGAGTTTTTCGCCGATTTTCGATTTGTTGATTTTCGAAAAGAGCCTATTTTCGTATACATCTTTTTAGCATTAACCAACCCTTAGAAAAATTGATTGAAAGGTGGTAAAAAAGAACCGATTTTCGTAAGTGGCAAGAAAGAGCCGATTTTCAATAATTTTTTTCTAAGCGCTGATTAATGCTAAAAATATGTGTTATATCTCAAAAAATCACCCCTTCTCTCTACTTTAATTTGATACCCAAGCGCGCAGAAATAAACGTACTGGTGTCGAGATATGAGTGTTTGTTTGAGAGTAAATTTACAAGACTACGCGACGACTACGATGACTTTAGACTACGCGACGTTCCTATAGGGTGGCGTTCATTAGAGTTTCTACGGGTAAATATTCTGGGAAACTCGAGGAGGTTAATAGTAAGAGCTAGGAAGTTTGGGGGAGTGGACTAGGGGAGAACATAGATTTATAGTTAGGGAAAGGGGAAGCTAGAGGACCACCTTAGAGAGAGGGTAAGCGGTGTCTATGGAAATGTTGCGATGGGAGAAAAGAATGGGTAAGAAAGAAGTGATCGACGATCAAAATAGAGAATAGAGAAAAGGGCCCACGATTGGATCTAGCCTGTTCACCTTTTCTATAAATATGGAGAAGTAGGGGCTAGTTTTACATTATCTTTACTTCCCGAAAAATGCTTAACTCCTAGAATTGGTTTTCTAAAGTATCTAAAAGGAAAAGGTGAACTTCTTAACTTCCAAAACCTTTTAGAACCTCCAAAACCAAAACCACAACTTTCAAAACCTTAGAAAGCTTTATTACTAAGAATTCTATTCTAGGGATTACGCTATGCTATTTTGAGGTGTTTTGGGAAAGAGATGATCAAAAATCAAACGAAATGCGACAAGTTTCAGCCGGTTTTTCTTTCTCCTTTTCTTTTCTTTGCCCCTCTTTTATAAGTGCTTAGTCATAGAAAAGAGAAAAGAAAAGGAACGACACAAAAAGCTTATTAAAAAGCCTAATCAAGTTAAAATGCTAAATAGAAATCATAGATACAGATTGTTCTAGTATTTGTAGTTGTTTTTCGTATTTTCTACCGGAATCCATTTGTTATTCTGCATTAACTCGATCGTCTACAGTTAAGCCAAGTTTAGCGGCTCTAACAAGCCAATTTTGTGAAAAAATCGGGAGTGGGACAAATGCGACCTTTTTTGCGCACCGACATTGGCACCTTGCCCATTAGCGCCCTTTTTCGCGTTTAAAAGCCTAAAAGCTAATATTAACCAATCTATTCCAAAAGTTGTTTTCTAGGTAATTTTAGGGCGTAGAATCGAAATTTTGACATATCAGAGCTTGTGGAAGCGAACGGACGGCGTTATACAAAGAGAAAGATCGACAATTTTCTGTAATTTGATCTAGCCGTTTTGTCTTTCAAACTGGTTCCACACGCTCTGATATGTCAAAATTTCAATTCTACGCCCTAAATTCCTAGAAAACAACTTTTGGAATAGAAATTGTTAATATTAGCTTTTAGGCTTTTACGCGAAAAGGTGCGCTAATGGGCAAGGTGCGGAAAAAAAGGTGCGCAAATGTGCGTGCAGGGCAGGGCAGGGTGCGCAAAAAAAGGTAGCATTTGTCCCACTCCCAAAAAATCAACAAGTAATAAGCTCAAATAAAGCCGAATCAATGACGTTTTCTAAAAATCGTTCTTTTCAATTTAGCGACAATTCAAATGAATATTTTTAACTGAAATTTACGACTATATAAGCCAAATCTTTAATTTTTGCCAATTCACTCGTCCTTGCTCGTTCTCCCACGTTCTTGGGTTTTTTTTGTTATTTTACCGTTATAACTTTTTTTCCAGGAACTTATCTTCCCTTCTTGTTATTGTTTGCTGTTCGATGACCGAAATTGAGTCGCATCAACCGGCCTACACGAACGGGAATTCCTCGTCCACCAACGGCGATCACTACAAAAACGCTGACAGGTAAGGGTTTTTGGGGGTTTTCCATATTACCATCTGATGATCTGGCTCAAATCTAATGATTTGATGATCTGGCTCTACCTGGTACTTAAATTCTTTCAACAAAAATTTGGTAAAAGCTATTGAAAATGTTTTTGAACATTTTTTTTAAGTTATCGGCTATGGGGAATCTGATTAGGTCGATTTAGGTCGATTTTTAAAAAGGAGTGTGTATTAAAATGGGTTACGGTGGTTTGAATGGTCACTTGAATGGGTTTCCTGCTTTCGAAAGCGAAAGCGAAAGAAAGATCGAAAGCTATCGAAAGAAAGATCGAAAGCTATCGAAAGCTGGGAAGGTTTTGAATGGGATTTGCAATGAAAACTCACCATTATTGATAAGCGGACATCAGCTCGACGACTGGTTGAGGATCGTTTTGTCTGAATGTTGGCTTTAAGGGACTTTAAAGTACGATTTTAACAATTCAGCTGAATTCTTTTTGAACCAAATCTTCTTTTTGAATCAAATAACAGTTTTTTCGAAATAAGAATTTCGAAAATTCGAAAAAACGAAAAGTCATATGATTTGATAGACCTGAACTTGTATTTGTTTTTAAAATTGACAATTGCAAAAGAAAGGAACCGGGGACAAACGAAAGAAAGGAACAATTAGAATTGGGGATTTGCGGTAACTTTTTAAATCTAAAGTTTCCTAAAAGGCTTTTCACTATAAACTACAAGTAATTACTTCGAATGTCAAAATACTTTAATCTTTCTATTATTTTAGTGGCTACGGAGCCCAAAACTCTCTACCGGACGCCCCAATGGAAAACGATTCTACAAAAGAAAAGGTTTGAGAATACTTGCTTAAACACTAAATGTTTTACTTTAAGAACTCAAACGGGAACTCAAAAAATGCTGTTTTTGATGATGATGACGATATTCCGTGGGGTCAACGAGTGAAAAAGGAAAAACATAAAGAGCCGGTGAGTGGGAAACTTTCTTTCTTGTTTACAATAATAAACTACAGAAACCGGAACCTATGGATGAAGATGATGACTTTCCGCTAAAATCCTCTAGTGAAAAGAAACGCGAGTCTTCGTCTAGCAAAAAGGTTTTTCACTTTTTTCAATGCTTTTAGGAGATATTTTAGCCAAAAATCGAAGATGATGACGACGATGATGTCCCTTTCATTCAGATTATGGCCAAGGATAAAGCTAAGGTTTTTTTTTTCAAAGGTTCAGTTGATAAATTGGAAATTTAGAAGGAGAAAGAAGATGATGATGTTCCCTTTGTCCAGATTATCGCCAAAGCTAAGGTTGTTTTTTTTTCGTTTTAAAATTTACACGTTTCGTTTAGAAAGATAAGGAGAAGGAGAAAAAGGATAAGGAGAAGTCGAAGGAGAAGGAGAAGCAAAAGCGGAAAAGAGGCGAGAGCGACAGTGAAGAGGAATACAAGCCAGAGGTGCGGGTGGAGAGATTGATTGATTGATTGATTAGTTTGAAAGATGTTTTAATAACTTTACTCTTGATAAAGGAAGTGACATTTTAATAGAAAGCAAAGTTTTTTTAACATTTGCTTTTCAGAAAAAGAAGGACAAGAAGAGCAAGTCCAAGTACGAGGAATCCGACAGTGAAGATGATTACAAGGTGACTTTTTCTTTCATACACCGAACGATTTCTTTTAGAAGCCAAAGAAAGAAGTAAAGAAAGAAGTGAAAAAGGAAATCAAGAAGGAGAACACAACGCCGGTAAAGAGAAAAAAGAAGGAAGAGGAGCAAGAAGAGGTGAATTTATTGTGTTTGGTCATTGATCCTTACTGTTATTTACAATTCCATGCTCAATTTTATGTTTTTAGGTCTGGGAATGGTGGAAAGACGAGCCAAAAAGTGATAACACGATAAAGTGGAAGACTTTGCAACATAAGGTGAGTTTGTAGCTTTAGCTAGCCACTGGAATACAAACTAGGCATTTGTTTAGGGTCCAATTTTTGCTCCTCCGTATGAACCACTCCCGTCACATGTGAAATTCTTCTATGATGGAAAGGTTTGCTGTTTTATCTTCAAACAATGAGCTTTTACTTTAGCCAATGAAACTTGCACCCGCGTGTGAAGAGGTGGCCGGCTTTTACGCCCGGATGATCGATCATGAATACGCGTCAAAAGAAGCTTTCAACAACAACTTCTGGAGGGATTGGCGGAAGGTAATTCTTTGGAAAGCAACTAAATATGTATGAGTCATAAATCAAACATCTGCAATTGAAAACATATAAAAACTAACTTAATTATCGTTTTAGGTGATGAATGCCGAGGAACGGGAAAAGATCACCGACCTCAAAAAGTGCAACTTTGCCCAAATTGACGCCTTTTACAAGGAGCAAAGCGAGAAGCGCAAAGCCATGACGAAGGAAGAAAAGGAAAAGATTAAGGTATGGGAATTGTTTGTTGCATAGACTAAGCTCTTTATTTTAGGTGGAAAAGGAGGCTGAGACCAAGGTCTACGGTTTTGCTTTTATCGATGGACACAAGCAAAAAATTGGCAATTTCCGGATTGAACCTCCAGGTTAGTTGTTTTTTTAATTGAACCCTTAACAAGCACAACTTTCCAGGTCTCTTCCGCGGTCGTGGTGAGCACCCGAATATGGGAAAGTTGAAGCGACGAGTGCAGCCTGAAGACGTGATCATCAATTGCTCAAAAGATTCTGAGGCTCCCGAGCCACCAAAAGGGCACAAATGGAAAGAAGTCCGCCATGACAACAAAGTTTGTGTTTTTTTTGAGCGTTTATACTTTTTGCCTAGGTGACTTGGCTTTGCTCGTGGAGTGAAAATGTGCTTGGGCTCAACAAATACATCATGCTCAATCCAAGCAGCAAGATCAAGGTAAGTTTAAAAGTCTATTTCAATTTTTAAGTGGAAATTTCTAGGGTGAAAAGGATTATGCCAAGTTCGAGACGGCCCGCAAGCTAAAGAAGCGAATCAATAACATTCGAGAGGTTTATCTGGATTCAGTTCCTCAAAAATAAACGTTTTTTTAAAGGTTTATCGAGGTGATTGGAAGAGCAAAGAGATGCGACTACGGCAACGAGCTGTTGCTTTGTATTTCATTGATAAGGTGGGTTCAGTCGAATGCGTTCGAGCCAAAGCTTCGGGTTTAGCTTGCTCTTCGTGCTGGAAATGAAAAGGATACGGAGGAAGCTGCAGATACAGTTGGTTGTTGCTCTCTTCGCTGTGAACACATCAAACTCCATGAGCAACTTGATGGAAAAGAGTAAGTGTTTTTACCTGCATTTTGCCAGTTAGTCTAGCTAAACGTTCGGTATTAATGGTTTTTTTAGTTACGTTGTCGAGTTCGACTTCCTCGGTAAAGATTCCATTCGATACTACAACAAAGTGCCTGTCGAGAAGCCGGTCTTCAAGAATCTCAAGTTGTTCATGGAGAATAAAGATGGATCGGATGACTTGTTCGACAGGCTTGATGTTGGTTTCCTTTTCACCAGATCTGAGCTTATGTTATGCTTTAGACGAGCACTTTAAATCAACACTTGTCGTCGTTGATGGATGGGTTGACTGTCAAGGTGTTCCGTACCTATAACGCTTCAATCACTTTGCAGGAGCAACTCGACAGGCTGACAAATTGTGAGTGCAATCCTAGAAATCTTATCATAAGCCTCTTTTTAGCAAATGACAATGTGGCCCAGAAGATGCTTTCGTACAATCGCGCGAATCGTCAAGTTGCCATCCTTTGTAACCATCAACGTGCGGTGCCGAAAACGCACGAGAAAAGCATGGAGAATCTGGAGAACAAGGTGAGATATTGATCATGCTGAAGTATTCAATATTGACTCAACTTTAGATCAAAGACAAGAAGAAAGAGCTCAAACAGGCGAAGGCTGATTTGGAGAGAGCTCGAGGAGCCGAGAAGGAGAAAGTAAAGAAACGCGTTGATCGACTCAAAGATCAATACAAACGCCTCAAGATTAATCGCACTGATAAGGTAATTGTTGAGAGCCATTCAGCACTAACCGATTCTTTAGGATGAAAACAAGCAGATCGCTTTGGGCACTTCGAAATTGAACTACTTGGATCCGCGAATCTCGGTGGCTTGGTGCAAGAAGCACGAAGTTCCCATTGAAAAGGTGGGTGTCAAATTTTAGTGCGTAAAAAAGACCAACTATGTTCCCGAGAACCAACATATATTTTAGGTTTTCAACAAGACGCAACGCGAAAAGTTCCGATGGGCGCTCGACATGGCCGACGAGGAGTACGTCTTCTAAATCGACTGGATCTATTTCTTTATTTTCTTTTTAAAAGGTAACTGTTGTTTTAAGCGATATTTTTGATTTCTCTTCCATATTTTTGTATATCAACTTTTGATAAGAACCGTGTCTTAACTATGGGTTTATTAGTGCTAGCTTAAAGTCTACTCATTAGGTCATTGCTAACAATTTCCCCTTTCCAAATTTCCTTGTTTTTGATGAATAACTTTCATCTTTTCCGTCCTTTTGTCGTTTCCCATTCACCCTCGGGAACGTTTCCCCAAGTAAGTTTTACCAAAATTTTCGAGTTACAACAATCTGTTTTGTATTTGACTTTGAAAATTGTGTCCTCAAATCTTTCTTTTTGTCAAATCCTCCTTGTGTCTCTCATTTTTGGTCATTACTTCAGCTGTGTTATGTCCTTTCAAATTTTCCTTTCATTAACCCCAAAATTGTGAGTGTTTCTTTTCAAATCTAATATCTCTCCTCTGTTATTGCTATCGTAATTTTATAATAATCCGTAAATGGGCTTTGTTTTAAGTTCTCTCTTTTTCATTTTTCTCGATATTGTTTGTTCTCACCGTTTTATGATTGTTTATTATTCATGAATGGATAAAAGGGTAATACCATGATGTTTTTAAAAGAGATGCGAGTTAAAGGCTTTGATACCATACCTTTGATACCTTTGATACCATGATACCATGATACCAGTGTACTGGTTTACTCAAGCACGCCAGAAAAAGGTTGTGTTTACGTTTTTCCTAAGCACAAAGTACACGGAGAGTACGTTGAGTTCTTAGTCAAATTTGAGAGTTTTTATACAAAAAAACCCGTTATGAATGAGAAAAATATCCATAGGAAAAGTCGACTATGTAAAAAATTTAAATAAAAAAATCCCCCCTTACCCCTACCATGGAAAAAAACCTTGGGAAATTTTTCCAGGGACCCCCCTCCCTAAGGACCACCGGCGGCCTCTGGATCGGGCATACAATAATGAAAGTTTCTCATGAGCACAATAAATATCCGATTTTCTCGAATTCTCGAATCATTTCGACACACCCAACAGCGTTTTCAGTGTCCAATCGGTGACAATCGAGGCCATGGATTCCATTGGGCGATTCACGTCGCGCACCTGGGATATTCTCTGGTTCGATTTTGAATTAGTTTTATCGTAGTTTATACAAATTGCAGTTTTATCGTAGCTTTACCATATCACCCAAAACCCCAACCAGCATCAGTACAATAGCCCACTCACCCTTGGCAAAGCGTTCAGAATGAACTGCTCGACCGGTCCCATCGACGAGGCAGAGCCGCGGAAATTTCGATTCTCTTTACCCGGCACCCAAACATTTGTGGGTATTGGTGGCGGACGTGGGGGCAATGGAGAGCCGGAATCTGTAAAACTCATTGCAGAAGTGGGAACTCGACTCACCCATGATATATCTCAAGTTGAACTTCGTCTCGTACTCTAAAATTGTCGATGTGTGCAGGAGCAAGAGCTCTGACTGCTCCGACGTTCGTTCGATCTCTCCGTCGTCACAGCTGAACTTTGGATTCGGGTTAAAAGAGAGCTTAGGAATAATTTAATATGTTTTCAAAGGTGCTAAAGCTACCGTAACTTGATGAAAATGGATAAATTAAGCGTGGCCCCGCTACCGTAACCCGTAAGTGGTACAGTAATCCAAATAGTCTCTACCGCAGCCAGGGTGAAGCCTACTGTAACGTCAAATGAGTTGAATCTAGAGAGCTAGACCGGGTTTTGCTAGCTAACAGCTAGACAACTGAAAGTGCCAGGTACGGTAGCTAAATGAATTTAGTGTCTACGGTATCCCACCACTTCCGAAAGCCAGTCTGCTGAAAATCCGAGTTCGCCTTGATTTCGATGTAAGCCTAAAAAAGATTTACGGTAATTTGAGACAAATTTTAGACTAAACCTTGCAAACTTCTTCACAACGGTACTCGACTTTCGAGAGAACGAAGCGAATTCGAGCGTTTTCAGCCTAAAGTTCACTTTTTTTCCACGTCAATTCGAACTCTTTCAACTAGATACCTTTTCTAAACACTGACACGATACGATACGATACGACGATACGTACACAGTACGAAACGATACGATACGACGATACGTACACAGTACGAAACGATACGATACGACGACACGTACACAGTACGACACGATACGACGACACGATACGACGACACGTACACAGTACGACACGATACGACGACACGTACACAGTACGAAACGATACGATACGACGATACGTACACAGTACGACACGATACGGCGACACGTACACGGTACGACACGATACGACGACACATACACAGTACGCGACACGATACGACGATACGTACACGGTACGACACGATACGACGATACGTACAGAGTACGACACGATACGACGATACGTACATGACGTATTTTTTTTTGACGAAAATGACGATTTTTTTTGGTGTTAACCAACTTTAAGGACTTTTTTTCATTTATTTCACAGAAAATTCTCGTCAATTTTATGGTACTTTACACTAGTACTTTACACTGGTACTTTACACTAGTTTTCAAGAGGAGATTCAGGGCTATCGAATGCGCTTTAATAGTTTGATTTATCTTTGAATCTTCCCCAAATTATCAGCAAAATAGTTAACGACTACGCGACTGTACGCGAAAAAATAGCCGCATCGCGAATGTGTTAAACGAAAACGCACCCGAATTCGCCAAAAGCATTCGCCTTTCCCACGAAAAGAGATCTCTTGCCAGAGCCCGGTCGCTGTCAGCTCACCGCCGCATAAACGTGTGCCTTAATTAAAGTTAGATGAAAAAAAGTGATAGTACTGAGCTTGGCCCATTTACCAAAAAATCCAATGTGTTTTCTAAAAACGGCTCTTTTTTTCTTTCAAACTACCGTAATTTTGTAGCTTTTTTTATCGTATTTTTATCCAATTCAAATTTACGCATTTCCATCCAATCTGGATAGACTTTTTTGACTGGACTGGACTTTTTGGACTTTTTGTATCACTTTTCTAACAGAAACAGACGAAAAAATTGGATTGAATTGATTGAAAATTGAAAATTGAATAATTAAATAATAGATAATAGATTGAATAATTGAAAAAAGACGAAAAAAAAGACAAGATTACGGTAATTTGACGGAAAGGAAATGATTTCGAAAACGAATGATTTCAAAAGCTCGCTTACTTTGTTGCTCGCTTACTTTGTTGCTCGCTTACTTTGTTGCTCGCTTACTTTGTGGCTCGCTTACTTTGTGGCTCGCTTACTTTGTGGCTCGCTTACTTTGTGGCTCGCTTACTTTGTGGCTCGCTTACTTTGTGGCTCGCTTACTTTGTGGCTCGCTTACTTTGTGGCTCGCTTACTTTGTGGCTCGCTTACTTTGTGGCTCGCTTACTTTGTGGCTCGCTTACTTTGTTGCACCCTCTCACACCGTACTCCGCCGAGTTTTCGAAACCATTTTCTTTCCGTCAAATTACCGTAATCTTGTCTTTTTTTCGTCTTTATTCAATTATTCAATCTATCTCATTTGTTTTTATTCAATTTTTTTGTCTGTGACGAAAAGGTAATGATTTCGAAAACGAATGATTTCAAAAGCTCGCTTACTTTGTTGCACCCTCTCGCACCGTACTCCGCTGAGTCCTGGCGGACATTTGCATCTAAAAATTTGAATTTCAAAGCACAATTCGAACTCTTCGAACTCTTCGAACGAACCGATTGCAGTTATTCGGATCCACATAACCGCCGTGCTCACAACCGAGATCCTGTGGGCAAACGTCTAAAAAAAGATGGACTTTGTGCTCGGCTTCTCTGTAAATTCACCCCTTCTGGCGCACTGAACTCTCTTGAACGGGTGCACTACTATTAGAGAGAATACGGTAATGTATGTGCTGTTCATGAGATCATCTCGGTGTCTAATGAAGTGATTCTTGAGAGGTTATTTTTTGGAAGAGGTTTGTATACAATATCGGCTCAAGAGATAGGTGAAGAGGGCCGTTTCCGGTCTTTTTTTTTACCAAAATGGATATAACTCTTGATTTCAGTGCACTAGAAAGCATACGTTCACAAATTTCGCACTCACCATTGCAATAAAGTCGATTCACTTGTTTTACGTCGATAAAAGATGGGCCTCGACGCTGACCGATCGTTCTGAAACTTGGGCTGATCTCTAATTTGTTCTGGCTCTAGTCGAACTTGCTCTGGTTCTGGTTTGTATTAGGTCTGGCCTAGCCTAACCAGACTTGGCTATGCTCTAACCGTTCTTGCTCTTGCTCTATGCTCTTGGCTATGCTTTGAGCCGAACAAACCAGACCTGACTCTAGCCTAAATCTAGTAACCAGATTTAGCCTGATTTAGCTAGACTTCAACTTTGACTGACTTGATATGGCTCTGACTTGATATGGCCCTAACTTGGCTCTGATTTAAGTTGGCTATGGTTTGGTCTAGCTTTGTCCTGGACTGGCTTTGCTTGGCTTGTTCCAGGTTTGATCTGTCTAGCATAGACCAGCATAGACCAGCATAGACTGTCCTAGAGTTGATCTCGCTTGGCTCTAGTCTAGCTCTAGTCTGGCTCTAGTCTGGCTCTAGCTCTGGCCTACTTCTAGCCTGACTCTAGAAGTATCTCAGAACATTTCTTGTTCTGATCTTGATCTGATCTCAGAACATTTCTTGATATAAATTCGCATTTAAAGTTTCCAAGTACGGTATTGATCTGGCGCTGGTGTAACTTGGCGCTGGTGTAACTTGGCGCTGGTGTAACTTGGCTCTGAGCTGAGTTGGCTCTGAGCTGAGTTGGCTCTGAGCTGACTTGGAATTTCGTGCCCTATCTACAGTAACCCAGAAACTTGCTCACCGTTGAAATTGCTTATCCTTTGTGATCAGCGTGTGCTCGTCCCAATCGGTGGTGAAAGCCTAGAATATATGATTAGATGCGTCATTCAAAACCGTTTACTGTTGGTCCATAATGCATAACGGATCCAAGATCATACGGTAATCCCATATCTTCGGTTTCTTGCGTCGTTCGTTTCGCGAAATTCCCTTCAGTGCCCCGGATGACAACGCCGCGACTGAAAAGCCGTAATCCTGCCAATTTCCCCTAGATTCCTATTTCCTGTCCGATCTACAGTATCCCCTATCTACACTTGAGAAATGTTATTTTGATAGACAAGGATTGGGAATTCGATTTTCCTAATACTTACTTGAAAACGATGTAATCATCGCGATCCGGTCGACTCTGCTCATGCCAAAAGCCGAGCGAATGGCCCACCTCGTGCGTGACGATACCCGCCTGAAATTTGGATTTTCAACAGCTAGGGTGAGTCACGATCTGGCCTAGAGCTGGATCTGGATCTGGTTTCTAGCATGAGCTCACTGGCAGACTCTAATCCCGAGTTTCAACAAGTTTCAACAAGTCAACAAGCCTACCCAGACCAAAGCCAAGTCCACATCCGGCCAGAAGCCAGGTTTGGCTTGGCTTGGCTTGACCTGGCTTGGCTTTACCTGGCTTTGCCTAGCTTGACTTGTAACTGGAACTGAAACTGTTACTGCACAATCTAATGCCAGCAAATCCCCACTCACATCATCGCATCCATATCCAATCGAAACCGCTTGCCCGCCACCCACTCTGCCCACCGACGAGTAGCATCTGAATTGATTGATTCAAATTCAGAAACTTCATCATCTCCGATAACACCATCATTTGGGTTATCGATTTTATAGTAATTATAATTTGAGCCTATCAGCTCACCCAGATCCGCGAATGAAAACGAGATGATTTCTGGCTGATGGATCTTCTCTCCAACGGACACAAGTCTCCGATTCCCATATTGAGAGACCTTTCCGGATCAGTGTTTTCCATTCTTCTAAAGCTCAATGCTTCAAAAGGCTTCAAAAGACTTTAAAAGACTTTGGAAGACTTCAAAAGACTTCAGAAGGCTTCAAAAAACTTTGGAAGACTTCAGAAGGCTTCAAAAGACTTCAGAGGACTTCAGAAGGCCTCAAAAGGCTTCAAAAGGCTTTAAAGGTTCAATTTTATAATCTAGAAATGGTGGGAATCATGTTTTTATTATCCTGCAAGGATACGAGTCCGCATTTGAAGTCGGATTTGAATTCTTGCAAGATCAAATTTCGATAGACAAAGATAAAGATAAGATAAAGATAAGATAAAGATAAGATAAGACAAAAACAAGGCCAAGATTTCTTTAAGCAAACGTTCTTTCAAACCCAATACTCTGTTTTGACAGAACAAAAAGTAGAAATCGAAATCAAAAAGAGATCGAATCCTCTTGATCACTGACCCGTTCCCCCTTTGAAGCGATACGGAATCGGCGCTCCCTTTGGCCATCGGTAAACCCCTCCAGTGATCACTTTCCGTTTCGTCCTTTTCCCACCCTCACCAGCTGCCAAAACGATTCTAGAAATTTGCATACATAGATCTGCATTCATTTTTTAAAGTAATGCGTTTTAAAGTAATGCATTTGTTTACCCCTTCATCTGTTCCACCGTCAACACCATGTCCGATTCGAAGAGCTGATTGGTGAGCGGCCGATTGGCGCCCATTTCCGTCCCGTCGTACATCGGCTCGAGTTGAATTGACTGAATAGTGTGAATAAGTGAACGGTCAAATCTATGTTCATGGATTCACAACTCTACAAAGCCAAGAATTATGGAATTCATTGATCTATTGCTTTTTCTTACTAGAACTTCGGAGCTAGGATTTGGCCTGTCAAAGCTTTTTATATACATACTTACAGTACCTACCGAGTACCTGGGCCAGACACAGCTGTACCCAAGGCTTCGGTATAGGCACTTGTGCATGGCTTGCACTAGTTTTTGGGCCTAGCCACGCTAAGCTGACACAGGTGGCCTGTCAACCTAAGCTGACACAGGTGGCTGGGGCTCAGCTGGTCTGGGCATCACACCAGGCCAGCCGAGCCCCAGCCGAGCCCCAGCCGAGCCTGAGCCGAGCCTGAGCCGAGCCTGAGCCGAGCCTGAGCCGAGCCTGAGCCAGTAAGCAAAGCCAGGCCCAAGCAAGCCAGGCCCAGGCCTGGCGTCTTGCCTGACTTGGCTTGACCTTGGACTTTCTGTGAAACTTGAGCAGTCTGAACAGTCCATTGTCGAGCCAGGAAAACATTTCAAAAAGCTAAAACATTCACCCACCGACGCCTGTTTTGCATTCATATTCGCCATAGCGCCGAAAAAAGCGTGCATCAATTTGCGCATTGAGTCGCCCTCGGTTTGTTGAACGGGCGAGTATTCGGAGACTTCTTGCAGAAGCTAAGCGAATACTTTTAATCATCAAAAACACAGCAAATCTCTCACCTTGAGAACTCGATTTGGTTGAGCAAAGGCTTTCACACGATCCTCCAATATGTGATTGTTCTAATAAGCAATGTAAGCAATTGCTATTTCATTTGCTAATGTCGAACCTGATCAGGCGGAAAGGTGAAATCGGTGGGTAAAGAGAAGGGTTTTTGAGTGATTGTAGAGGTTGGAGGTGGAGTGGGAGGTGGAGTTGGAAAAGTGGGGAACTTCGGGAGAGTGAAGGTCGGAATTGGGGTGGTTTTTTGGGTGAATGGTTGACGGAGAGGACGACGGATCAGTGACCTAATTGTGCTTTGTGCTTAAATCTTATAAACTTTCTTTCTAGCGCAAAGGAAAGAGAGATCTGTGTGCTAGAAGAGATTCGTTTGTTAGAAGAGATTCTTTTTTTTTTTTTTTTTTTTTTTTTTTCTTTAAAACCTTTTTAAGAACTTTTTTAAAAACTTTTTAGAACGTTTGCTAGAACGTTTGCTAGAACGTTTACTAGAACGTTTACTAGAACGTTTACTAGAACGTTTACTAGAACGTTTACTAGAACGTTTACTAGAACGTTTGCTAGAACGTTTGCGTTTGCGTTTACTTCGCTTGCGTTTACTTCGCTTGCGTTTGCTTCGCTTGCGTTTGCTTCGCTTGCGTTTGCTTCGCTTGCGTTTGCGTTTGCTTCGCTTGCGTCTGCTTTGCTTGCGTTCGCTTCGCTTGCGTTCGCTTCGCTTGCGTTCGCTTCGCTTGCGTTCGCTAGAACGTTGGCGTTTGCTAGAACGTTAGCGTTTGCTAGAAAGTTGGCGTTTGCTTCCAAGTTGGCGTTTGCTTCGCTTGCGTCTGCTAGAACGTTTGCGTTTGCTTCGTTTGCGTCTGCTAGAACGTTTGTGCTTGTTTCGCTTGCTTTTGCTTCGCTTGCGTTTGCTCCGTTTGCATTTGCTTCGCTTGCGTTTGCTTTGCTTGCGTTTGCTTTGCTTGTGTTTGTTTCGTTTACGTTTGCTTCGCTTGTGTTTGCTAGAACGTTTGCGTTTGGGTTTTCTTCGCTTGCATTTGCTTCACTTGCGTTTGCTTTGTTTGCGTTTGCTTCGTTTACTGCATTTATTCATACTCGTTGTTTACCTGAACCCTTTTGAGATTGCATCACCCAGTACATTTCCTGAAAGTTTAAGTTTGTTTTGTTTAAGTTTAAGTTTAACAATGAGACACAAAAAGCTTTATTAGGCAAAGCAAAGGGTAAATCAGAATCTTTACAGACAATAGAAGCAAAGAATAAATATAATTTAGCTCAATGCGGAGAGACGGAAGCGATGTGATGGCTCTTAAATTTAAAAAAATTGCGGTAAAGTAGTTTCAGCAAAAAGGAATCGTTTTCTAAAACGTGTCTCTTTTCTGTTAAACTACGGTAATCTTGTTTATTTTGGTTTTCATCGAATTTGTTTACTTTTTTCTGTTCTTGTTTCTGATTCTGTTCTTGATTCTGTCTCTATTCTTGATTCTGTTTTTGTTCTTGATTCTCTTTCTGTTCTTGATTCTGTCTCTGTTCTTGATGATTCTTTCTGATTCAAAGAATATCGCAAATAGAGTGTTTTCTCCTCAAGAAATAGCGTGAAATAGGAAACGGTTTAAGCGGAAATCAACTGAATATCTGAAAATCTACTGGATTTCGAAACCTTCTACAATTTGTAAGATATTCAGTTTATTTTACATGAACTCGTTTCCGATTTTGCACTATTTCTTGAGAGGAACACACTCTAATCGCGAAAATGTTAAAAGTGAATAGATCTGATAAAAATAGACAAGATTACGATAGTTTAAGAGAAAGGGGAACGTTTTAGATACTACAGCGCTCAAGCCACAGCGCTCAAGCCACAGCGCTCAAGCCACAGCGCTCAAGCCACAGCGCTCAAGCCACAGCGCTCAAGCCACAGCGCTCAAGCCACAGCGCTCAAGCCACAGCGCTCAAGCCACAGCGCTCAAGCCACAGCGCTCAAGCCACAGCGCTCAAGCCACAGCGCTCAAGCCACAGCGCTCAAGCCACAGCGCTCAAGCCACAGCGCTCAAGCCACAGCGCTCAAGCCACAGCGCTCAAGCCACAGCGCTCAAGCCACAGCGCTCAAGCCACAGCGCTCAAGCCACAGCGCTCAAGCCACAGTGCTAAAGACTTTCTGGACGATTATCGGAGGTTTAATACACGCCCCCCGCCCCCTTTGCCTAACTTTAAGCTCAAATTTCTTGGTGTTGGACTGTTGAATTTGTAAATTATTAGTATCATTATATGCGCCAAGTCTTTCTCTATCGATTGATATATAAACTATTTCAATTGAAAAGCCCAACACCAAGAAATTTGAGCTTAAAGTTAGATTACCGATGGGAAAAGGGGCGGGGCGCGTATAAAAGGTCGTCCCCTCCGCCCCCTTTGCTATTAGCAATCCAACTTTGAGCTCAAATATCTTAGCATTGGGCTGTCCAATTTAAATAGTTTTTGTACCAATCGATAGAGAAAGATTTGGCGCATCCAATGATACTAATAATTTATAAATTCAACAGCCAAACGCCAAGAAATTTGAGCTTAAAATTAGATTTTATGGCAAAAGAGGCGTGCATCAAATGTTTCACAATCTTCTGGACAGCTTAATACATAAAAGCTATCACACGAAGCAAGCTGGATCACCGTATTTCGTCTAAAAAAGAAAACTCACCAACGTTTCTCTCTGGCGCTCTCCGGATTGGTCGAAATTTCTCGGGTGGCGGTGGAACGCCGTGTCTCAAGCCAACTAAAAAAAAGAACGCGTTGGGTAATGAAATCAATAACATGGTACAGCTAGAAACTGGATTTTCAAACATTTTCAATTCAAAGTACACCTTGATCAGGTTCAAGGCTCTGCTACTTTTTGCTCAACTAAAATCACCCTTTCTGGCTCTTCAAACCGTTGCTGAATAAAGAATTCAGTGCGCCAGTAGAGCACAAAGCGCCAGTAGAGCGCCAGTAGAGCGCCAGTAGAGCGCCAGTAGAGCGCCAGTAGAGCGCCAGTAGAGCGCCAGTAGAGCGCCAGTAGAGCGCCAGTAGAGCACGCTTTTGAGCACAAAATACCTACAGTACCAGCTCGTGGCCATTCGCCGGCTCTCTCAGCACTTGTCCCGATCTCATAATCACTGTTGATCAATCTCATTTGTGGCTAAATTTACATAATTACATGGACAGTACAAACTACAAAGGTAAAATATAAACGCTTCTAATTTGCTTCAAATCTACTGGTTTAACATGATCTATAGCTCAAAAAATAGGGAATTTCAAGAGCTTTCAAATGAACTAAAGCACAATTAAAAAGATTAATGCTAAAGAAAGTTACAGTGGTTTGTAGTAGACTTGTAACGGAAATATTTGTTGGACCTTTTTGCCGTTAGCAATTTGAGGTTTTTCTCAGCAGCAACCCTTTGTTTTTGACTATTTTGACGATCATTCGATAGAGAATCAAATTACGCGTCGAATGATACAAAAATCAACTCAAAATATAATATCCATGTAAAGTTATGAGGCAAAAGGTTCAGCCCCGACTATAATGGCGTTTTTAGTCAACAACTTTTGCTGGATATTAGATTTTAAGTTGATTTTGGTATCATTCGCCACGCAATTTCATTCTGCATCGAATGGTAGTCAAAATCAACTCAAAATCTAATATCCATGTAAAGTTGTTGGCTAAAAACCTAAACTCCACCCATTATAGTCGGGGACTGAACCTTTTGCCTCATAACTTTACATGGATATTATATTTTGAGTTGATTTTTGTATCATTCGACGCGTAATTTGATTCTCTATCGAATGATCGTCAAAATAGTCAAAAACAAAGGGTTGCTGCTGAGAAAAACCTCAAATTGCTAACGGCAAAAAGGTCCAACAAATATTTCCGTTACAAGTCTACTACAAACCACTGTAACTTTCTTTAGCATTAATCTTTTTAATTGTGCTTTAGTTCATTTGAAAGCTCTTGAAATTTCCTTTTTTTTGAGCTATAGATCATGTTAAACCGGTAGATTTGAAGCAAATTAGAAGCGTTTTTAATGTGACGTCATTTTTATAGTTTATAGTGTCCAATTTTCATTTGCTTAAGCAAAGCTGTTTAAAATTTTCATTTAACAAAAGCAAGCACCTGCAGCGAAGCGGTAAAGCTCTGTGTTGGTGGTTGAACGGCTTGCTGGGGCCAAGGCTGTTGAACGGGTTGATATTGTTGATAGTACTGTCTCGGCAACTGATAGTACTGTTGATAGTATGGTTGTTGAACGGGTAATTGTGGCTGGACAAGTTGTGGGCCTTGTTGTTGCCAGTATTGTTGAGCGATTGGAGGTTGGGTGGGCGGTGGAGGAAGCCATTGAGTGTAGAGAGGAGGTGATTGGGTTGGTTGAAGAGTTTGAGGTTGTGCTGGCGATGGGGTGCCGCTTGGGACGGAAAGCTGCTTCTTCTTAAAAAGCTACATTACGGTAAAGAGCATTGCGACTGTAAGTATAAAAGACAAAAGCTATCAAGATTGATATCAAGAGTAAAGCTGATCCGTCATGGCTAAGCTGGACCTGGCTAAGCTGGGCTTGCCTAAGCTTGGCTTGGCTAAGCTGGGCTTGGCTTGGCTAAGCTGGGCTTGGCTTGGCTAAGCTGGGCTTGGCTTGGCTAAGCTGGGCTTGGCTTGGCTAAGCTGGGCTTGGCTAAGCTGGGCTTGGGCTAGCTGGGCTTGGCTAAGCTGGGTTGGCTTGGCTAGCTGGGCTTGGCTAAGCTGGGCTCGGCTAAGCTGGGCTTGGCTTGGCTAAGCTGGGCATGGCTTGCTAAGCTGGGCTTGGCTTGGCTAAGCTGGGCTTGGCTAAGCTGGGCTTGGCTTGGCTATGCTGGGCTTGGCTTGGACAAGCCGGGATCCTGTTCAGGGTTAGACTAAAGCCAGCTTGAACCAGTCTAGGATTGAATCTAGTCTGCTTTTCTAACCGGGAATGGAGTTAGACCCGGGTTTGCCAACTGTATCAGTTGAAAAATTGAAGCCAGAGTACAGTAACTTTTTCTAGGGGTTAGAAAGCTGAGGACAAGTCAGCAGTAGCCAGCAAGCTGTTCCCAGTAGTCAGCAAGCTGTTCCCAGTAGCCAGCAAGCTGTTCTCACCCTTCTTTGATTCATTCCACCCGGCGTTCCCGGATGATTCCCATTCCGCCAGCTCTGACAGTTTTGTAAATGGAAAATTTCCCTTTTCTCAACTCACCCCTCCATTCGCTCCAGTACTAGCAGCCAGCTCACGACGTCTCTGAAAAGTTATAAACTTCTTTCGTAAGTCAAGACATAAGTCTATTGGATCTATTGAATATCCAATAGATCCAATAGGCTATTGAATATCCAATAAAATCATCCGCCATGCCCTAAATTTCAATTTTCTGGGTCTCCTGTGCCAGTGAGAAAAAAACTGAAAACATAGTCAGATTCAGGACCAAAAATAATCCTTAAACCCCAAAAATCGTTGACATAGCATGAATAGGGAAAATGTCATAGCCGAAAAACGAAAATTCACCTGGTGTAGAACCAGACGCCACCCCTCCCCCAAATTTTGGTGTCATTTCATACTTTTTTCTAGTTTAAAAGCTAAATCTGCCTCTGTCCCGTCCTTTCAATTCAGAGTCTTTATAAGGAGGCCTAAAGAGCTTTTTGCCCCCCCCCTTCAAAAAGATACCACCCCCTCCCCCCCTTTTATTTTTTTTTTTTTTTTTTTTTTTTTCCCCAATTTTTTTTATTTTTTTTTTCAAACCTACTTTTTTTAAAAAATTCCTTTAAATCCCACCCCCAAAAAAAATATTCCAAAAAAAACAACCAAACAAAAAAAAAAAAAAAAAAAAAAACCCAAAAAAAAAAAAATTTATTTTTTTCATTTTTTTTTCCAACCCTCTTTTTTTTTTTTCCCCCTCCCTTTAACAAAAAAATTTTCCCTTTTAAAAAATTTTTTTTTTTTTTTAAAAAAAAATTTTTTTTTAATTTTTTTTTTTTGTTTTGCTTTATTACATAATTTAAAATATTTTTTAATATTTCTCTCCCCCCCCCCACCCCCCCCCCCCCCAAAAAAACCCCCCCCAAACCATTTTTTACAATATTTTCTTTTTTTAAAAAAAAAAATTTTTTTTAAAAAAAATTTATTTTTTTTTTTTTTTTTTTTTTTTTTTTTTTTTTTTTTTTTTTTTTTTTTTTTTTTTTTTTTTTTTTTTTTTTTTTTTTTTTTTTTTTTTTTTTTTTTTTTTTTTTTTTTTTTTTTTTTTTTTTTTTTTTTTTTTTTTTTTTTTTTTTTTTTTTTTTTTTTTTTTTTTTTTTTTTTTTTAAAAAAAAAAAATTTAAAAAAATTTTGAACAGCCCTGTATAGCCCAGTTCAAACTAGAGCTGGTCATTCTTCTAATTGTCAATAGGTGTACAGCGGACCAACGAGATTTAACAATCCAACAGCTACTTTATAGAATTTCTTGCTACGTTGAACTTTCGTTGAACTTTTGGTCTACTTTTCTTTGTAGCTGTTAAAGTTAAAGTGAAATCTTATTTTTCCATTGTATACCATTGACAATCAGACCTAGAAACTTTAAAACAGCCTTTAAAACAGACGAAATGAAAGCTTTAAAAGCTTCTTAACTTCTACAGTAATCTTCTACCCACTTTAGCCATTCTTGCCCTTTGCAATCGATTCATTTGCTCGTTTCCCATTTCCCTCTCGATTCCTTTCTCTTTTCTCGCGATTTCCCTATTCAGTCGATTTTCTTCTCTTCTTCTCCTCATCTCCTCATTCCGCTTTTGAGCCTCCATTTTTTCGCGTTCTTTCTTTTCAACGCGAGATCTCTATAATTGAAAAGTGTTTGATAGCTTTGGTAGATCAATTTACACATCTATTATTAACAATCTGTTTGTCATATCTAAAATTGTGGTAAAACCGTCTGGTATCAAACCAGAAAAATCGTTGCATTTTCTGATAGAGTTAGAACTAGAGCAGATCAAATGCACCGCCAGGATTCGAACCCGTGACCTTTCGCTTACCGGGCAATTGTGCTAACCACAAATTGCTAATTGGCAATTGTGCTACACCACAATACACTTGATCTCCTTCCGTTTAGATGGAGTTAAGTGCAGGCTACAATACGGAAAGCCAAACCAGGTCAGGGTTTAGTGTCTGCCTTAGTCTTAGCCTTGCCCTGACCCTGACCCTAAAAAGATTGCCTTTAGAACAAGCTGTTAGTACTTTACTGTACTGAATACATACATGAATCTAGTACCAAACTAACTAGTTCCTTGGAAACTAGTTTGAATAACTCTATCTCTTAAACCAACCCTCATTTGTTGCTGTCGTTCGCGTTGCGCTTGAGTGATTTGTTGCTCGCGGCGTTGCTCAGCCTAAAACTATTTATCTAGAAGATCTAAAACTATTTATCTATCTATCTATTTATCCAGACACTTCCTTTTCTATAGCAGATCTACAAATAGATATATATACAAATAGATTCAAAGATAAATACCCTGTCAGCTTCATCGTAGTCGGCTGCTGAGATAGCGCCAGCCGGACTGGGCCCAACCCGTCCACCACCACCGCCTAGCGCTCCCAAGCCACCACCCTGAATTGATACTGATATCTGAGAGATGAATAGCTTTTACTGTAACAGATTGTCCCTTACAATGTCCCTTAAAATGTCCCTTACAATGTCCCTTACATTGTCCCTTACATTTTCCCTTACATTGTCCCTTACAATGTCCCTTATGTCCCTTACAATGTCCCTTACAGTGTCCCTTACAATGTCCCTTACAATGCCCCTTACAATGTCCCTTATGTCCCTTACATTGTCCCTTACAATATCCCTTACAATGTCCCTTACAATGCCCTTACAACAAAATCTAAACCTTATTCAGAAGTGACATGCCGAGTTGAGCAAACTCAGCAAAAGGCATATTGCTGCCTGGGCCCGCGCTGTTCCCTGTCGATGCAAATGTGTTCAAAAGGCTCTGAAATGAGAAGCATAAAATGGAAAGAAACACTAAATATCACTGTTTATTGAATATCTTAAAATGCTAATTAAAGTATTTCGGTTTTCTAAGTCCTACAAAACTCACTCCAATGCCTGACGCCGATCCACCGCCTGCCTCGTTGTTCCCGGCTAGCCCACTGCCCAAAAAAGGCTTCAGAAATGACATGAAGTCTTGAGCCTGTTATTTTTTTGATTAGATTTTGATCTTGATTAGATCTTGATTAGATTTTGATATCTCAAACTTTTAGAATCAGTTAGTTTCCAACTCACATTGATTGCTGTGAAGCATGCCACAAAGGGCAACACTGCCAACCGCATTTCTGATTCTATTCGGCTCTGATTTACGATTATATTTAACTACACTCCTCCACAAAATTCTATGGGCACTTACTTTTTTTTATCTTTATCAATTTTATGCTCTTAAGAAACGATAGTGGAAAAAAGTGGAAAAAAGTGGAAAAAAGATGTTTTATCGTCAATTCCTTATTAAATCTGCCAAACATAGATAAACTATTATATTTTGAAATATGAATGTAACGAGAAAGTTCAGGGGAGTGAAGTGAAATTGAAATTGCAAACAAATTGCAAATTGAAATCAAATAGTGAAAAGAAGGCTCATTTTGGAGTGAATTTTTGCAAAGATCTTCTTCAGTTTTGAGATGAAAAAGGGCAAAAGTCACGAAAGAAAGACTCTAGCGTTAGGTTTTTTTCTATAGCAATAGTTGAAGAACTGGACTTTGAAATATGAATGTACCGAGGAAGTTCAGGGGAGTATTTTTATCATATTTTGAAATATGAATGTTTAAAAATCGAATTTTGTAAAAAAAATGGCATTTGGCGCTTTCCACATCCCACAAAATGTACAAGACAAATTTTGTCGTAAAGAATTTCATTGAAAAGCCTTGTCAAGAAAAGTTGGGTGAGGCTGGGGTTGGGTGAGGCTAGGAATACAAAACATAGTTTTGTATAGTCAGGGGGTTTGGCCCTGGTCCTAGCCCTGGCCCTCGCCCTGATTTTGTCCTGACACTCTTTTAGCTCAAGTCACTAAAATGGGCTTGAGCTTGTTTTTGGCACTAGTATGATCCTAGAGCTAGCCTAACCCTGGCCCTGGTTCTAGCTTGTTCTGGCTGTGATTAGGGCTTGCTCTGGTCCTAAGACTAGCCTAACGCTGGCCCTGCTCTGGTTCCAGCTTGTTCTGGCCCTGATAGTTTTGTATAGTCAGCAAAACATGGTCAGGGGGTTCGACCTCTCGCTCAACAGACGAACGCTCTACCAATGAGCTACGCAGACAAGCGTCTTTGGACACTTTGCTATGGACAATTTGTTTTTTGTTTTTGTTTTTTGGCCTTTTTCTCATCTTTTTCAAATAGCTCTTTAGCTCTTTTTACTTAAAAAATCATTTCTTTAAGGTACTCGGAAATGTCGCTGTCGAAAAAGGAAACTGGAATCATGTGGCTGTGGCTGTGGCTGTGGCTGTGGCTGTGGCTGTGGCTGTGGCTGTGGCTGTGGCTGTGGCAGTGGCTGTGGCTGTGGCGAATAGCCACTAAAAAGTTACCTAACTCTGATAGGCTAAAAATTGGAAAAGTATTGCGGAAATCGCCTTCATTCTATTTCGCGTCCCAAATCATTTATTGTTTTGTAGCTTATTAGCTGAATATCTTGTATTAAAGCCTATATAAGGCAACTGTTGTTCATTTGATGCGTTTTTTGCTTTTTCTACTTTCCTATCATCTTGTGAAAGTTTTGTCCTAATTAGGACGAAATTGTTTCTCTTTTTATCGTCGCTTTTAATTCAATTGTCGATTTTGTGTGAAAATTGCTCAAGTGAGAGCCCAAAAATTCCGAGTCAGTCGGCTATTGAATAAAGTGTTTTTGTTCCAATATGGTTCTAATATGGTTCTAATATGGTTCTAGTATGGTTCTAATATGGTTCCAATATGGTTCTAATTTGGTTCTAATTTGGTTCCAATATGGTTCTAATTTGGTTCTAATATGGTTCTAATATGGTTCTAATATGGTTCTAATATGGTTCTAATATGGTTCCAATATGGTTCTAATTTGGTTCCAATATGGTTCTAATTTGGTTCTAATATGGTTCTAATATGGTTCTAATATGGTTCCAATATGGTTCCAATATGGTTCCAATATGGTTCTAATATGGTTCTAATGTGGTTCTAATATGGTTCCAATATGGTTCTAATTTGGTTCCAATATGGTTCTAATTTGGTTCTAATATGGTTCTAATATGGTTCCAATATGGATCAGATATCTCGAAACAAGAAATAACATGTCTTGAGTGAAGAGTACCAAGCACGCAAAGAATATTTCTTTACAGAGGCAATGAATTGCGAAGGACACTCAAATAGGAGCAATAGAACGATTTCTGAATCGAACACCAACGTTACTCGGTTCCTCTCTGTTTGATCCTCTACAATATGGAACAAAAAAGTCGACTGGTGCCTGGCGAATCGTTTCTTAAGAGCATAAGAGCTTAAGAGCATAAGAGCATAAGAGCAATTGATAAAACAGTAAGTGTCCATAGAATTTTGTGGAGCAGCGTATAGCAGGCAACCTTTCCAAAACATTTTTCGGATTATAGAATTCTTTAGATAATAGATATAAACTGTAGGTTAATGATATCAAAAGTGAATGAAAATTCATAAAAAGCATATATTTTTAAGAGTTTTAAAAAATTCAGGGTAGCAAGAGCAGAAAATTCGAGCAGAAAATTCGAGCAGAAAATTCATGAGCAGAAAATTCTGAAGGAAATTGAGAAATAGAAATATGGAGGGAAGATTGGAGAAATTAACGGAAATTGGGCGGTTATTTGAAGGATTACGATACAAATAAGATATTCAACTAAAAAAAAATGCAAAAACTTTGAAGTGAAAGTGTGGAATTCTGCTGAAACAGGTTTCCCCATTCAAAAAAGAGAAACCAAGAACTTTGCCTTTTTTTGGGCAACCTTTCTGACAAGAATATGAAAAAATAGTAAGATACCGTATTTTCTGTAATAGTGGTGCAGTCTGTAATAGTCGTACAGGCTGGAGGGGGGTTAAAATAGTTAAAAAAATAGTAGTGCGCACTACTATTACAAAAAATACGGTATCCTGATCAAAACCAAGTAAAAGTTTGATAGAATAAAATAGATTTGAAAAAAAAACTCAAATCAATTACTGATTAATCGTAGTTTTAAACGGAATTTCGTTCTTGATTCAGCTTTTCCTTTGCCATTCCATCAAAAGAGTTTCACCCTAATGTTGTTTGGGAATTTGTCCTCTTTCCTCCCAAAAACTTTCACTGAATTTTTGCATATCTTTAAGGAAAATCGATTCGGACAAAAAATGAAAGCCACTTGTCGATGTCTTTTGGATTTCAAGATCTTCAGCTATTCAGCTATTCAGCTATTCAGCCAATCGGCTATCCATCTATTTAGCTATTAAGCTATTTAGCTATTTAGCTATTTAGCTATTTAGCTATTCAGCCAATCAGCTAATCAACTAATCAGCTAATCAGCTAATCAGCTATTCAACTATTCAACTAATCAGCTATTCAGCTAATCAGCTAATCAGTTATTCAGCTATTCAACTAATCAGCTATTCAGCTATTCAGCCAATCAGCTAATCAGCTAATCAACTAATCAGCTAATCAACTAATCATCTAATCAACTATTCAACTATTCAACTAATTAGCTATTCAGCTATTCAGCCAATCAGCTATTCAGCTAATCAGCTAATCAGCTATTCAACTAATCAGCTATTCAGCTAATCAGCTAATCAGCCATTCAGCTATTCAACTAATCAGCCAATCAACTAATCAGCTATTAAGCTTGCGAGCTTTCTAATGAGCTATCATCCCTCTCTTGCAGACAGAAAGTTCATTAAAATAAGCTGATTTAGTTAAAAGTGAGATTATTGCTTGTAAAGACATTGTAAAAATAAGATTTCAACAAGAAAATCGATTCCAGGAAATAGGGCTCTAAATTTGAATTGAAAAAAAACTGACTGAACAATGATAAAATGACTAAAATGACCCCTGCGACTGGAGGCCATGCCATTTTGCGGAAAACAATGAGAAAGGAAAAAATTGAGGAGAAGAGATCGTCCATTTGAAAAGAAAAGAAGAAAGGAGAACCGGTCGAGAATAAACAGGCGAACAATCGGGAGGAGTTGAGGGGAAAAGGAGAAAGATGGGGAGAATGAGAGGAAAAGCTTGAGAGGAGAGCATTGCTTCTCCCCAATCACTCTTTTAAAGTCTATTATGAATCACCAATTGAGCTAACTTTTACAGAACTAACAAAGAAAGAGATCGAGATAGATTTTACGTCACAAAACACTAGATTTACGTTTTCCTGGTTTCCATTTTTCCCATTTTTGGCAAGTCTGCTTCTAATCAACTCTTAAGTTGCCCAGAACTTTTTCACCTTTTAAAATTTTGTTTATATGTCGTAGCCGATTATGAATTTCAGCCGATTATGAATGAGTGGGTCTAGGAGCGTCCAACCATCAAGTATTTAGTATCATTCAACGCAGAATCATTAATAATTATGTTAAATTTTTAAAATTAGAAAGATTTGATAAAAAGAAAAAAAATTAGAGCAAAAAAACTGTTTGTTCAAGAGGAAACTTTGAGGCCCCATAATTTTTTTTCTTTTTATCCAATCTTTCTAATTTTAAAAATTTAACATAATTATTAATGATTCTGCGTTGAATGATACTAAATACTTGATGGTTGGACGCTCCTAGACCCACTCATTCATAATCGGCTACGGGGGGTCCCGCCGATTTTGAATGAAACGTTGTAGCGCCGGTAATTTTTAACCTAAACTCACAAATTTGGTACCAATCGACGTAGAATTTAATTCGCTACAAGATGATATAATATTGTCCTCATACATTAAAGGGTTGCCCTACTAGAAAGATTTACCAAAAAATTTCATTCATAATCGGCTACGACATATATATGTCGTAGCCGCTTACGAAATTCAGCCGCTAACGAATGAGGGTATTTTCGGGCATCCGGTTTAAATTGTATTATATTGTATTATATTGTATTATTATTGCTTATTTATTTTAATTATTTTCACAACTATTGCTATCATTAAATATTACATAATCTTAGGTCCAAGATGACGGATCAAAAACTCGTGTTGCGGGCGTGTCTTATCTATGACTTCAAAATGAAGTCGAAGTCAGCATCGAAGTCGCACCGGAATCTTTGTGAAGCATTCGGAGAAAACATTTTGAGTGAAAGGACTTGACAGGAATGGTTTCGACGTTTTCGTGAAGGGTAGCTTGGAAGATGGATATTGTCCAGTTGTCTTCGATAATGCGGAGTCGCTGGAGATTGTCGAGTTGGATCCAACTCAAACTTTGCCCGAATTAGCCGAATACTTTAAATGTGATTCGAACACAATTTCTCGACACCTTGCGCTTATTTGAAAAAGGAATCTTTGTGGCCAATGGGTCCCACATGAATTATCCCCTGAAAACAAAGCCAATCGAGTTTTATGGTCTCGGTTTCTATTGAAAAAGGCTACGGGCAGTGCTTTTTTGGAAACATGTTGATGATGGACGAAAAGTGGACATATTCCAATAATGCAACACGCAAAAGACAATAGTTGAGCAAAGGAGAAAGGCCGATTCCGACATCACATCCAGAACTTCACGGAAAGAAACTTATGCTGTCGGTCTTTTGGAATATGAAAGGAATCGTTTATTTTAAACTACAAAAATCTTCAAAAACTATAACTTCTCAAAGCTACGCCGAACAGCTGAAGAAAGTTGATGAAATTCTACGAGAAAGAGGTGTCAATCCAAAGACAATCCATTTACTTGCTCGTGTTGCGGGCGTAGGCGTCTTCTCTATGACTTCAAAATGAAGAAATCAGCATCGAAGTCGCACCGGAATCTTTGTGAAGCATTCGGAGAAAACATTTTGAGTGAAAGGATGAATTTTGGGCTGTTCAAATGTTGGTTATAATCCGCAGTTTCTTTTGCAAGTCCCTAATATTAAGAAGCTATTAACAAGCTATTAACAAGCTATTAACAAGTTCTTCTCAAATAGTTTATTGTAAGTTAAGAAACAAAAGACAATAAAACACTACATTATAATGAATTTTGTCTGGGAACACAAAAAACAAAATTAATAATGACAATGTTGACCAAAAACCAAAGACAATGTTTGAAAACATTTCAAAAATAAGAGACCATAGGAATTTTTGATACAAATAAGATCTAGAGCCTCTAGATCTAAGATCTAGAGACTCCAAACTTTACTGTACGATAAAGAAAATGATTCAGAGTTGATCACTTGCGCTTCTTAAATGGTGGTGCACTGCGGTGATCTTTCCCGCCGTGTCTCTTCTTTGGCGATCCCCGATTGTCTCTTCTGTGGCGATCTCGATCTCGATCTCGATCCCGATCCCGTCCATGGTTTTCTTTATGACGGGATGACGATTGCCCTCCACCAACACGTCCACCTTCTTGTATCTCCTCGAAATCTTTCCGCTTGTCCGCTTTTCGAGCCTCTTCTTCCAAATCCGACCAGTCCTAGAGTTCAGAAATTACCATAGACCATAATTACTACCGAATACCACCCAAAGTCAGTCGTTTCTCAAAAATGTTAACTCTTTCTCTGAAACTTGTGTAATCTCAGAGAGAAATTGGGTTAGTAACAAAGCCAAGGCTAGTCAAGGCTAGTACCGAAGCCAAGGCTAGTCAAGGCTAGTCAAAGCTAGTCAAGGCTAGTCAAGGCTAGTCAAGGCTAGTCAAGACTAGTACCGAAGCCAAGACTAGTACCGAAGCCAAGACTAGTACCGAAGCCAAGGCTAGTACCGAAGCCAAGACTAGTACCGAAGCCAAGACTAGTACCGAAGCCAAGGCTAGTCAAGGCTAGTCCCAAAGCCAGCTCCAGTTTGGGTTATTTTGTAATAGCAGAACTAGATCAGATTTAAAATGGTATTTTTCTGAACAGCCTAATAGTATTCGTGTCTATAGATTAGCTTTGAGTGATCCTAGATTCGGTTAAGATTCATTATTGCACAAGTTTATATAAAATGGACCATACGGTTGCTTAAGTGCTTAAGCTTAAGAGTCTAGGTGTTAAGTCTTAAGCTCTGTGCCCACCTTTCCCTCGCTTTCATCCGAATCCAACGACGCGTCACTGTCACTTCCCTCATCTTCGGTCATCTCGCCTTCTGACTCGTCCTCATCCTCATCAGAACCGGATTCAGATTCCTGGAAAACTTTGTACTAGATTATAGGCGAATAAGAAGGCGAATAAGAGGCAATAATCATAGACAATCATAAGCAAATAATCATAGACAATAATCATAAGCAAATAATAGAGTTTATATAAAATAAGTCAAAGTTTCTCAAAGAAATCAGATTAAAAATCTTTTCGAACCTCTTCCGATATAGTGTAGGCATCACTCTCACCACTTTCATCTTCCATATTTTCACCTTCTTCGTCAGAGTTTGGATCGAGAAAACTCCAGCCACCGCTTTGGAAAAACTCCTGGGAATTTGGAATTACGATAAGTTTCTCTAATTTTAAGATTTACCACAGGATCATCAACGATCGTCTTCATAATTTTTGGCCAATTGAGTGATTGTATGCCTTCAGTGTACTTTAGATCGCATGAATTCAGCCACTCCTTTACACTGTCCAGCGAGGTCATCGGAATTTGTTGAATCATTTGAGTTTTTCGGCGATAATCCTAAATTGAAAAGTTGATGCTTAGACTTTTCTTTGTAAATAAAGAAACCTTGAAAATAAAGACTAAATCGAAGTTCTTCAGCTGGAAGGAAACACGCTCAAAGTGAACTAGTTCAACGTCATCCTGGAATTGTTTTGAGTTATGAACAGGTATAGAACAGGTATAGAACAGGTACAGGAACCAGATCCAAACCTTAACCAGGGTTAGTCCTTAACCAGGACTGAAAGCCTAGGCCAGACTGGACCAGAATCAGCACAAGTCCAAGCCAAAGCGCGGCCAAGCAGAGTAGAACAAAGCGAGAAATACAGCCAGGACCAGTAAGGGATAAGGTGGCTCTAGTTTCCCTTACTTGGGAAACTGGCTTGGCTGTAGTTTCCCTTACTGGCTCTACCGTTGTAGAGCCTTATCCCTTAGCTTATTAGCGTTGTAGCTCATTGGTAGATGGTTCGCCTGGTAAGTGAGAGGTCGCGGGTTCAAATCCCAGCCTCAACCCATCAGTGTCCTCTAACTCTAGCCTGATCTTGGTTGATTATTGACTCTAGCTCTGACCTGATATGGTCTATGTGCCTTGTCTTGGTGATGATCTAGCTCAAGCTCAGGCTTAGGCCAATCTGGATCCTAGCCAATTTAGACCAGGACAGGTCAGAACTAGGGTAGGGCTAGACCAGAGCTGAGCAAGACTAGACCAGAGCTGCCCAAGCGACCAAGACTAGCCAAGCCAAGGTACACAAAGTCTAGGCCATGTCAGTTCAAGGCTAGGGTCAAGTAAAATTAACCAAGACCAGGCTAGAGTTCAAGGCTACTAATCACACTCACCAGTGTGACGACGAAGACGGGTGGCTCGGTGAGATGCACAAGACATGATGAGGTTGGCTTCAGCTGGACACTGTTGCGCATTGGATTTCCCGAGAAAGACAGCTCGTTGAATGGAGTTTCGAACTCGAATTGTTCATTTGTTTGCCTAACCACTTTGTCGCAAAAGGCTTGGAAAGTTTGGTTGAGCTTTCGACGCATTTCGCGTTCCATCTAAAGATTGTTAGGTTCATTTGTTTGTACTTTTTTCTAAAATCCTTTCGTAATCGAGTCAATTATCAAGTAGGATAGCTTTAAATAAGAGGATTTCTTAGAAAATGTCGTAACTAAGCCAACAGGATTACGGTAGGTTTAAGCAAGAGCACAATATAAGAACATAGTCATTAGAAAAAGCTCAAATCTTTTCCCACTCACTTGTTCGGAAGCCACATCATCACGATCTTGCCTAGAATTTGTCGTAAAGTATCGTAGTGTACTTTATACTCACATGTGATGATATTTCCCTAAATCGGTGGTGATTTCTCCAACTTCAGTGTAGAATTGAATGTCGGCGTATTTCTTTTTTCCCCAAAGAACTGGGTTTTTGAGATGAAAGTGAAGGAGAATGATCATCTCGTTGTCACATGGCTAAAATCAACGTGACTCAATGAAATGAATGTCACCAATCGATTTGTTGACCCCGGAAACCCCTGGGTACAATTTACAGCTGAATATCAATTGAGTGGCACTTAGGGGGATCGAACCCGGCGCAGTCAGGAGTGCGCTGGCTAAAATCAACGTGACTCAATGAAATGAATGTCACCAATCGATTCGTCGACCCCGGAAACCCCTGGATACAATTTACAGCTGAATATCAATTGAGTGGCACTAGGGGGATCGAACCCGGCACATGTGGGCTGTAAACCAGCGCACTCCTGACTGCGCCACGTCGATTTCAAACCACAAACTGGGCTGGGCTTCAAACCACAAACCCCAAACTCTAGAAATCTATTTGACAATAGATTTCTAGACTCAATTTCCCTTACCTGGAAGAACGCATGGCGTATGTTGTTATAAAGCACATCGATCTTGTCACCACGCAGCGATGTGTATCGAAAACCGTTCGTGTGTGCCTCCAGTGATCCAGAGATTCGTTTAGCGAAGATATTCGGCCGCACATACAAATCTTTCAACTTTGGATTCACTTTGTTTGCTTGAATGATGAGTTTATCTTGTTTCACGGCACCCTCTTTTTCTCGTTCTTCAGCCTTAAATCCAAATTTGTTTTGCCATAGCCTTTAAGCTGAACAGTCTATGGACTGTTCAGTTTATGTTTATGTTAACGAAATCAAATACCTCCTCGGTTCTGAATTTCTTCTGCATCTCCTTGATTAAACGGAAAGCATTGGTTAAATTGTTTGACGGAGCCGATGTCTGTCCATGATCTTTCAACGTGGTTGCTCGGAATGACAACTCTTTGATGTAAGTGGCGAGTGGATGGGGGAATTGAACGTTCTCCTGAAATTAGGGATATAGGAAGTTTTAGATTAAGTTATGGATATGAGAGCTTTTAGATGACGTCATTGATATGAGAGCTTTTAGATTAAGTTATAGATATGAGAGCTTTTAGATGACGTCATTGATATAGGAGCTTTCAGATCAAGTCATGAATACAGGAACTTTTAGATGACTTTTAGCCTTTTAAGCCTTGGCAATGACAACAAATTTGTATTACGTTACCTGTTTAAAGTTCAGTATCATCTAAATCTATCTATGCATTGGAGCTCGATAGCTTCACTGGATTTGGTAGAGAATTCAACTTGATATAAGTACCGTACAACTCTAGTTTTACACTGTACTAGTGCAATGGAAAAAGCTTCTATAGCTTAAGCTTAATAGCAATATTTTTGCACTCAAACTTTTCCCACCTTTCCAACATTTCCACCAGGATGTGCAAAGTTGATTCGAAGGTACATTGTGTCGCTCTCAATCGACGTAGAGCAATTCTAAAAAAAAGTTTAGCTCATTTTTGATTAGCTCTTACATTCAAGACTTTACAGTTACTCAGAATTGTTAAGCAAACCTTAATCATCGAAATATGAAATGGTACAGGCACTCCGAACAATGGGAGAATTACCGAATCATGGCGACGATCTAGAAAAAGCACAATTTAAAGGCTAAACTCATTCCTTATCCAGTTACAATAGCTAAACAGCTATTGTAACTGGCTAATAAGTGATCTTTTAGAAAGTACAGTAACCCCTTACCGACATGAATCATCAATGTATCAATTTCTTCATCTTGCGGGAATTTCTCATAGTTCTTGTAAGAAACATTCGACTTTTTTGCTCTAAATGAAATTGAATAATAATTGATCGTAATAAATGATCTACTATCGTAATCATTGATCTACTATCAATCATTGCTTTCATCTGTTCAAGTCTTACTTCTTGATTTCAGATTGTCCAGACTCTTGCGCTAAACGCTCTTGCGCATTCTTGTTGAGAATCTCGGACAATTCCTTTTGTCTTTCTTTGCGACGATCTTCATTCGTTTGCTTGTTTCTCGTGTGTTCTGTCAAGACAACGCTTCTTTTCCCACGACCAAGATTCTCAGGCATTATTGGTTCTAAATTTGGTTTATTTGTTGTTATTTCTTGGTTGTTGTTGGTTGTTGTTGTTTGTTGTTGTTTATTGTTGTTTGTTTAAATGTTTGATCTATAGTTAGGCCTGCCACTAGTTTTAGGACTGTCATGCCTTTTTATGCCACCATCCTAGGATGCCCTTCGGTACCGAAGGCTTATCTTAAGGCTAATACTAAGCCTTCCGTATCGAAGATCAGATAGGAAACAACTACTAACTATTGAAATAGTACTACATTCAATTTCTCTTTACCATCAGCTTCCTCATCTTCTTCTTTGATCCGAATTACCATCGATTTCAATTTTGAGCGAGCTTTCTCAGTGAGATTCACAGGACCAGTTGGAGAGACGAGAATCGTGTCTCCAATTGAGATAGCAACTTTCTTTGCCTGTTCATCTTTCACACCAGAATTCTTCAGATCGCCGACTGAGATTTGAACGATAAAGACCATTCCTTCACGAACCTAAAATTCGGATAATGCAATAATGCAATACTCAATACCAATACCAATACAAATATATTATCCCTACTTTAAAGCTTTACCTTTTCATCACACTTTGGCGAGATTGTATAGCGTGATTCGCGGAACTCGACGCCAGTTGAGAAACCGAATTCCTTGGAGAAGAGTTTATCCACTAAAGAAGCGTCTTGTTTCTTGCATGCGTCGATACCAATCTGAAAAATGATACTTAATAAGATATGCATTTTTAAACTACCTGGTACACTTCCGAAAGCTTTCTTCCAGGTTTCAACGCCTCAATGACAGCCGTTTGAATGAGTAGAACATTCTCGTAGACTCCTTCCAACTCTTTGCTTGGATCCACGAGCATCGTGCGGGACAAATTCGAGCAGTAAGACTGAAAGTACCTTGTTATAGCTTTCTTTAACTTGTGGCCTTGTTTCCTTCTTTCTTTCTTTCTTTCTTTCTTCCTTCTTTCCCTTATCTTTCCTTCTTCTCTCTTGTCTTTCCCTCTTTCTGTTAGCAAGTCAAGGTACTAGATAGCTTAGTGGTTAGAGCAGTTGAAAGCAAAAAGAAAGCAAAGCAAAGTCCAGGTCGGTTCAATCCCCCCTCCGGAAGTCTATCTGTCTTGACAATTCACTTCACCTCAAGGATGTTTAATTAGACCTTAGGGGAGCCAGGCTAGGTCAGAGATCAGCCTGGCTTAAAGTTAGGTAAATCAGCTAGGTTTAGACCTGGACAAAGCCAAGCTCAGGATCACGCCTTAGATTTGATCTAGGCCCAAACCTGATAATTATATAGTTAGGTAATTTAGGCTCTAGATCTAGCTCCAGCTCCAGATCTCCAGCTCCAACTAGCTCCAGATCGTTTGAGCTAGATCTGAGCCTAATCCTGAGCTTGGCTCGGTTCTTGTTTAGGCTTAGGCTTAGGCTCAGGCTTAGGCTCAGACTTAAGCTCAGATTAGGGCTCAGGGTTCATTTGAATACAAATAAGGTAACTTGTTTACAAAGCTCAACTTTCCCCACCTCAAGTCGACACCCGAACGTCGTCATGATCACTCCGAAATGCATATTCTTTGGCGTACTCTCGGCGCTCCATTTGAACGAGTACTGGCCACCACTTTGCACAATTGGTGTGTACGATTGTTCAATGCTTCGTTTTGCCAAAACCCCTTGCACTTGTCGATTCGTTGTCAGCGTTTCCACCTCGTCCGATGCTTTCTTGTGGCTGATTTTCTGAAAGAAAAGCCTAGCGTTTCAATGAATCGTTTAGCAAGTCAAATTCTATTCTATAAAATAGAAATTCTAATATCACATACCCTATCACCATCGATGTAGTCGACATACTTTCGGCGCATTTGGTTCCACACATTACACGAGGCTAGAGAAGCCTCTTTACAGTACTCAACCTCTTCTTCGTCTTTGACGGAAAAGAGACGCGAAAAGGAGTTCGACACATCAACCTAGAACTTACGGTAGCTGGGATACGCTTTAGAATCAAGCCATAATTCTATGGCTTCGTTCTAAAATCCTATGGTTGACTATTTTATACTATAGATCTATTTTTAAGACTGTTCCAATGGCTTTTCCTTACCATTTCAAAGCCTTGCACTGCTTTCGACCAATCGGCACAGAAATCGTTCTTGTATTTGTCTTTGATAAAGCATCCAACTCGATTCCCAGCGTCTTTAATGTATCCAACAAGCTTCTCGAAGTTTTCTTTGTCCTTGTCACTCTAGAAAAGATTCAATTTTCTCTAATCATTAAGGAATACTGTAGTTAGCTCGTGACAAAGAATTCTATTTGACTATTGGTATGATTTGATCAAGAAATAGCTTTGAAACCTTATTCCGATGAATCGGTGTGACTTCAGGAACCGGATCGTGAGACGAATCAGCAGCTACAGGATTGAAAAAATCAGCCTTCTTGTTCGAGGCGAGCACCCAAACACCTTTCTTTGTAAGCACCATCAAAGTGTCCGGCATGTCCATACCATAGAGCCAAACCTGGTCAAGGTTTTTAATTGATAATATTTTAAGACTAACTTGAAAGTATTGGCTTTTGCAGTAATTGCTTGCATCCTCATCCGATCCGATGACACAATAAATAGCGTCCACATCGGAAAGCCCATTTTCACCGGATTCCTGTAATTTTATGGGAATTTCGTTTTCTAAAATATACCTAGAACTATCGTAATCTAGCTACAGTAATCTTTAGTTTTTCAACAGTTTACCCATGCTTCATAGAGTCGTTTTATCCTTTTCCAGAAGATATTCTTGTTGATGACCACTTTGTTATCACTCTTTTCGCCGTTCATCTAAAAAAATCTGAATATAGAAATTAATAAATAGAAAATAAAGGAAAAGAAATAGAAAATAGAATAAAATAGAAAATAGCAAATATTGAAAAGAAACTAAAGAAGAAGGCTTAGTTCAGTTTTGATATTGGATAATCAATTATTAGATTAATAAAACATCTGCCTTTGATAATTGGCTTGATAAATGCTTACCGGGATAAGAAGATAATCGATGATAGAATACAGGTTTGGCTTTATAACAGGAGAACCATAAAGAGAAACATAGTATAAAACCATAAAGAGAACCATAGTATGGTACGGGGTACACTAGATGGGATATCCATACCTAGAAGGTTCAACCATTCAGCTATTAGATCACTTTTCAGTAAAGTAAACCTATAATCTAAATCTACAGTAACTATTAGAAATTAACGAATGAACGAACGAACGGACGGACAAACGAACGGACGAACGAACGAATGAATGAATGAACGAACGAATGAATGAATGAACGAACGAACGAATGAACGAACGAACGAACGAACAAACAAACAAACAAACAAACAAACGAACGAACAAACGAAAAATTAACGAACGAATCAACAACAGAAAAGATTCTTTTCTAAACTAAACTAAAATTTACGAAGCCTTAACTCAAGAAAAACGATCGATATGTGAAAGGGATAGATTTTGAAAAGAAATTTAAAATCTTAAATACTTTAAATACTTTAAAATACAAATTTCTGGTAATTGATAGGGTTTTTTTGAGTTTCGAAAATGAAAAATGAAAAAATGAAAGTGACTACATGGAAAAAAGGCTTAAAAACAATCAATAATTGTTAAAGATCATAAATTTTCTAATTAAAATCAAATTTTAAAAAGTTTTTTTGATATTTTTAAGAAAAAAATTTGAAGAAATTATAAAAATAACTAGAATTTTATATTAATTATGATAAAGATTAAAAAAGACAGAAATATTAGCATATTTGGGCGGTTTTGCGCGGGATCTCACGAAATAACTGAAAAAGAGAAAAGGGCGGAAAAGGAGGGAAAAGGGAGAGACGAAAAACAGACAGGAATTGAAACGGAGCGTCGCGTAGTCGAGCAATTTTCTTTTTTTCCACACAAAGGTTACGCTTGGGATATATTTACGAAACTACAATCATTCCAATAGCAGCTTTTTTCCGTCAACCTCCCTTTTAGAATTCTATTTTGTGCCCCGAATTTTCAAAGAGCTTAAAAATAGATGTTTTTTATGGGGGTGGGACAAATGCGACCTTTTTTTGCGCACTTGGACATTTGCGCACCTTTTTTTTGTTGGAAAAGGCCTTAGGAAAGGTCGTAGAGCTTCGAAAATGTTTTCATATAAGGGAATCGTATGCGTAGATTCAGAATTTTGACAAATCAGACCTCGCTGACACGTCAAATTTGGGCTAAAAGGCAAAAACTCAGGCTTAGGCTTAGGCTCTCTAAAAAGAACCGTATTGGAAGCTTATTGGATCTAAAAATAACCGACCGTATTGGAACCGTATTGGATCTAAAAGGAACCGTATTGGAACCGAAAAGCGTTAAGTTGCGTAGTTTTTGCCTTTTAGCCCAAATTTGACGTGTCAGCGAGGTCTGATTTGTCGAAATTCGGAATCTGCGCATACGATTCCCTTCTACGAAAACGTTTTTGAAGCTCTACTACTTTTCCTAAGGCCTTTTCCAGCAAAAAAAAAGGTGCGCAAATGTCCAGGTGCGCAAAAAAAGGTCGCATTTATCCCACCCCCGTCTTTTATAGATTTTCTATCTACTTTTTGATGTCATTAAGCTAGAGTTTATATTTTAAATTCTATGGTGGATATAACTTGGCGCGTTTTTCAAATTAACATGTTTGTTAAATATAAACAAACATGCTATGTTGGACGAATTTCTACAAGAACACCAGAGCCTCTAATGTTCAGCTAATATTTATGTTTATGTAAAAGGATCAGCTTCACTATGTGCAAACTGGTTTGTTAAATATTAAATTCTGTTCTGCGGATGAATCTTTGAAGAAAAAGGGAGTCATCCAACAATCCAACTGGATAATGACAAGTTGCTCGAAATTCTCCAAACCAAAAGGCTCTCTTTTTGTGAAATAGCTGAAGAGTTATCAGCTGATCATACAAGAATCGAACTTGGGTTTAAATTGGGTTACAATTGGGTTTAAATCGAAATTGGGGACTTAGATTTAAATCGAAATTAGGGACTTGGATTCCATATGGTTTAACGGACACCCAGAAATGGCAACGTGTCAGAAATTAGTGCTGCTCATCTTGCTCATCAGCGCAAATTAGTGCTGCTCATCTGCTCATCAGCGCAAATCTTTTATCTCGTATTGTGACGGGGGATGAAAATGGATTCTAACTGTCAACTTTTCGACAAGGCACCAATTGGTTGCTAAAGAGAAAAAGCCCGAACCTGACGTCAAGCCGGGTGCATGAGAAGATGCTCGTGCTCTGGGATTTAGATGAGCCTATCTACTAGGATAGCAAGACAGCCTATTTTGGATAGCAAGACAGCCTATTTGGACAACATTCAACTTATCAAATATCCGGAGCCAAATCAGCCAGGGATCAATCAGCCAAATCAACCAAATCAACCAATCAGACAAGTCAGCCAAATCTTTGCCAGAGAAAGACCTCAAAGAGATAAATCATTCTTTAACATGATAATGCTAGACCGCATGTTTTGAAGACTCGTTCAACACTAACTGGAAGGTGATGGTCAGCATACAGCTCTAAAGTTGCACCTTCTGTTTACTACTTATTCCGGAGAATGAACGATGATTTGGTTTGGCAATGACTTGACAAACAAACACTTTGATTCGAAAGAAGAGATCAAAAAATGGTTGACAGATTGGTTTGCGTCAAAATCGAAGATTTTCTACGAGAGAGGCATTCGACTTCTACCAGTAAGATGGGCACAAATCATACAAAATGGCATAAATGGCAATAATGCCATAAATCTCGCATGATTTAAAGTTTTTAATTGAAGAAAAATTAAATTTCAAAAAACGTATCAACACAAGTCATACCAATGCATGATAATGCATTTATCGTCATACCAACACAATATAATCCTTTAAATGCTTTTGATAGGCGCTAGTTGAATCAGAAAAATGAAAAATCGAGAAATTGTAAGCAAATTAGAAATAAAAGCTGAAATTTGCATTTATCGACTCAAAAATAAGCCCAAAACAGTTTCTCAGCTGAATATTTTTTATAGTTTAAGCCAATTGCCAAGTTTAAGCCTTTTTTTAAGCCAATTGTCAGGGGTGGCTAGGTTCAGCCAATTTTTTTGTGCGACTCGCTATAACTTTCTTCTAAATCGGTCAATCTTTATGTTTTTAGTGTCATTTTGTAGATCTCGACAAATGCAACAAAATGACACTAAAAACATAAAGATTGGCCAACTTAGAAGAAAGTTATGGTAAGTTGCGCAAAAAAAATTTGGAACAAAGTAGCAAAGTAAAGAGAGAAAAGGGGGGAAAAGAGAGAGACGAAAAACAGACAGGAATTGAAACGGAGCGTCGCGTAGTCAAGCAATTTTCTCTGTTTCACACAAAGGTTACGCTTAGGATAACCGCGAAACTACAATCATTCCAATAGCAGCTTGTTTCTGTCAACCTTCCCTCCAGAATTCTATTTTGTGCTCCGAATTTTTAAAGAGCTTAAAAATAGATGTCTTTTATAAATTTTCTATCTACTTTTCGATGTCATTAAGCTAAAATTTATGTCTAATATTTTAAGAATTCTATAATCCTTTAAATGTTTTAAATTTTTGATAGATTTAATCATAAAAATGCAAAAAATGAAGAAATTGTAAGGAAATTAAAAATAAAAGCTGACAATTGCATTTATTGACCTCAAAAATAGGTTCAAAACAGTTTTTCAGATGAATATTTTTTATAGTTATCTTTTCTGAGCCAATTGTTAGCGGTGGCTACTTTCTGCCAAATTTTTTGCGCAACTCACCATAACTTTCTTCTAAATCGGCCAATCTTTATGATTTTAGCGTCTTTTTTTGCACTTGTTGAGATCTACAAAATGACACTAAAATCATAAAGATTGACTGATTTAGAAGAAAGTTATGGCGAGTTGCGCGAACGACCCAGCGGAAATTAGCCTACTTTGCGCAACTCACCATAACTTTCTTCTAAGTTGGCCAATCTTTATGTTTTTAGCATCTTTTTTTGCACTTGTTGAGATCTACAAAATGATGCTAAAATCATAAAGATTAGCCCACTTAGAAGAAAGTTATAGCGAGTCGCACAAAAAAATTTGGAGCAAAGTAGTCACTCCCCTTATCTTCATTTCTTCAAAACTTGCCTTACTGATTTATTTTTTTAATTTTTGCATTTCTCTTTTTTCTTTCCTTTCTTTCCTTCCTTTCCTTTATGAAAAACATATTTTATTTTCAAATTTCAGATGTCTGACGTGCTGATAAAAGAAGAGCCAGGCGTCAGCGGGCTGTTGGATGCAGTGGTGAAAGACGAAAATTCCCATGCAGGTTTGAGCTAAAACTTTGCTGTTTTTGTTGTAAACATGAGAAACTAGTCAGTGATCATTAATGAGTCGGTAGGCCGGTTGGGGGCCCACTTTTTTGTCTTGAAAGACTTTTTCTCGGGTAATTTTTAACGCTGATGCCGAATTTGAACATCTTAAGTTTTCTTAGAACATCTTAAGTCCACTAAATAAGTTTTAATTATTATATTCTAGATGTCTATAATATTACTGAAAGACGCTGAAAGAAAGAGTAATAAATCTGTGAGTTATACGGCACGTTGTTCTAGGAAATAGAAGGCCTGAGCTAGGAGAATCAGGCTTAGCCTAGGAGCCACGTGGTTCTAAGGTGTGGAGCCATAGCCTAAGAAAATATGGGGGCCTATAATATAATTAGAAGTGACTTTTCTGAGATTAAAACTCATTTAGCGGACTTAAAATGTTGAAATTCGAAATCAGCGTTAAAAATTAGCCTAGAAAAAGTGTTTTTCAAGGAAAAAAAGTGGCCCCCAACCGGCGTAGTACCAATAAATCTTCTATCTGTTTTGCTACCGCGAAAATTGCATTTGCTTGCTTTTTGCGGGCTTTTTGTCCGTCAAATTATCTTGTGATCTTATTGCAAACGCGATTTTGCGTGGCAAAAGTTTTGTTTTCAAGAAAAATAGGTGATTGAATGCTTTGTTTGACATGTACCGTATTTTTATCAAAGTTTATTTTAGATTTTTTAGATTTTAAATATTTGCTTTAGAACCACTTGATGAGGACGCTTTGCTGTATGGGGTTGGCGAGGATTATGTAGCTCCAGCCGCACAAGAGGCAGCAACGACACAAGAAGAAGATAATGACGAAGAAAATGGTGAGCCCTGGTTGAAACTAGTTCTATTTTCGTATTATGTTTGAAAGTCATTACTGGTTTTACTTTGAATAATAAAAATAAAACTTAATTGTAGATATTGATTTGATTGCTCGACCCAAGCTTATCAAATATGTCATTATCCAAATTTTGCAAAAGAAATATCTCAATTTAGCTGTAATTCAATGATTATACAACATTTGGAATTAGAAAAGGGTTTAGTTATTAGAAATTTAGAAAAGCCTTGATATTTTAGGTTTTAAATGTGCTGCACTTTTCCATTTTTCTATTTTAGAAAACCCTTTGGCTCTCGACGACAGCGAGGATGATGAGGACGAAATTCAAGTGACGATTGGCGATGTGCAGCCGACGAATTTCTCGTTTCAAGTGCGTTTTGTTGTATTTCAAAGGTATCAATGGCTTTAGAAGCAAGTTGGACAAGCGGCTGCTCGTTTGGACATTGATCAAACGCCGCTTCTTGAAGGACAAACGATTTATGACTTGGATTTGTCTCAGGTTTGAGATTTTAAACAGTTTTAAACAGTTTAAACATTAGAAAACTAGTTTGGTAAGGATTTTGAAGAAATTCGACAGAGTAGGATAAAGATTTAATCTATATAACAACCTATATAACATTTTAGATGCAAGATACTCCTTGGAGAAAGCCGGGTGCTGATATAAATGATTATTTCAATTACGGGTTTACTGAAGGTTCGTTTTGAAATATATTCTTTCTATATATGCCTATATTTGTTTAGAAACATGGAACACTTATTGTGAGCGACAGAAAAAACTCCGTGCCGAGTACAATGGGAATCAAGGAGCTGCCAACAAAGCGTATTTTGGTGCGATGACTCTGCAAAATCCGCTTGCCACAGTTTGTAAGTCATCACTATGTTGACTTGAGTCTAATCGAATTTTAGCACGAATCCTTCCCTCTGTTGTACCAACAATCGGCACAAATGTCGCTTCGATGGGAAAGGTAATTTTCATTCCAAAATTGGATTAATGCTCGGGTATCATCAAGTTTCATCTTAAAATTAATTAAATTTCATCTGGTTTAAGAGCTCGAGCTCAAGATCGCGTCATTCAAAGGTTTAAAAAAATTTCCGAGTTGCTTTTTTGGGTTTTTTTTGGCATTTCAACTTTACATTGTACAATTTCCATTTTAGAACAGCGTCTTGCCAACGGTTGTTGTGAAAGCGATCCCCTCAACCCCGGCTCCAATTACTGTTTCAATGCCCTCAGCGGTTAGTTATTATTTAAAGCTTTTTGCAAGGTTAAACTTTAGATTCCTGACTTCAGCCGGCCGCCACCAATTATGGGTCCAAGTGGGAAATTTGCAAAAAATTTAGAAAAACTTGGTTTAGACGATGCGCCACCGGGAATGAATGATGGAGCTCCGGGCACTGATCCAATGAAATCGAGTGGTAATTTGGTTTCATTTCAATCAATTCTATGATCATGTCTCTAGATTTGGACAAGTCGATCTTGGCGCCCAGCTTCCATCAACCGCCACCTGTGCCAGACATGAGTATGCCACCACCGTAAGTTTTGAAAAAGCTTGTAACAATTTGAAACAAAATCTGACTGCGTTTCGACTTAATTGTTAACCTAATTTCTTCATACTCTTCTTTTCAGTTTCAATCCAGCACTTCCGCCACCGTTAATGATGGGCACTCCCGGTTCGACTATGGCGATGTTCAACATGTCGATGCCTCCGCCTGGAATAAATTTGAACACACCAAATTATGCTAACTTTGGTAAGAATTCAACTTTTCTTTTTTCGTTAATTAAGCTTTGTTTAAGGTCAACAAGGAAATCAATACATGGGCCCTGGTTCGGTGAAACAAGAACTACCGCCTGGAATCGATGACTATGGGTAAGTGTGATTCTTAAAGTTTAAATAAGAAAAAAGCTTTAGTGGTGGTCCATCAATGGATGATGACAGAAGGCGGCCGGCTCTCAATGCGTATTCAATCAATCGGAGACGATCTCGTTCGAGGAGTCGATCACCCGGGAAGAGACGCCGCGAATCGCGAGATGATGAGAGAAAACATCGGCGTCATCGCAGTCGCAGCCGCAGTGCAAGTCGAGAGGGTGAGTTTAGCGTCAAAATAGTACGGAAGCAGTAAAAGGGTTAATGCTTACGGGAATTTTCACTGTACAAAATTTAGAACTAACTTTTCACCATTTAAGGGCGACGAAAGAATGAGAAGCGAGATCGAAAGGACGATGATCGTGATAGAAGGCGCAGGTTCAACATTTATTTTCAACTCGTTGATAAATTTCTCATTTTAGACGCCGCGATGATGATGAGGACGAGGATCGGGGCAAAGATCGAGACAGGTGAGTGGAGTTTTTTTTGAATTGAAATCATTATCTTTACTTGAGCTTAAATTTGAAACATTTTGGGCTTGGATAAGTACTAAAGCGTGACCTGGCTACCGTATCCCGTAGCCCAGCGTAAAATAGCCCAATATTTTCAACGAACCTACACATACACTTATACACAAAGTCTATGGTTCAGATTCAGACAGGTTACGGTAGCTGGGGCCTATTTGAGTAATGGCGCTGAAAGCTTGACCTGGCTACTGTAACCCGTAAAAATATCATCACCGTAAGAAATAACTCAAAATATCTCTTCCAGGAAAAGATCTCGGCGTGATCGTGAAGACGGTGGTGGCCAAGATTACGGTGATGATGCCCCGCCTGGACTCTAAAAGGTGTACCCTTTACGGTATTTGATCTCTTTTGTTATATTTTCTCGTTGACACTCATTGTTAACTTTTTCATGGTTGAGAAATTTAAATGTTTTTGCTGGCTAGTCTTTTTGGAAATTTATCTTTATAATAAATTAATTCACAAATAAAACAAAACGAAAATTTGCTTACGGTAAAGTTAGCGCAATATAGAAAACAACCATTATTTTATAACTTTTCCTTAATACAGTAATTCTTTCTCTATTTTGTACTAAACTTTACCGAAACTTAAAATGGTAATCGTAACCGTTTTGGCGAGGGGAATGTATTAGAGCCTTGAGAGAGAGTCGAATGATTGCGTAAAAAATGTACAAAACCGTCAAATTGATAAGGTTAAAGCTTTGACTGAATAATTTAAAGCTGAGCATTTTAAATCACAAATATTATCTCAATATCCTAATTGAAATCCTTCGATTGTCGTCTCTTTGACAAAATATAATAGCCGAGCAAAAGACAAAGAAGAAAAGAAAATGCGGACAAAGATGTTAAAGCGGCGGTGAGATGTGGAGAGAGACAAACACCCGTTTGATGATGATGGGGAAGCTAGAATTTAGACTTTAGTACTCTAACTAATGTCCAAGGGTACTGTAGCTAAATCTAACTGTAAAATTACTGTAGATGTAAAATGTAAGACGATTTTCTCAATCAAAAACTCACTGGTAGCAAGTGTTCGAAAGTTTCGACAATTTTTGGGTTTGTTGATGGAGTTTCTCTGTCACCTTCCATGTACTCTTCCATATCCAAAACCATGATCTTTTGAGCTGCCAAATCCATCGTGTTCCCGTCGAGGTGTAGCTGTAAGTTCAAAAATAACTACAGTAATCTAATCGAAAGTTTACTGTAGTCATTAGCTGAATTTTTTTCACCTTTGACGATCGTGTTCGATTGACGAGCTCGTCGATGGAACGCACCAAACGCAACGCTCCACGACTCGCACCACATGCTGGGGGCTTAAATTTTGAAGTTTTAAAATCAATTAGAGAAATGTCTATATATATTAGGTTGTTCGGAGGTAAACAAGCGTTACAAAACTTATTTTTGTGAGGGAAGCTTTTAAAATATGTCTTTCTGTACGTTATCTGTACGTTTAAAAGTACGTTATCTTGTGTATATGTCGTAGCCGATTATGAATGAAATTTTTTGGTAAATCTTTGTAGTAGGGCAACCCTTTAATGTATGAGGACAATATTATATCATCCTGTAGCGAATTAAATTCTACGTCGATTGGTACCAAATTTGTGAGTTTAGGTTAAAAATTACCGGCGCTACAACGTTTCATTCAAAATCGGCGGGACCCCCGTAGCCGATTATGAATTTCAGCCGATTATGAATGAGTGGGTCTAGGAGCGTCCAACCATCAAGTATTTGGTATCATTCAACGCAGAATCATTAATAATTATGTTAAATTTTTAAAATTAGAAAGATTTGATAAAAAGAAAAAAAATTAGGGCAAAAAAACTGTTTGTTCAAGAGGAAACTTTGAGGCCCCATAATTTTTTTTCTTTTTATCCAATCTTTCTAATTTTAAAAATTTAACATAATTATTAATGATTCTGCGTTGAATGATACCAAATACTTGATGGTTGGACGCGTCCGACCAGCTCATTCATAATCGGCTACGACATATATTTGGAATCTTTTTAAATGGATAATTTCTTATTTTTTAAGATCTTTTTTTCTTGCTTTAGATGATCGACTTTCTTGCTTTAGATGACTTCAAACATCAAGTTCGCGTCTGCTTTACGCCAAACGTCCTACTCTACGACTTCAAACTGGGCAAAACAGTCGCGGAATCCAATCGAGATTTCGTCAAAGCATTTGGGAATGATGTACAATGATGTACAATGATGTATTGTTCGAAAGCCGATGCCGAGCCTGGTTCCAACGATTCCAACGCTTTCGGAACGGTGATGAAAGTCTCGAGGATCGCTTGAGGACGAGGGCACTCTCGTCGGCAATGGCTAGGACCAGGAGAACGTCCTCAAGCGTAGACAGTCCTCGACTTCAAGCGGTAGACAACGATATTCTAATGGCTGTAATCCATGACAAACGACGCGTGAACTTGCTCAACAGTTTCTATGTTCAAATTCTACCATTGATGAGCATCTCCACGCCATTGGAAAGGCGATCAGATGCGGGAAATGGCTTCCTCACGATTTAAGCAGTGCAAATGCTCGTTTATATCCGAACAACCTAATAGATATCTATATGTTTTGTCCGATTTAGATTTCCGTCCGATTTAGATTGAACTTATCGCGGACGTTCGATTTAGGTTACAGTCTATATCGGACGTTCGATTTAGATTCAATCTAAATCTTATATAGATTGAACAATAATATAAACATGCTTAATATATGTTCTTAAGCGTTTTCTGTAGTTTTCTGCATTTTTCAAAGGTCTTTTATTGATTACAGTCTATAACGGACGTTCGATACAGATCGAACAATGATAAACGTGCTTAATATACAGTGGCGGACAATTAAATAGAACCGAGGGAATTATTTTGTGTCTTCTCTCTCGTGCATTATTTTAACTTACTTTCAAAGTGCTCAAAAACGACGATTTTTGGCGTTTTTTCCCTTTTTTGACCCTTCTTGAGCACTTTCAGATGCCCGAAAACCCTTAAATTTCAACGAATTTCCACAAACTAAAAGCTTATTCCCACTAAATCGAATACGGAGAATCTTTTTGCTGAACATTATCATGCTCTAAAACGCCTCAGGAAAAAGTTGTAAAGCTATACTTTTATTTTCATGCATTTTTAAGTGCCTCAAAGTTTTTTCAGAAAACTCGAAAACTGTTTAATAGATGTATATTGTACTATATTTTGCTTTACTTTTGAAAGTAAGTTAAAATAATGCACGAGAGAGAAGACACGAAATAATTCCCTCGGTTCTATTTAATTGTCCGCCACTGTATGTTCTCGGTTGTCTGTGATCGGTTGTCTGTGAACGTTTTTAGACAAGCTATCAAGCACATCTATATAAGACGTATTATTGCTCAATCTATATAAAATTTAGATTGAATCTAAATCGGACGGAAAATCTAAATCGGACACAACATATATATATTGGGTTGATGCATAATTATCCGGACTTCTTTTTGCGTGCTTGTATCTTTTTTGTTTTGAAAGCTTTTTGTCTATTTCTTTTTTTTAAATATTCGTTATTCTTTAGTGAACAAAATGCGTGTCGACAATCATATCCATCTTCGCCATATCATGCTCTACCACTTCGAAAAGGGATGGTCTGTCGCAGAGTCGTTTCGCGATCTCAAAGAACTTTTTGGTCAAGGAACAATTGGACGTGCAACAGTTTATGAATGGTTCGATCGTTTCAAGTCCGGTAACACAAGTGTTGATGATGAACCAGGAAGAGGACGGCCATCAGAATTCGATGACAAGGCACTTCTGGAAGCCGTTGAAGAAGACGAAAGCCTGACAAGCCTGATGAACGTGAGCAATGGCGAATTCCAGACAAAAATGGCAAGAAGCAATTGAACATCAATAGTGACGTCTACTTGGCACAACTTGAACGCTTACATGCTGCAATTCAGGCACGAAGACCGCGCAAAAAGAACAACATCGTCTTTCACCACGATAACGCACGTCCGCACGTTGAGCGCCATGTCGTCGAATCCATCGCTAGTAAGGGCTGGGATCTTCTTCCACACCCGCCATATTCTCCTACTGAAGCCCCAACGGACTACCACGTCAATCGATCGCTCAAAAATTGGCAAACAAATAAGATCTACAACGATTTGGATGACTTGATAGACGATGTTAAAGCGTGGATTGCCTCCAAAGATCGTTTATTCTTCGCTCGTGGAATCGATCGTCTTCCAAGCAAATGGCAATCAGTTATTGATGTAGGCGGTGAATATGCTCCAGAATAATCAATTAAACATATTTTTCTAACTATTTATGTTATTTTTTGTTAAATAAAATCATTTATAAAAGAAGTCCGGATAATTATGCATCAACCCAATAGAATAGATTCAATAGAATAGATTCAATAGAATAGATTCATTATTAAGATTGAAATTACCGTTTTCCCTTCGCACATCCCCTCCGAGAGCATACATGTGCTCACCGCGCATTGAAAGTACGTAGTAACCTAGAATTTGCTGCTCTTGCTGAAAACTTGCTCTTTTTTTTTTGGGGGTACTATATTTTAAATGCTTTTTTATATCCCCACTTTGTCGGCGAATTTGAACACAGACACTGGAGCATAGGCGAGATTGTTTTTCGCGTTATAGGTGAGATCCGGCACGATCACCTCGTCGATCGAGCAACTAGAGATTTTCAACATAAATAAATACTATTCCAAAAAAGTAGCAAACAGCTTAGCTTTTCTGAATTTATAATTTAGATATTTATAAGTTTTTCATCCATGATCGTCATTATAAAAGTAATTCTTTAAGTTCAAAATTTGGTCACAAGGAGCCTCAGAGGCTCTCGAGTTTTTTTTGGAGATTCTATAGAAGTCTATAGTTCTATAGAAGTCTATAGTTCTACAGAAGTCTATAGTTCTATAGAAGTCTATAGTTCTATAGAAGTCTATAGTTCTATAGAAGTCTATAGTTCTATAGAATCCTATAGTTCTATAGAAGTCTATAGTTCTACAGAAGTCTATAGTTGTATAGAAGTCTATAGTTCTATAGAAGTCTATAGTTCTATAGAATCCTATAGTTCTATAGAAGTCTATAGTTCTATAGAAGTCTATAGTTCTATGGAAGTCTATAGTTCTATAGAATTTGAGTTTCTAAGTAAAGTATTGACGTAAAGGGTTGAAAAAAAGGAGTAAATTCTACCAAAAAAAGTATGGGAAATGGTTACTCTAAGCAGAGCTACGCACGAAAGAAAAAGTGCTCGTAATTCTTGAGAAAGTTTATATGTAGACTGAAATCAGGATTACGGTAGGTAGATCCGTAGCCAGTACTAGGATCCTACCGTAGTACTAGATCCATAGCCAATACCAGGACTCTACCGTAGTACTAGATCCGTAGCCAGTACCAGAATCCTACCGTAGTACCAGATCCATAGCCAGTACCAGGACTCTACCGTTGTACCAGGATATAGTAGGCTAAAGGTACTGAAAGCTTTAGTACTGATTCTAGCCTAGTGTACTGGAATATTGTAGGCTATATATAGGAATACTGTAGGCTAGTGTAGGCTAGGTACAAGGAATCGGATATAGTTAGAGTAGGGTAAATTTAGTCCTGAATATATCCTGTCTAATTGTTTATCTAGTACTTGTGTTGCTTTAAGAAGCTAGCTAATCTAAAGGATTGTTTAAAGAATAAGCTAACCCTGCTGCTTAACCTGCTTAACCTAGGGTTGAGCAGGTTAAGGAGCAAGGCTTTATCCAGGCTAGGGTTTAGAATGATGATTAAAAATGATCGAATTCAATATTGTAGTTTGTTGAAAGATTGAAATTCTGGAATAATTAAATTCTAGAATATTCGAATTCTAGAATATTCAAACGTACCCCCTTTCGTCCAGAATCGGTTTCCTGTCTTGTCCATTGCCGTCATCAACAAAACACGAGTGCACCAGCATTGAGAACATATCTGAGAGATCATTTACAAAGTCAGCAGTCAGTCAGCTTGTTTTAAGAGGCCCAAATCAATTCAAAAACTTCAACAAACCACTATCGCATTGCCAAACATGATAAACGACTTCTCCAACGGTCGCATATTGCACAACTGGTCCATCGATTGAGTCACGTCGCACCGAGTACGTGCACAATGGCATTTTTGCCGTGTCAACAAGGTCAGTTGTTGGCAACATGCTGAAAAAACAAACAATTATTGTGTGTCAATGTCAAACAATTGTTGTGTCAATTGTTGTATGTCAAAACGCACTCTAGCTGGCGCACTCGATTTGTTAGCTAAGTTTTCTATGCAGACGAAATGCTCTACTGTATCGTATATTCTTTTTGAAGTTTGTTTGAACGTCAACTCATAGCCAGGGTGTCTAAAATGTGCCCAACTACCGTAACCTTGCCATAACTTCTCGAGTTACTGTTGAAATAACTAAACTATACGTGTTTAAATGATTCTGAGCATATCTCCCTCTCTTTCTTCCTTCCTTTCTTTCTTTGCTTCCTGTCTTCTTCCTTCCTTTCTTCTTCCTTTCTTTCTGCTCCCTTCCTTTCCTTCTTCCTTTCTTCCTCCTTCCTTCCTTTCTCCTTCCTTTCCTTCTCTTCCTTGTCTTTTCTATTTCTCCCTGGGCAAAGAAGGCAACGATAGCTCATTGGTAGAGCATCTGCCTGGTAAGCAAAAGGCCTCAGAAGCCTCAGCAGGTCAAAGATCAAAGACAGAAGGTATTACGGTATTCCCCTTGGTTCCAAATTCTTTGCCATTCATTTCTTTACTTTATTACTATTAAAACGACTAACTTTTCGTGTCTTACGGTAGTGAAAGCTTGCTTTAAGCCCTTCAATTTATGACATTCTTTTACCTAACATCGAAACGACTCGTCACCACTTTGTCAGCTTCCATATAGAAACACGTTGTTCGGAAAGCTCGATCAACCTGTAAATGAAGATGATCAAAGCCCAGAAAGCTGATTTGCTGGCTCTGCTGGCTCGGCTTAATTACCCAAGTCTTCCCAATCGCAAATCCAGGCTAGACGCCGTTCAAGAGTAGACTTGGGTAATTAAACCGGCTTAACAGAGCTTCCCAGGCACTCAATCAAGGGCAGTGTGCCAGATGATGCTTTTTCCCACGAGTGACGCTAAAGGTGCGCACAGCTTTGCTCACCTTTGTGATGAAAGTCGAGTGAAAAGAGATGATGATCGTGATCGATTGCTCCATGCCGCGTTTATCGGGTTGAATCTGGGATTTGTGAATTGATTAGTTGCTAAATAGTAGTTTAATGTAAATCTAGTAGTGTAAATCGAGCTAAAACTCACCATTCGATGTCTCCGCATATTGCAAGCTCCATTTTGCAGCTCGAAATGCACCGAGTTGTTCGCGTTTGACTCGAATTTTTGCACACAAGCTGGCTAGAATTACTGGCTAGAATTGCTGGCTAGAATTGCTAGAGCTAGAGTTGCTAGAGCTAGAATTGCTGACTAGAATTGCTAGCTAGAATTGCTAGCTAGAATTGCTGGCTAGAGTTGCTAGCTAGAATTGCTGGCTAGAGTTGCTAGCTAGAATTGCTGGCTAGAGTTGCTAGCTAGAATTGCTAGCTAGAATTGCTGGCTAGAGTTGCTAGCTAGAATTGCTGGCTAGAGTTGCTAGCTAGAATTGCTGGCTAGAGTTGCTAGCTAGAATTGCTGGCTAGAGTTGCTAGCTAGAATTGCTGGCTAGAGTTGCTAGCTAGAATTGCTGGCTAGAGTTGCTAGCTAGAATTGCTGGCTAGAGTTGCTAGCTAGAATTGCTAGCTAGAATTGCTGGCTAGAGGTCAAGAATTAAATTCTATGCAAATTTTCACCTTATCGACCATTCCTTTTACAAAGATGCGCCCAGTGAACGGCTTAGCGGTGTTGAAAGTGAGCTTTACTCGATCTTCCATACAATCCACTTCGGGTAGACCTAGAATGAGGGAATTATTGATGAGGAAATGATTGATGAGGGAATTATTGATGAGGAAATGATTGATGAGGAAATGATTGATAAGGAAATTATCGATTTCTGTGCTTCTTAATAAGATCAGTCTTTAGAAAAGTGGGTAAACCAGGGATTTGACGATGCTAGAAGACAGTACTGGATGTGATGTACTGTAGTGATGTTAAGGTAAGATCGACAATTCTAATAGATGCGGTTTATCGGTTACTAGATCGACCATAGTCTAATAGAATAGACGGAAATGCTACTTGGTAACCGTTTTTGAAACTAGAGCCAACAGTACTGGACAATCAAAATATCGTATTTGAAAAACGATCGTCACTTTCGCGCGTCTGTAACTCCCTTGTCTTTGAGTTTAAACTATTAGTGTTATACATTTTCTGAAAGCTCTTTTCAAGGGCTACACAATGGTAATATTAATATCTAGAAATACGGTAAAGACAAGGGAGTTACAGACGCGCGAAAGTGACGATCGTTTTTCAAATATGATATTTCATTGTCCATGTGTTGAAGGTTCAAGAAAAGTACGAGAAGATGTTTGTTCTTGCTGCACAGAGGCAATTGACTCTTCCCCAACTCTAGAGTCATTAGGAATTCCGTTTGATCATTGAAAAGCTTTGAATCAGCTTTGAATCAGCTTTGAATCAGCTTTGAATCAGCTTTGGACTTCATGAACACAGAAAGATATTTCATTGTTCAGTAGTGTAGATGCTAGATCTTGCTATGCTAGATGCTAGATAGATGCTAGATCTGTTATGCTAGATCTTGCTAGGCTAGATCTTGTTATACTAGATCTTGTTATACTAGACCTTGTTATACTAGACCTTGTTATACTAGATCTTGTTATACTAGACCTTGTTATACTAGATCTTGTTATACTAGACCTTGTTATACTAGATCTTGTTATACTAGATCTTGCTATACTAGATCTTGCTATGCCAGAAGCTATTGCTATACCGTTTGTATACTATTGCTAGAGCTATTGAGCCTTGCCCATAAACAGTATTATCTCTTTGACTGGAACCTTTTTTTGACGAAGGACAAAATGACATGTTGAAGATGATCGTCGGGCTCTTGCTGTTTGCTATTGCTGTTTCCGTTACACTGGACTCTCGGTGGTGTGCTTTGTGCTTTCTGTGAACTCCCCTTTCTGGTTTCTCTTTAAGGCTTCCTTTCAAGTTGAAGTTGAATGCTTAAAGCAAGCTTTCACTACCGTAAGACACGATAAGTTAGTCGTTTTAATAGCAAGTTGAATTCTTTAGCTTTCTAGATTGGAAACGTGAAAATAGAATGAAAAGAAATGAAAATAGAATTCAGTGAACCAGAAAGGATATGTTTCCACTTTTCAAGCAGAAAGTAAACCATGATTATTTATGACTCGACCCACTTTTCCCCTCCACTTTTCCCCTCCACTTTTCCCCTACAATTGAGTATTTTCATAAGGAATTGCGGGCATTAAACGGGTCAAACGGCAATTGACCTTGAATTGAAAAGAATTGAAAAGAAAACGACGTATGGCTAAACACTTTTCGGGATCTCGGCAATTCAAGGCTGACAGGTGCTCAACAGACAACAAATCCCCAGTTGAGTCAGCCAAATCAGCCAACCAGATGAGCGAATTGCTCGGCTAACTATTTTCCACTGTCTCTTGGGTCATTTTAAGGAGTACTAGGCACTTTTAGAGCCATATTTCATAGTTGGATTCACCTTTAGATCCACATTTCGTTGTTAGATCCATTTTAGAGCCATATTTCATGGCTACAGTACCCTAGTTACCGTAGTTGTTCATCGGCACGATTAGGATACTTTTAAAGACATCCCATAGGCCCAGGCTCTAATAGTGATTCATGAAAATTGTCCCAAATGGAGTGCTAAGATCTGCAAGCTAGGCAATACTAGAGCCAGGAAAAACTAGAGCCAAAATTAGAGCCAAAACTAGAGTCAGGAAAAACTAGAACCAGGCAAAACTAGAGCCAAAGCCAAACCTAAGCAAAACTAGAGCTAAAACTAGAGCGAAGCAAAACTAGAGCCGAAACTAGAGCCAAAACTAGAATCAAGCAAAACTAGAGCCAGCCAAAACTAAAGCCAAAACTAGAGCGAAGCAAAACTAGAGCCACAACTAGAGCGAAGCGAGGCTAGAGCCAAAACTAGAACCTCCAAAACTAGAGCCAAAGCCAGACCCAAGCAAAACTAAAGCCAAAACTAGAGCGAAGCAGAACTAGAGCCACAACTAGAGTGAAGCAAGGCTAGAGCCAAAACTAGAGCCAGTCAAAACTAGAGCCAAAACTAGAGCGAAGCAAAACTAGAGTCAAAACCAGAGCCAGCCAAAACTAGAGCCAAGTCCGACTTCTGGCTTTGCCTGGCTTTGCCTGGCTTGCCCGGCAAAGCCAGAAGCCCGGCATCTACATAGAAGTCTTTAGTGATCTTTAAGGTATACGATAAACTAAATCCATAGTTTTTTCAAAAGCAATCTGGCTTTCAGTATACTTTTAGACTTATCTATTAGATTGTCAACTAAATAACTGAACTTTTTGGAAAAACTGGGTTCTAAAAGTGATGACTGATTCAAATCATCTAGTTTTTATCATTTGAAAGATCGATGTTTTTAAAACAAAATCGCTTTTAAGAGATTTTAAAAGTTTTTAAAAAGCTTTTGTTTTTGAACATTTTCGGAGACACAAAGAAAAGTTGTCAAAATTGGCAAAACAAAAAAAAAACAGAAACGCATTTTTTACAGCATTTTGGACAAGTAATAATTCTAATTTTTCACTCGATATAAAGCTCTTAGTTTTGCATATTTTCATTAAAATTTTCAACCAAATCCCAAAAAGTTATGGCCCTTTTACTGGGATACGCGCTATAGAGGTCTTCTATAGCGCAGTCGCTAGAGTGTCTGTCTCTTGGTCGGGAGGCGTTTCGTCCGGTGGATCACAATTTCGTCCACCGGTGGACTGAATCGTCCCAGGGGCCAGACGGCCTTCGTCCACCGGTGGACCGAATCGTCCCAGGGGCCAGACGGCCTTCGTCCACCGGTGGACCGAATCGTCCCAGGGGCCAGACGGCCTTCGTCCACCGGTGGACCGAATCGTCCCAGGGGCCAGACGCCTTTCGTCCACCGGTGGACCGAATCGTCCCAGAGGCCAGACGGCCTTCGTCCACCGGTGGACCGAATCGTCCCAGGGGCCAGACGGCCTTCGTCCACCGGTGGACTGAATCGTCCCAGGGGCCAGACGGCCTTCGTCCACCGGTGGACTGAATCGTCCCAGGGGCCAGACGGCCTTCGTCCACCGGTGGACTGAATCGTCCCAGGGGCCAGACGGCCTTCGTCCACCGGTGGACCGAATCGTCCCAGGGGCCAGACGGCCTTCGTCCACCGGTGGACCGAATCGTCCCAGGGGCCAGACGGCCTTCGTCCACCGGTGGACCGAATCGTCCCGAACGTGTTAAACAAAATAAAGAATTTTGAGGTTTAAATAAATTGAAATTTGTAGAAAACGGTTGGATGAATTTTATTGGAAATTTTACTAAAAATATAATAAGATATGGAATAGAAATTTAGCACAAAGATTTAGCAAAAAGATTTAGCAAGATTTGCCTATTGCAAGATGCCTATTGCCTTTGTCTATGCCTTTCTTTGTCATAGAAACTTACCACTAACTCCATTGTCTAGTATCGAGGGACTGTTCGTTGAGGTGGCTGTCGAGAGATCAAAGAGAAAAGTGCAGAGAAGATAGCAGAGAAGATGGCAGAGATTTGCTGGCGAGTGGTTGGGTAAACGCATGGCGTACTATAGAAGTGGGAGTGTTGAAAGTTCGAGCTGGGGATTTTCGAATGTGAATGCAATGCCTGAAAGCCTAGGGTCAAGAAAGGGGCGGGGCGAGACTCGAGGCTAAGATCGACCCTCAGGCTCTGACCCCCATAAACTAGAATGAACACAGGAAAAACGCTTTGCCTTGCTCGAATTGGCTCTACAAATGGCTCTACAAATATAAAGTGCAGAAGTGCAAGAACAAGTTACAATTGCTGAATCATAAACTAGCATTTAAGGGGTTCTGTGCATTGTTGTTAGGAAATAGGGGAATCTTTAGATGAAGTCATTGATATGAGAGCCTTTAGATCAAGTCATGGATAAAGGAACTTTCAGATGAAGTTATGAATACAGGAACTATCAGATGAGAAAGCCTTTTAAGCCTTGGCAATGACAACAACCTTGTACTAAGGTAGCTGTTTAGCGACTTTCCACTAAGCGGACCTCGGAAAGCGGACCTCGGAAAGCGGACCTCGGAAAGCGGACCTCGGAAAGCGGACCTCGGAAAGCGGACCTCGGAAAGCGGACCTCGGAAAGCGGACCTCGGAAAGCGGACCTCGGAAAGCGGACCTCGGAAAGCGGACCTCGGAAAGCGGACCTCGGAAAGCGGACCTCGGAAAGCGGACCTCGGAAAGCGGACCTCGGAAAGCGGACCTCGGAAAGCGGACCTCGGAAAGCGGACCTCGGAAAGCGGACCTCGGAAAGCGGACCTCGGAAAGCGGACCTCGGAAAGCGGACCTCGGAAAGCGGACCTCGGAAAGCGGACCTCGGAAAGCGGACCTCGGAAAGCGGACCTCGGAAAGCGGACCTCGGAAAGCGGACCTCGGAAAGCGGACCTCGGAAAGCGGACCTCGGAAAGCGGACCTCGGAAAGCGGACCTCGGAAAGCGGACCTCGGAAAGCGGACCTCGGAAAGCGGACCTCGGAAAGCGGACCTCGGAAAGCGGACCTCGGAAAGCGGACCTCGGAAAGCGGACCTCGGAAAGCGGACCTCGGAAAGCGGACCTCGGAAAGCGGACCTCGGAAAGCGGACCTCGGAAAGCGGACCTCGGAAAGCGGACCTCGGAAAGCGGACCTCGGAAAGCGGACCTCGGAAAGCGGACCTCGGAAAGCGGACCTCGGAAAGCGGACCTCGGAAAGCGGACCTCGGAAAGCGGACCTCGAAAGCGGACCTCGGAAAGCGGACCTCGGAAAGCGGACCTCGGAAAGCGGACCTCGGAAGCGGACCTCGGAAAGCGGACCTCGGAAAGCGGACCTCGGGACCCGGAAAGCGGACCTCGGAAAGCGGACCTCGGAAAGCGGACCTCGGAAAGCGGACCTCGGAAAGCGGACCTCGGAAAGCGGACCTCGGAAAGCGGACCTCGGAAAGCGGACCTCGGAAAGCGGACCTCGGAAAGCGGACCTCGGAAAGCGGACCTCGGAAAGCGGACCTCGGAAAGCGGACCTCGGAAAGCGGACCTCGGAAAGCGGACCTCGGAAAGCGGACCTCGGAAAGCGGACCTCGGAAAGCGGACCTCGGAAAGCGGACCTCGGAAAGCGGACCTCGGAAAGCGGACCTCGGAAAGCGGACCTCGGAAAGCGGACCTCGGAAAGCGGACCTCGGAAAGCGGACCTCGGAAAGCGGACCTCGGAAAGCGGACCTCGGAAAGCGGACCTCGGAAAGCGGACCTCGGAAAGCGGACCTCGGAAAGCGGACCTCGGAAAGCGGACCTCGGAAAGCGGACCTCGGAAAGCGGACCTCGGAAAGCGGAAAGCGGAATTTTAGAGCTTTAGAGCTTTAGAGCTTTAGAACTTTAAAACAAAAACTTACTTTACTTTACTTTAGAGCCTTTAGAGCACAAAGCAAACCTCCTAAGCACCTTTTCGAGGTGTAGTGCTTACTTATATACGCATGGTTACTTAAAGCTACGCATGCTTCCTTAAGGCTACGCATGCTTCCTTAAGGCTACTCAGGCTTACTTAAGGCTATGCATGCTTCCTTAAGGCTACTCAGGCTTACTTAAGGCTACTCAGGCTTACTTAAGGCTACGCATGCTTCCTTAAGGCTACGCATGCTTCCTTAAGGCTATGCATGCTTCCTTAAGGCTACTCAGGCTTCCTTAAAGCTACGCACGCTTACTTAAACCTCACCGCGTGAAGGTCATGTGTTTGACAAGAATTTTGTCTTCTTTCGTTCAACAGTCATGCTTATTTAAAGCTAAGCAAAGAAAAAGATGAGTTTATTGTATCTCTAGCCATTGCATTGACCCTGAACCTGACTCTTTGAACTCTCGAAACCTAATTTCAAGTATGCCCAACTGCAAAACAAATTTCTTTCTTCTTCCATCCATTCCCATTTTCCGAAATGGTACAGATGGGGTAGAAAACCGTTCTCTTTCATACAATGGGGAAGAACATCAAAACATTCATTCTCTTTTGTACCCATTTCTTTTGTCATTTCTTCATTTCTTTTCGTGGATTTTCCAGGTGAAGGTCATATGTGGTTTGACAAGAATTTTTGTCTTCTTTTGTTCAACAGTTCAACAGTTTCCAAAGAGTTCTAAACTGATTTTAGCTTTTTTTAAACTAGAGACATGAATTGGTCTTTTAAAAAACAATTCAAAAAAGAAACAAATTTGAAAATAAAAAAATCTTGTAGAGAATTTTATGAAGAATCCGATGGAGTTTTCAGTTTTTGTCTTTGAGATCTGTAGCGCAGAATATTTGGCAAAAATTTGGCAAGAAGACATTTGACGTTATAGGAAACGGATTTCAGCGTACTAGCTAGAAAGTACAAGCTAGAAGTACAAGCTAGAATACTAGTACGTACTAGCTAGAAGTACAAGCTACAAGTACAAGCTAGAATACTAGTACGTACTAGCTAGAAAGTACAAGCTAGAATACTAGTATGTACTAGCTACAAGTACAAGCTAGAATACTAGTATGTACTAGCTACAAGTACAAGCTAGAATACTAGTACGTACTAGCTAGAAAGTACAAGCTAGAAGTACAAGCTAGAATACTAGTACGTACTAGCTAGAAAGTACAAGCTAGAAGTACAAGCTAGAATACTAGTACGTACTAGCTAGAAAGTACAAGCTAGAAGTACAAGCTACAAGTACAAGCTAGAATAATAGTACGTACCAGCTAGAAAGTACAAGCTAGAATACTAGTACGTACTAGCTAGAAAGTACAAGCTAGAAGTACAAGCTAGAATAATAGTACGTACTAGCTAGAAAGTACAAGCTAGAATGCTCAGCGAACTTTTCCGTAGCTCTTTTTCTATTAACCAATGTCTAATCGTCAAAAATTTGCATTAAAACAAATTCCTTAGCATTAAAACAAACTCGAAATTCGCGAATTCTCGTTTTCTCGATCGTGCCAGTGGCTCCGGAGTGACTCAAAAGGGAAAAGTGGGGCAATTTTTGAAGAAAAGAGAAAAAAATACACACAAAAATGATCCACACGATCCGCTTGTTTACAGAGTAGTGGAAGAAATGACAGCAAATGAGAGAAAATGAAAGAAAATGACAGAAAATGACAGCATTGCTGTAGTTGAACTTAATTTACACTGAAATATTGCTTGTCTCGGCTAGCTTGACTTCATCGAATTCATTCATTGATTAAATGTATGGTGTTATTGGGAAATCCCCTTGGAAATCACACTTCTAGATGTTGGCGCAATCTACAAATTGTCCCATTCGATTCTACATCCAATTCTGACTTGTTAATGTGCTATTTTAAGCATTGAGCTCTATTTTAAGCATGTGCTATTGGGCAAAAGTTTCAAGGATCACCGAGGAATTCGATCTCAAAGATCAAGATCTCAAGTTGATCCCTCAATGAGTTGACAGTGAGTACTGTGGCTGACTTGAGTACCAATGAAAGACAACTTTCAAACTGTAGATCGATTTGAAACAAAAGTAGATGTGCTAGCCAAGAACCTGTCTAGCTTTAGAGCTTTTTGAATCAAATCTCTTTGATTTTTGAATTAAATCTCTAAAGCTTTTTGCTTGGCACTGTAAATGTTGCATTGTAATCTTCAAATTTGAATTTTGTGCAGTGCGTGAGAGGGGAATCGATGGGCCAATGGGGAAATGATTATTTAGATATTTTATTCCGAATCTAGCACAATCACTAATCTAGCGAGAGAAAACAACAAATAGAAATCGTTGGTTCAGTGTTTCAAAGCCGAAGGAAAAGCATACAAAGTGGGCTCCGTCTCTTTTTATCACACAAACGATCACAAGAGAATCAGAAATATTCAAAGAGCTAACTTTATTATCCATTCCAAAACTAACTCTAGTATCCATTCCAAAGCTAACTCTACTATCCATTCCAAAGCTAACTCTAGTATCCATTTCAAACCTAACCCTACCATTCATTCCAAATCTAACTCTACTATTCATTTCAAAGCTAACTCTATTATCCATTCCAAAGCTAACTCTACTATCCATTCCAAAGCTAACTCTACTATCCATTCCAAACCTAACCCTACTATCCATTTCAAAGTTAACTCTACTATTCATTCCAAAGCTAACTCTATTATCCATTCCAAACCTAACTCTACTATCCATTTCAAAGCTAACTCTATTATCCATTCCAAACCTAACCCTACTATTCATTCCAAAACTAACTCTAGTATCCATTTCAAACCTAACTCTACTATTCATTCCAAAACTAACCCTACTATTCATTCCAAAACTAACTCTAGTATCCATTTCAAACCTAACTCTACTATTCATTCCAAATCTAACTCTACTATTCATTTCAAAGTTAACTCTATTATCCATTCCAAAGCTAACTCTATTATCCATTCCAAATATTTATCCAACTCCAGTTTAATTCAATGCCTTTCTCTTTTTAAATGCATAAAAACGTGTCAAGTCCACAGGTCAATGAAAGCAAAATATCTGGGTTTCGGGCCACTTGATGTTGAATGTTTTCTGTTGAAAAGAAGTGTGAGGGTTGACCTTGATAGGTGAAATTCTTGAATCACCTTTTTTGAATTCCCGAGAACAACTCGTCAACTCTTCAAATCCCACTTAGCTGTTTTCTGGGTTACTTGGCTAAATCGCCGGTAAGATTTGCTTTTTCAGTTCTTCGGCTTTCAAAAAGTGCATTTCCTTTAAAATTTCCTTTCCTTTCAACAGACATCAATGCCACAAGAAGAAACAAAGGGTTTTAGTGCACCAGAAGGAGTTTGTTTGTAAAGACTGAACACTAAAAAGAACACCAGTTTAAAGGGGATGTCGACAAGGATGTCAACAAGGATGTCAACTGGATGTCGACAAGGATATCAACAAGGATGTGAACAAGGAGATCAACAAGGATATCAACAAGGATGCCAACAAGGATATCAACAAGGATATCAACAAGGATGTCAACAAGGATGCCAACAAGGATATCAACAAGGATATCAACAAGGATGCCAACAAGGGTATCAACTAGGTTGTTAACTAGGTTGTTAACTAGGTTGTTAACTAGGTTATCAACAAGGGTATCAACTAGGTTATCAACTAGGTTGTTAACTAGGTTATCAACAAGGGTATCAACTAGGTTATCAACTAGGTTGTTAACTAGGTTATCAACTAGGTTATCAACTAGGTTATCAACTAGGTTGTTAACTAGGTTGTTAACTAGGTTATCAACCCACCTTGAAAGCCCAGAGTTTAGCCGCAGCTTGATCATGATAAGTGTCATAATGTGGATGAGTGAGAATTTGAAGATCCGTTGAACAGCCATGTCGATCAATGATTTGATGCTCGATCCCGTTGAACGAATCTCTCACGACACAGTTGTGAACGTGGAATCCATAGGCATCTAATTAAATGGATGATATTCAATGATAGTGTTCTGTGTAAACTTTTGTACTTATCAAATTGCATTTGCTCCCTATTCTTGTAGATTGTCCTCCAAGGTTGTCCATGTCCAATTTTTCAGTGACCCCAAGGTCATTTCAATACTCAACCCACCAATTTCCTTTCTTCATTCCACAAAAATGTTCGTAATTTGTGGTTTCTTGTCTTCTTTTTCAGGATTTTCTTCTCATTGACCATTCTTTTGTAAAAGTTTTTCACTTGAATGCAAAAGTTTCTAATTTGTTCGATTTTGTTCGATAAAGTTCGATAAAATAAAGAGAATTTGCTGAAAGTTGAAATTTGTTTCATGTTTCAGGTGTTTCAAAGTGTGCACTATTCCACAAAATGATAGCCGCTGTACCAAAAATGTTTTAACAACAAAAAAAGCAATAATTGAGTGACAATTTCTAATCAGTAGTTTCTAATCAATAATCTATTCCGATGAGCTGATTAGCTGAAATTAGCTGAAAAACTCGATTATCCAAACTGTGGTAGAGGTTATCGATCAATTTCTTGTTGACCTGGTGCCACGTGGGAATAATGGTAGGCTTGAGCTCATCAAAGTTTCGATAATGGCAGGCTTGAGCTCATCAACGTTATAATGACAGGCTTGAGCTCATCAACGTTATAATGACAGGCTTGAGCTCATCAACGTTATAATGACAAGCTTGAGCTCATCAACGTTTCGATAATGGCAGGCTTGAGCTCATCAACGTTTCGATAATGGCAGGCTTGAGCTCATCAACGTTATAATGACAGGCTTGAGCTCATCAACGTTATAATGACAAGCTTGAGCTCATCAACGTTTCGATAATGGCAGGCTTGAGCTCATCAACGTTATAATGACAGGCTTGAGCTCATCAACGTTATAATGACAGGCTTGAGCTCATCAACGTTATAATGACAAGCTTGAGCTCATCAACGTTTCGATAATGGCAGGCTTGAGCTCATCAACGTTATAATGACAGGCTTGAGCTCATCAACGTTATAATGACAGGCTTGAGCTCATCAACGTTATAATGACAAGCTTGAGCTCATCAACGTTTCGATAATGGCAGGCTTGAGCTCATCAACGTTATAATGACAGGCTTGAGCTCATCAACGTTTCGATAATGACAGGCTTGAGCTCATCAACGTTTCGATAATGGCAGGCTTGAGCTCATCAACGTTATAATGACAGGCTTGAGCTCATCAACGTTTCGATAATGACAGGCTTGAGCTCATCAACGTTTCGATAATGGCAGGCTTGAGCTCATCAACGTTATAATGACAGGCTTGAGCCCATCAACGTTTTGATAATGGCAGGCTTGAGCTCATCAACTTTTCGATTGTCTTGTTTCTGTCGTAAATTTTGCGCAAATGTCCATGCGTTTTCGATAACATTCAAGTCAGAAGAACATCTCGACTAGGAGAGAAGAGGAATTCTCTTGCGTTGCAGCCATTCCTGTGTGCAACTATCCGTAAATCAAAGCGCCATCCTGCATAAAAATCAAACAAACTGTGGTAGAGGTTATCAATTTCTGGTCTGTCGTGGCCCAGGTTGCTGTCCCGTAGCAGAGTGCCGGGAGGACGGTGCTGTCGAAGAGGTGTGATTGTTTATTTTCAGCTGCAATTTGGTTAAAACCAACAAAAACCTCTTTTGCATTTCATATTTGATATTGTTTTGCCATTTTTAAACTTCAATTTCTCAATTTTTATTGAAATTTTGCCATTTAAAAGAAAATTTTCAAAAATTTCTTTTATTTTTGAGTCAAAATTTTTGATAAAGTTGGTAGAGTAGAGGCGGTTTTTTTTTCATTCGACAAATCGCCTAAATAAAAACATTTTTAGGGGGTGGGACAAATGCGACCTTTTTTTTGCGCACCTGGACATTTGCGCACCTTTTTTTTGCTGGAAAAGGCCTTAGGAAAAGTCATAGAGCTTCGAAAATATTTCCATATAAGGGAATCATATGCGTAGATTCCGAATTTCGACAAATAAGACCTCGCTGACACGTCAAATTTGGGCTAAAAGGCAAAAACTACGCAACTAAACGCTTTTCGGTTCCAATACGGCTCTTTTTAGATCCAATACGGTTCCAATACGGTTCTTTTTAGATCCAATACGCTTCCAATACGCTTCCAATACGGCTCTTTTTAAATCCAATACGCTTCCAATACGCTTCCAATACGGTTCTTTTTAGATCCAATACGCTTCCAATACGGTTCCAATACGGTTCTTTTTAGATCCAATAACTTGGCGCGTTAAGGGAATCGTATGCGTAGATTCCGAATATCGACAAATCAGACCTCGCTGACACGTCAAATTTGGGCTAAAAGGTAAAAAACTGCGGAAAAGCGTTAAGTTGCCCAGTTTTTGCCTTTTAGCCCAAATTTGACGTGTCAGCGAGGTCTGATTTGTCAAAATTCGGAATCTACGCATACGATTCCCTTCTATGAAAACGTTTTTGAAGCTCTACGACTTTTCCTAAGGCCTTTTCCAGCAAAAAAAGGTGCGCAAATGTCCAGGTGCGCAAAAAAAAGGTCGTATTTGTCCCACCCCCCATTTTAAAAATATTCAGTTTTCCTTTTTTAAGTCTTAAAATATTCAGCTATTCAGTTAAAATCAAAAAAAATTAGCATAGCTCTTTTCACTCACAAATTTTATCGGTTTTCCCTGGTGTGACGGTGATGATTGGGGGTTTCTTTGTGGCAAAAGCGTCCTTTGCTTTGCCTAGAAAAAGACATTCAGCTATTTTTCAAGATCTATTTGCATATTACCGTATTTCTTCGAATAGAAGACCGGGTAAAGAGTATGATCGCGTACTCCTGCGTAGCAGCCCTTTTTAAAATTTCTTTTCTGCATAAAAGCTTTCAATAAAGTGCTATAGGGCTGGAAAATGACTCAAAAATACCACATGAGCTAACAGATTTTTGAGCCATTTTCCAGCACTCGATTGAAAGCTTTTATGCAGAAAAGAAGGGCTGCTACGCAGGAGTACACGATGATACTCTTTACCTGGTCTTCTATTCGAAGAAATACAGTATTTGATACCCCAATCAGCTTTCGTCCATTCGGCCGGCTTTGAGTCGGCTTTGAAGAGAAAATAGAGATTTGAGAGAATGACGACTGCGGTCACTGTATAAAAGACGCGAGACCACTAGAAATTGAGATTTATTGAATAATTGAATCAATTTTCTAAAAGATTAACATTTTAAACAAATCACCGTAATCATGACTTGCTCAAGAAAACGATAGCATCGGATTACGGTACTTTTTGGGTCTCGAATAGTTATTCTGGCTGGATTTAGGGTAAAAAAACCTGTTGGGATTACGGTAATAATTAGATTACTGTACTATAATGTAATTGGATTACTGTAACGTAATGCCATGTACTTAGAGTTGTCCTCTCGGCTAATTTTTCTACAAGAAACCATTTTAGACAAACTACTGTAACCTCGTCGCCAGTTTTATTAGATTAGCCTAACTTTGGCCAATAAGGGATCAAAAGGATTCAGTCATTCTTTTTCTTGATATTGTTCTAGAGCTTGATCTCTTAAATTCCAAAAAAGAGCGAAGCGGGACTCGAACCCGAGTAAGAGATCGGCTGCCCGCTTTCTATACAACCCCTTATCCACTAGGCCACGGGCTCATGGCGGGCCCCGGCCGGAAAGGCCTTTTAAGCGGTGGTGAGCGATAATTCCTTTGTCAGTTAATACCAAAATTCGGTTGATTTAAATAAAACTAGCGGGATTATCGTGGTTTTAAAAGTTGACACGTTTTAGAAACAAGCATTCTTTAAGCATCCTTTAAACACTCTTTAAGCACTCTTTAAGCATTCTTTAAACATTCTTTAAGCATTCTTTAAGCATTCTTTAAGCATTCTTTAAACCCTCTTTAAGCATTCTTTAAGCATTCTTTAAACATCCTTTAAGCATCCTTTAAACCCTCTTTAAGCATTCTTTAAGCATTCCTCAATTTCTCACTCACCTCTTCCACTGAATTATTTGGCGCAATGATGGCGACAAAAACGGGAATCAACAAAACGAGGAAACTGTTTGTTAAAGTGACGACAGCCATTACGAAATGAACATGTTGACGGGCTACCTGGAAATCGATTTTTCCATTAGGCTCTCAATGTAGAAGTTTTTTATAGATTTTTACCGAAAACACATGTTTTCACTCTCGAATTTGCAATGAAAGTGAACCCAAAATTGAGTTTAAAAAGGTGGAAATTCAACAATAAACACTTTTTGTTAAGAACAAACGATACCGTAAATACTGTAATAGCCTCACGCCCATAATGACGGTGCGGAGTGTTGCGTAGCCTAGCTTTGAACGCGTTTTTCTTGACACTGGTTTAAGCTAGAATTTGCGCATAGGTATCAAAAAATAGCTGAGATTCAGGGCTATTTTTTTTTGCTATCAAAAAAGCATTGAAAGTCCGAACGCTTTGAAAAAAAATGCAAAAAACTTTGCGACAACGAAGGAATGGGTGAATTTGTATAATTATATGGGCACAATTACAATATTTACGGTAGATTAATTGGTGTTGTTATTTTTAAATAGAAAAGACTTTCTGGAAAGCCTAATATGTTTGAATTAGTGAAGAATGGACACCTACCAATTGAGCGCAACGAATGACGCCGACAATGTTCAAGCCGCTTGCCGCGATCGCTATTGTGTAGAGAACTTGCGCCCAAGAGAGTTGCTCGGTCTGGAAAATTGGTGTATAGTCACTAATCACTAATCACTAAACACTTGTTATCCCATCAGTTTGTAATTTTATGGTACCATAATTATTCCAAATTATTCTTTAGATAAGTTTAGATAACTTTAGATGGATAACTTGGTACTTGTCGGTTCTACATCAACAGAGAATCCACAGACTCAACTCGGTTAAGCAAGGAGCTGACAACTTGTGAGCGGTGATTATGTTCAGTGAAGTAGAGTGAAGTGATCAGTCGAACGATCGATCGCCTGAAGTGATCAGTCGATCAGTCGAACGAAAATCGATAACCCAGAAGACTCGCATGGGGATGCTTAACTGGGATGAGTCTTTGTGGATGTACAACCGACAAGTACCGATAACTTTTCTAAACATTTACCCAAGCCAATCCCAGAATACAGGCGGCCATGATCCCCTGGGAGATCGAGGTGAAAAGAACGATTTTCGCCGTTTCTCCGATGAACGTTGTTCGATCGGAGAGCGGGCCAGCGATGAACTAAAATTCTATTTTAAAGAATCACCTTACACTTTAGATTCTTAGTTAAATATTTTACTTTTAGACTTTATAAGAAATCGTACCTTCACGAGAAACGATAGAAAATAGGGAAAAGCGGTGGCTAAACCCGTTGAAGCCACTTCCATGCCCATTGCCTAGAAAATTCTGAATTCTGAACTAGAAATGGTGTGTTTACAGATTCAAGCGCAAAGTACACGATTAGTTTACATTTTTTTTTTCTTACTTGATTCATATATATTGGCCCATATTGGAAGAACAATTGAAAACCGAGATTTCCGCCGATTGAGGAGCTGAGGAACTAAAAAGAGTCTGGATCAAGTTCTGTGAGAAATTCTGGTTTAATCACTCTTTCCTTAACTCTATTACTCCTTCTTTAACTCTATTAGCAGCAAAATTTAGAAAGATAAGGAACCAAATTTAGGGAGATAAGTAAGCAACCTTTGAGAGATAAGGAACCAAATTCAGATTTCATAAATCGATTTCATAAATAGACACTTTAAATTCTTGTAATCAGTGCCTAACAAACCCCAATAATCGCCGGTGTTGTCATAATTGCTTTGTATGGGACGGCTTCGCGCTCTTTTCGAATCTCTTTCCCGGCTTGAATATGTGAGAGTTCACGGACGGAGACTTTTCTAGAAATAATAAAATAATCAAGGAATCAAGGAATCAAGTAATAAAGAAGTAAAAGAAAAGAAAAAAAGTGGAAATTCTGAGGAGGGATTGAACCCTCGACCTCTAACCTCCCGAATTTCCAAGCTTAACCACCGAGCCATGCCTCAACTTTTGCAACGAGAAGAAAAAGAAAATATAAGGGTGGAAGAGGAAAAAAAGAAATATCTTTTCTCACCGATGCATGGCCGGGTTATTTTTGTAGTATTTGAAGTAAATGACGAAGAACAAAAGCGAGATCAGACCCTGGAATGGGATACGGTAACTTTGCTGCCTTGTAGTACTTATAGTGGTAACTTTGCTGCCTTGTAATACTTATAGTGGTAACTTTACTGCCTTGTAGTACTTATAGTGTTAACTTTGCTGCCTTGTAGTACTTATAGTGGCACTTATAGTAGTATGGAAACTACAGTCTACAAGATTTCCTTACCATTAAGTAGTAGACACTTCGCCAGCCTAACGTTGAATCACAGAGAACGCCCGACACCGGCATTGCCATCATTGCGGCAAACTGAAACAAAGTTTGGCTAGTGGATCAATGCCATAATCTGGCACTACAGTAAACTCTTACTTTAGTTTTATTATTCTTAGATTACTAGATGTTCTACGACTAATAAAGAAGTGAAGAAATTAGCAAGAAAAAATAGATTTCCGGAGAGGGGATTGAACTTTTTGCTTGACCTTTTCCGACTTTTGTTGACCTTTGTTGACCTTTGTTTCCCGGGCAATTGCTCTAATTACTGAACTATCATGTACCTTCTTGCAAGAGAAGAAAGAGGAAATAAAAGGGGGAAGAGAAAGAAAGAAAGTATCAGCCAGAGCGGATCAGCCAGAGCAGCTGTAAGCCAGAGCAGCTGTAAGCCAGATAAGCTGTAAGCCAGAGCAGCTGTAAGCCAGAGCAGCTGTAAGCCAGATTAGGTCGGGTTAAGGCCAAGGTTAAGAGCAAGGTTCAGGTATGTCTTTGACTGGCCGAAATTTTGTAAGCCAATCAAGCAGAAGCCAATCAAGCCAAGAAGCGAGATTCAAGGCTAGCTTTTGGCTAAGCTAAGTCAGTCCAAGCTCGACTTTTAACCCAACCCTGGCCTAGAACAAGTCTTAGAACATCCCATATGACTGTATCCACTGTATGACGCCGCTTTCTTTGAAGTTCGGGCGCGAAAAATGAAGTTTTATACTGTATAACTGTATGTTTGCTTTTTCAAAGATTAAAACCAACTAGTATAATGGATAATAGTATATCTGCTAATAGTTTTTAGTCCAATTATAAACCTGTAAATGACACGAGAGAATCGCGATGTAGAAACTGCTTTGATCTAACGGACTCCACGCCTCAGAAATGCTGCCTAATAAAGGGTAATTGATGGCAATGGCGGCACCCTAGATAAGCTTTGATTATAGAAATTATTTTCTGAATTACCTGTAAAACACGGATTAAAGCCACCGCCCAGAAACCGCCAAAATCGACGGAAAGCGGGAGTAAAAGCGTTGCGATCGTTGAGAGAAGACCGTAAGCAGTGAAAGAAATCCTAGAATTACCGTAAAGGAGATTACGATAGCGTGCCCAAGCTACCTAGGAACCACAAAGAGCTAAATAGGAATCAAATAGGAACCAAATAGGAACCTAACTCACTCCAACTATGATACACGAATTACTGTTGGAATTGGATTACTGGTTACGGGTGGAGACAGAATTAAACCAGTTTACGAACCAGTTACGGTAGATGGGTAACACTTTAGAGCGTTCACCCTTTGACGTTCAAAAATATTGATACCGCTCATATCTCGGCGCCCAGAAATTTCTTTCTGCGCGCTTAGGTAACAAATTAAAGTAGAGTGAATGAGTGACCCAAGCGCGCAGAAACAAACGTATTGGTGTCAAGATATGAGCGTTTGTTTGAGAGTAAACTTAGACTACGCAACGCTCCTATAGCGGCGCTTCTATTAGAGTAACCCACCTTGTCCCAAAACGTTGCATAATGTGAATGAGTGGGAAAGTGCCTAGCAGCGAGCCGAGAGCGATCGCCGAGAAGAGCAAATTTTTCTTTGACGCTTGCTCCAGCCAGTGCTCAGATTTATCCGTTTCTAGGAATGTTGATTTTAGAATAGAATTCGTGCTTACCATTGCTTGTCATTTGTTTCACATTGTCCTCATCGATCACGTCATTCATACAGATTACGGTGAAGTTTAGGATCAATGAATTTGAGCAGGTCAACGTGAGGCAAAGAGTTGAGAGAATGAGAATAAGATAACGGGTACTGGAATCCTGGTCCTTGCCTTTTTCACTCATTTTGGGAGATCTGAAAGACGTTGAAAGTTTTATTTTCAAAAAGATCACTTTATAAGACAAGATATATAATCGTTATTCGTTATAAGATCACGTTAAAATTTTTGAATGAATCGTCATGATTTGAAAGTTCATAACTTTGTCGAGAGATGATATTATTCTTAACTTTTTATATTATTGGATTCAGGACAATCCGGGCTTTTGAATGATACTAAATACAATTTGATTTGACAATTCGGTCCAGGTCAATTCGGTCCAAATCAAAGCCAACTCTGAGCTTTGATCTGACGAGGTCGAGGGATGAAGGCTGGTTTGTATGGAAATGAAAAATCAAATCAATTCTATTTGATATCATTCAAAACCCTAAACTGTTCTCAACCCAATGATATAAAAAGTTAAGAATAATATCTCTTGACAAAATTATGGAGTTATAAATAATTATAAAAAGTTACAGGCCTTTAAAGCATCACGACTAGACATGCTGATATTTTTTGCCGAGTCGGATCCAAAATCTCAAATTTCAATTCAAATCCGATCAAATCAAAGCAAGATTTAGCTAGTCTTTTTTATCGAGGACCCTAATAAAATACGTTTTTGCATTAAAGTTTGAATAATTTAAGGAAAAAAAAGAGAGAGAAAACAGGTTAACAACTGGGGAACGGACTAGAAAACTTTAAAAGAAAATGTCAAAAGAAACTAAGTGAAAACATTAAAATAATGTCTGGGCATTCATCTTCTGAATCTGATTAGTTGTTGAACTATTTTGGAGCGGATAAGATTTGAAATCTCAACTTTTCGGAACGGAACGGATCGGATCAAATTGGATCGAATTGGATCGGTTCGGATCGAAATGGATCGGACCAGATTGGATCGAATCGGATCGGAACGAATCAGCTCGGATCGAGTCAGATCGAGTCGGATCGAATCGGATCGAATCGGATCGGATCGAATTGGATCGGACCGGATTGGATCGAATCGGATCGGAATGAATCAGCTCGGATCGAGTCGGATCGAATCGGATCGGATTGAATCCGATCGAGTCGGATCGAATCGGATCGAGTCGGATCGAATCGGATCGGATCGAGTCGGATCGAATCGGATCGGATCGGAACGAATCAGATCGGACCGGAGTCGGATCGAATCGGATCGGAACGAATCGGATCGAATCGGATCGAGTCGGATCGAATCGGATCGGATTGAATCGGATCGAATCAGATCAGATCGGATCGAATCGGATCGGATCGAATCGGATCGGATCGAATCGGATCGGATCGAATCGGATCGGATCGAATCGGATCGATAGGATCGGATCGATCGAATCGGATCGGATCGCGATCCGTTTTGATCCGTTGAATAACATGTCTAGTGGATAGCACTCATTCAAAATACCCGGAAACAAGAGCCGATAATACTTCTAGTTAGACAAAATGATAATCTAGATAATCTATATAATCAAATATTTCGCTGAAAGTCCAGTGAACATCGAGACGAAATTGTCGTGAAGGGGTATTTAAGGGGTGTTGAGTTGAGATGCAAATCCCGCACAATGTAGAGTTTTTGAAGTGACAAAAGAGAACCCAATACTTTGTTGCGTGTCATGATGATGAAAAATCTTGGGTAATCGCTCTTTGCACGTTCAGCAGATGATTTTTGTATGTGTTTTCTAAGTCTTGGATCAATTCCTAGTTTTTATCCAATCAGTAGGAAGATTGCGGGAGTATTTAGACACTTGGCACGTTTTAGAGAAAGCAGAACGAAAATTTGATTCGAAATTTGGGTACTTTAGGTACTTCTTTAGTATCCGGTAACGATTTTGGCAAACTGTCACTGACTTTTGTCACTGATTTAGTTTGGCACTGATTTAATCATCTTAAACTTTTCCAATTTTGACTTTAAAGCATTATTAAATACCGTAAATAATCTAATCGTACCCCAACCGCATAATGACGGTGCGAAGTGTTGCGTAGTCTAGCTTTGAACAAGTGTTTCTACAAGTAAATCTTGGTAAATCTCAAAAAAAGATTCACTGAGCTTTTCTCGGCACCAATTCTGTTTTAAGTGACCCCAAAGTATACAAAATGTAGATAATTTTATTCTGCATTCAATAAGAATAAGAAACACGTAGAAACTTAACCGCAGAGGGGATATTTTTGCTATGGCGCTGTTTTGGTCGGCTCCTGTTTTTCTCTTTTTTGTTCAATAAACGATTTTGGGTACGTTCTACCGTAGGCCTTTTGATGACGCGTTCTAAAATGCGCCCTTTCGTATATTTAAAGAGACTTCTTGCGATAAATTTCATTCTGTTCATTTCATTCTGTCCATTTCATTGCCGATAAACCTATTCTTACCTACGAGAATGTGCATAAAAGAGTATTTTGTGGCTAGAAAAACTAAAAAAACGGGCGGTGGTTACTTTCCGTCAAATTTTTTTGCGCAACTCGAGTCATTTGCTCAAATTTTTTGACTTTTCGTGATATTTCGTCAAATAAGAGCCCTTGTTTTTGCTAAATTGTTTTTTACGTATTATTTTTAGCTCAAATTGACATATAATAGCAGAAAAAAAATCAGCTGGTCAAAAATAAATTTTTTTAGAACATTTATTCAAAAAAAACCTTACAAAAGTGGTCATAATTTTAGGTTCACTTGAGAAAAAATAACTTTTTGCTTCTACAATTTTTTCGTTATGTTTCTTTGTTTTATTCCAATATTCACTTAATTTTTTAGGTAATGAGCAAAGGAAAAAGGCTTTCTGATCAAGAGAAGGGTCGCATTGATGTCTTGAAGAGAAGCAATTGAAGTAATCGAAAGATCGCCAAAGAAATGCAACGTTTGCTCAATTTGGTAAACTCGTATCCCAAGAATTCGATGGGATATGGAAAGAAGAAGCATACAGAACGAAAACCGATCACTACCAAGCGAGAACAACGATTGATCGTTGTGAGGCTTAAAATCCGACACTGACTTCTCCGCAAATCAAGGCCAATTTGAATTTATCTTATCGTATCTTCTCGAACGATTAGAGGGGTGATTAACAAAATTGTTTTGCTTTATATTGTGTGATCCGATGAAAAGAAATTCAATCGTGACGGTCCAGATGGCAATCGAGATTATTGGCACGATTTGAGAAAGGATAAACTTCATTTTTGCGCCGGAACTTCAAAGGAGGTGGCGTGATGGTGTTTTGAGGTGTATTGAAAACAACATGCAAAGTCAAGGCCAATCGCGTTTTTCACTCAAAACTGGTAAACCCTTATGAAGATAATGATCATTTGCCTCCAGATTATAGAAAAGAGGTAATTTAACCAGAAAACCACGGTAACCCGTCAAAAGAAAAGTTTTACTGTTAGTAATGGACGCTTACCTGGTTGTGATCACGTTCAGCACTTGTCTCAGCTTCTTGTTTACATTAGAAAAGATTAATTGTTATTATCTTTTCTGTTTTGTTGTTAATTTGGTTTATTTGAATAAATTTTAATAAAAAACAAAGCTTGTAATATTGGAAATGAAGCTGAGGAAAAAAAAGGCCAGAAAAGGTGAAAAAAGTGCTATGGAAGTTTTTAAGATGTTTGTGAAAGTTTTGAAAATAGTGCTTCAAAATTTTGTGAAAAACCTTGGTTAAAATGTGTTGAAAAGTTGCGCAAATGTATCCATTTGCGCAAAAAAAAATTGGCGAAAAGTAACCACATCCAAAAAACGCAATGGAATGAAGCTTTTTTGAAAAGTGAAACCACCAAAATGTGTTTTTTTCGTGCCTGGAGTGACCGATTGGAAATTTTTAATACAATTCGGGTTTTTTTGACATCAATTTGGTCATTGTTAATGATCTTTCCTTCTTACAAGAACAAAATTTACCGATTTGAAGAGTTAAAGCACACTTTTTGCCCTAGCTTTTGCCTTTGGTGGCTAGACTGCTGAAATTTTGCAAATGTAAAGCCTCAAAAGTTTCGCAAAAAAAGCCGGAATAACAATGGTCAGTGATATTTGAACATGAGTTTGTGAGTTCGATAAGTGCTCGTTTCACTTCCGTTTCTTAAAACGTGTCTTTCTACCGTAATCTTTATCTTTTTGTCTGATTCTCTGAGGGTTCACGAAGAATATCTAAAGATATAAAAAGTGAATATGTAGATTGAATAAAAATTAGAGAAATTACGATAGTTTGAAGAAAAGGGACACGTTTTAGAAAACGCACTGCCTGTACCATGATTCGGCATTTTAAAAAATTAGATATTCATAGATTTGAGCCAAGAAAAGAAAGCTTTTCTCGATTCATCAGCCCCGTGTGAAAGCTTTAATTAGTTTTTCCACTGAAAAGGTGGAAAAGAGCAAATCTGCTCTCTCTTTTTGACCGTTCTCGCTTTTTATCCCTTTTCCAACAAGATTGTACTAACGTTTTGTGTTTTTAGTATTGTTCCAGCAATTCCAGTACTGTTCAACAAGTTTAAAACTTTTCGATTTAACTTTTCTTTCATCTTGAATTGGATTTGAAGCTGGAAACCGTTTTTTCTAAAAAGTGTTCATAGAAAAACTACTTAGTTTTTGATTTTAAAGAAGCCATGCTGCGGTAGCTTCTTTTAAAGAGCACCTTTTAGAAAACGGAGGGCGGTACTTTGCGCAACTCGCTATAACTTTCTTCTAAGTTGGCCAATCTTTATGTTTTTAGTGTCATTTTGTTGCATTTGTTGAGATCTACAAAATGACACTAAAGACATAAAGATTGACCGATTTAGAAGAAAGTTATAGCGAGTCGCACAAAAAATTTTGGAGCAATTAGCCACCTCCAGAAAACAAAGCTTTTAATAGAAATTACGGTAGCTTTTTCTGAAGCGCATCTTTTAAAAAACACTGCCTGACAAATTTTGTCCAATCACCTCTTGAGCTTTCTTCAGCTTTTTATCCGTTTTTCCACTCTAATTGCTCACCATTCATCTCCGGGATTACCTACCTGAGCCTACTAATCCCGAAAATCGATTTGCGACAAATCGGGGCTCATTTTTTTAAACTAAATTTTAAGCGAATCTTGAAGTTTTCGAGCAGAACCCTTCTTTTTAAGCAATTTTTGCAAATCGCGTTATCTTTTGTCTTTTTTACCCCCGGTTGCCCCTCTTTTTGTTGGGCTACTCTGGCTGAACGCCAATTTTTGAAAGACTTTATGGCGGCAGCCTAGCAAAGCGTTACTCGTTCGATTTGGCCTTGTTATTTTACTAACTTTACCAAGATTTGTTCTTTTTTCAAGCTTTTATCATCAGTTTATTGACTTTAATACTAAAATTTAGACAATTCATCGCTTTTGAGGCGATCAGAGCCACGGTTGGCAAAACACGATGCTCGACAACTCTTCGGTGTTTTCGGTTGGGGTTTTTGAAAAGTTTTATGAAAATCTAGCGAAATACAAGCATTTCACTTATTTCTAAACAAATGATTTTTCAATTTTAAGGATTTGTTTTAAACTATTTGACTGCTTAACATTGTAGCTATTGAGTTGGAAATATAAATTTACTCGAGGTTTTAGTACGTTTGATTAGCTAAAGTCATCAGACTGACAATATCGTATATAAAACTTTTTGAAAAGTCATTAATTTGCTTTGTTTAGATGCCAGATGTTGTCCCGTATTCGCTCGAAGTGAAAACATCGTCACCGAAAAAGGGAGTTGCGGGTAAATTGTTTGACAAAGAAACCAAGCTGAAAACGTGCCTGAAACTGGGAGTATGATTTTGGCAAAGATTTATTTGTTGTGCTGCTTTCAAAGCCGGTAAAACACTGCTTTAACTTTGGAAATCTAGCTGTTGATTGGAATTTATTAATATAGCTTTAAAAATAGTCCTTTTTGAGTGCTAAAACAAATGTATGCTTGCTAAAGTTGCAACCATATTTGAATTCTGAATGAGTATAATTGAAAACCGTATAACCTTGCTAAAATTCAACTTCAACTTTAGCTATGGTGTTGCCGATACCTGTGCGCCCTTCTCGTGGATCGAGCAGCTTCACATACAAATCGAAACACGGGCACAATGTGGGTTTTTCAATAACGCTTTTAAAAGCTTGCATTGTAGGAAGATGCACGTTATGCTATGGATATGATTGAAAATTTTGAGCTCAATCTGCACAAGAAGAAAGGTGCAAAGGAGCGGGTTTGGATTTTTCGAACTTTTCCTTTAATTTCTGCTTAAGGTAGCTTTGATGGATTTTTCTGAATCATCCACCAGCCCTTCGCCGGTTTCTTCGTGCGGAACACCGACGTTGGAGAAGAAGATTCAAAAGTAGGGTTTTATTCTAGCTTACTAAATTGTTAAATTATTAGTAGGTTTGTTAAGGAATTTGGTACTTTGGTGGTTTGGAGGGGCCACTTTTATCATTGCTTAGTTGGATCTAATGTTTTGAGTGGTTGTATTGATACCTTTTATTTACGTATTCTAGGGTAATCAAATATGCTTATACTTTTAGGCCATGTACACCATGTTTTTATTGCCGCTTTTATTTGATTTTTAAGTATAAGCTGCTTTGCGTAGCTTTTGGTGGTTAAAGTGCATAAGATTAGGCTAGAATTGCCAAAAACTTGCTAAAATAGTCACCAATCTATTAAGCAGATTTAGAATAGATAAAAAGTATTAATACAACCACCTAAAACATTAGATCTAACTAAGCCAGGATAAAAGTGGATCCTCCCAACCGCCAAAGTACCAGAAATTTAGCCAAAATTTGATTTGTTAAGGTTATAAAACGATGTTCGAAATCTTCCCTTTCTAAACAGTGATGCATATTTTTGTTTAGGAATACACAACTCTTGGAAAAACTCCAACATCAAGTCGAGCGAAGGGCACGACTTCAAATGCAAGCGGAAAGGGATCATGTTGAGCTGATGAGCTCAAATTTCTTCTTGGCGCCTCCGTCAAGTATATCGTTTGATAGGTAAATGATAACAAAAGTTTGCCATTATAAATTAAAATATTTTCAATTTTTAGTAACCAGATGCAACAAGCTTTGAGCTTATTAATTTTATGGTTAATTTTTTTATAACTTTCTCTTTTCAGGGGAACACCTGTGAAGTCCGAGATGGAAATTCACCGCGCTGCCTCGAGTACGAAGATTTTAAATGTAAATCTAATCTTTGTTTTCTATGTAAATTTGCTTTTAGACTCAACCATCGACCTCGCAACTCCATCAGCAGAACTCTGTCTTTTTATCGAGCCCAAGCAGCATTGAGCCGCTCGTCTACGACAAGCAGCAACAGGTGCTTGAGCCAAGACTAAAAGTGGGTTTATTCAGGTCAAAGTTAAAAATAAATTGAAGCATAAAGCCCCAATGATTTTTTAGACTTTGAAATTTGCGGATAGAGTTGACCGTCGTGAAACGAGATCTTTGGATGGAATCAATAAATTCACACATGACCACTCGGCGCAGGTTTATTCTGCAAGTTTCCCAAAGATTGGTAGTTTTTATAGGTGGACATCTCAAAAAGCACATTTGAGTTTGGATCCAACTTGAATAGACGAACGCAACCAAGTTACAACAAAGGAGCCGTTGATCGATCTGTTCAGGTATGGATTTTGTTTGTATTTATGGCAAAAAATTTTTGCTGTTAGGTTTATCAAACTACTTTCGACACAAAAAGGAAATCCGATTATGGTGGACAAGAAAATAGAGACTTGACATTGAATTTTGAGGTTTGAAGTTTTGGATCATCAATGTTATAAGTTGATTTAGGGGCTCACTATGGCACAACCCAAGCCAATACTGCTCAAGTCGATCAGCGATAAAGAGTTGCCAAAGATGAACGCTGAGAAAAGGTTTGTTGGGTGTTGCAGTACATCCTCTTCTAAGCATTTAACCTTTGTCTACTTGCTTTCTTTTAGAACCTCTTCAATGCCAAATGTCCGCACTTTGCCGGCTGCATTGGGCTTAAATAGAAACAAGACCCAAACTCAACCACAAGCCAAAGTATTTGCCCCACCGATGGATGTCGATTCGATCCCAAAAAAGAAAAAGATGCCGGTTAGCACAAAGTGAGTGTTAATGGTCATTTATGATACAAGTAATCTGGTAAAAGTCTTATGCATATTGTTCACCAGTGAAGACAAAATTTTAGAAGAACACTTGCTTCGGTTGGTTTTCGACAGCGACCATGTGTGACTACGCGGCCCAAGAAAACTATTACAAACGCTAGTCGCAAAGATGAAGGAAAGGACCAAGTAAGCGTCTTATCAATTTCATCAAAATACAGTCGAACTTCGATATAATGATTGCAAGGGACCGGAAAAATAATTCGTTATATCGAAATTCCTTATCGAAACAAATCGAAACAACAATCACTTAAGTTCTGTTGAAATTCGTTGTACAGAAATAGCCACTGGTTTTTTAACCGATTCTTGTCATAGAAGTTCTGTAACAAATTTATTTCAAAAGCAAATGATCGTTAGCTAATCAACAATTATCAACAATCAATTATCTAAAGAACATTTAAAAATCTGTTAAACGAGAGTACTTCTTAACAAGAGAAGCTTGTTCGTCGAAAAAATTGTCAATTGCATTCATTGCCGAGAAAGTTTTTGTTGTTCCGTTCTTTTTAATGTATCGTTGAACCATTTGAAAATGGTAATAAGCTTCACTTTGGGAGATTGAAATTTCTTCCTCAATCCTCAAATTTCTTCCTCTTTCTCACTTTCCGAAGCAATATTCATTGTTTGCAAACCTTTTGCTATTTCATCCAAAGTTTGAATTCCTGTTGTAGCAACATCTTCATCGACAAATGCAAAATCCATGGTCAATTCAGAAGTTCCCTTTGAAGACGATTGGTCAAGTAGCCTCTTCTTTAAAGCCAAATTGATTGATCGTCGAGTCGCTTTCACTCGATCCATCACCTAAAAATAAAGCTATTATTAAAAATGAAGAATAACAGGAAAAAGTACATTTAATAAAATTGTGGACAAGCAAAAAGTAAGCTAATTTTAGGAAACCCAACTCAATTTCAACAAAAATACAATAAATATTCACTCAAAAACTAAAATCCATTAAGCTTTATCTACATTTCAGCAAATAATTCGTTATAGAGAAATTAAGTATACGATAATTTATCCAGAAAATGTTCGTTATATCGAAGTTCGACTGTATAATGTCTTTAGGAAAAATCGTCGAAGAAGAAAACGTTTCCGTTTATTGCTACTTGTGTGGTAAGCTATTCAGAAAACTTTTCCATTGTTGATCCGTTTTAGCCCAATCAGCTATCCCATTCTTTGACGGCTAATCGACATCAATTGCTGGCTCTCTTGAAGCAGTATCTACCGAACCATACGGCGGTTGGTTTTTTTTTAAACTGTTTGAACCTTTCTAACTTTAGCTACGTAACATGGTGTTGAACATTACGGCTGGTGGTCGAGCAAATGTCTTCAAGAGTTTCACGACGATTTGCGAGACAGAAATGGCGACTTTAGATGCGAAATATGTGAAGACTTTAGAGTAAACATTGAATTTGATTTAATAATAATTTTCTGATGTTTTAGTGAGTATGAACGGTTGCCGGATGGAGACGAGCTAACACACGAGTTGGATCGAGAGATGGATCGCTTTGAGAAAGAATACGATGCGTTGAAAGCCGTGGTGAACAAGGTGAGATACATTTTAGTGTTTTTTTTTGCACAAGCTTGTTTGATTGGCGATAGTTTTTAGTGTGTGTGTGTTTCTCGCGAGTAATGCGCTTTCTTAAAGGTGATTGGTTTAGAAAGCTGCCCCGTAACCTTTCCTTTAGATTTTGTACGTAATTTTATCCCATTTAATGAGGAATGAAATGTGAATCGAATGAGATTAAAATTGAGTAAAACAGAAAAATCTGTAAGAAAGACCACAGTGGCTTTCTAAATTATTCCCTTTTAGAAAGCGGATTACTTACGAGGAACACAGTCTTACCTAGTGAGCTAAATCGTTTATTTTTAGTTAAAATCGATGACCAGCCCGTCCCGTCCACTGACTTCACACACGGATAATGGTGGAATCGTCTATCAAATGCGAATGATTCAACAAGCAATCTCTTCGTCTTTCGCTTTGTAACTCCTGAAATGTTTGCTCAATTTTTATTATTATATTAGTTTTTCTTACTTTCCGTATGATTCGTCTTATTTGTTATTTGTCTTTTTATGATGCTTATGATGATGCATTCACTCGATTTTTAATAAATGGTTAGAAAATTTGATTGTTTAGCGTTTAGTTGCATTTCTATTGGTTTTTCTTTGATAGACAAACAAATCATTGAGTGACTTATGGTTTTTTTAGTTCGTAGAGCTTTATAATAGATGCAAGATGGGGTTGGTTATCGCGGGAATATGTAAGTGGCTTTCTTCCGATTTTTTTGTGGGTAGACAGACCGTAAGGCTGTAGACGGTAGACGGTAGGTTTCCGATCGGCCAGAATCTGGGTTTAAGTTTAGAGCTGCGAATTCCTTTTTCTTGATGGAATTAGCATAAAAAAAAGATGAAAAAGGGTTCGCTCTTCATTTTACCGATTTTACAGCAGATTCTGAGATTCTTTTGCGGAATCTAAGCCACTTTTTTAGTATACTTTTCGTTTCGCTTGGTCAGCCGATATTTTACGATGTTGCAGCTTTGCTTCAATTGTGAGTTTCTCATGTTTTTTCATTCATTTTCACTCAGGGAGCGCCATTTTCGCGAGTTACCCATGGGGTCATGTGATTAATCCGATTGAAACCGAGGTGGGAAATGATTTTGAGTTTTAAAGTTTATCTTTCGCAGGTCATGCTGCTCGGCTTTAATTTGTTTGTCTTCATCTGCTGTCAGACGATCATCGTGTTCTGGGAGGATAATTGGGTGAAGAGTTTACTGTTTATCGCGTTATAGCCTACCGGACCCAAGAAACAAGTAAGGAGACCACAAGACTTTAATTTAACTTCTAATGAGACTAAGACCGTGGAAATTCCCACGATTGACATGAACTTTTTGACTTACGGCATATTTAACTTTTAAAGGTTTTACTGGCGTTTGATCTTGTCAAAGTCTCGGTCTTGGCAAATCCAAGTCTACTATCAATTTTAGCGTTTCTATCGCGAGATGAAGGCGTTTCGCAGATGGGGAAGACTGAAAAACCGGACTATCGACTACTTTTCCGATGTGGTCATGGGCGAAATGGGCGAACTGATTTGTTGAAAGTTTTAGTCGTTTTTGGTACTACATGCTCGGGGACAACCTTCCCAATTTGCATCAATAACTTTTTAACTAGAAACTGTCATTTTTTTCAGGTTTTTGGTTGCTGAACGCGTTCCTGGTAGTCCAGTCGGCACTTCTCTACCTCATTTGTGATGTCTACTACAAGGAACCGTTTGCATCAATGTATATCAATGTGTGAGTAATCATTTATTTCTGAATTTATGCATCTTTTGATTATTTTGCTCCAAAAAGAAATTTCGTTGTGTAACTGTCTCTGGTTTCAGCAAAAAGGCAGCCTTGTCTCTTAACACGAGCGTGCCACTTGCCACTGATGCCGATCATATAGTGTAAGTTTTGGCACTTATTCGCTGCCTTTTGATCTTTGAATAACGTCTCCCATAAAGATTACAACCGATGCACGCAAGCGTAGCCGCCCATGGCGATTCAATGCTTTCTTGGCTTTGGTAAACGATTTTTAGTCTTCACAATCCTCACCCTTTTAGGCACGACTGGACTTTGGTGCTTCAACAGTTAGCGATAGCGACATATTTTGTGAGTTTTTAGATTCCCATATAGGCTTCTATTAGAATTTTTTAGATGACTCTCAACCGCAGGACATCTTTCCGACGGAAATTGCTCCCGTTCTCGATTGCCGCCATTACGACGTTTCAACGCTGCGGTTATTGGTTCGATTCATGGCAAAGAAAAAAGATATACTTGTAGGTGTTTTTGTTAATAATAATTTATACATTGTTGTAACTAAATTGACGTTTTCTTTGATACGGGTGTAACCTTTGAAAGTGATTGTTTTTTTTGTGAGCAATAAAAGTGGAAACTTTATTCAGACAAAAGTTTAGTCAAAGTTCTGAGAAACAAATTGCAAAGAGAGAATATGAAAGAATAAATATAATTCCTAAAAGGTCCACAAGACGAAAAAGAAGAGGGTAGTTCAAAGATTGGGGGGGGGGAGAAGGAATAAATACTGTATTTGGGAATCGGTGTGAGCGTCAGAAAAGTTAAAACAGGAAAATGGTTCAAAAATTGGAATGCGTCTGTGGTGAAAATGACTGAAAATTGGTGAAGGGAAAACACAATTTGCGTGAAACTCGACAAAAAGAAATAAATATCCAGTCGAACTTCAAAGTTTCTCAACTTTGCGTTTTATTTGAAGCCCCGACTGTAGTACTAGAATTATGAGTGATTTGGGCACAAGGTGATGAATAAATAAATGTAAGATTTTGAAGAAAAAAATCGCTGTTATTTCATTGTGTGTGAGATAAAGAAGGCTAGATGTACAATAGAGAGATTTCAAAAAGGAAACCGATTAGCGATAGGCCATATTTGGGACGTACGCGTCGGCCGAGGTGCCCGCCGAAGTGGACGCTTTATTCTCGTCGCCGCCGTGATGTTGCCGCTTCAAGACCGCCGTTTTCGGGTTCAAGTTTCGCTGTCGCACCTGAGAATCGACTTTAGAAACATGAATTTATGGTAATAAAGCTAAGGATAAAAGTTATTAGGATCAGGAATGTTCCGAGCTTGTAAGCCAAACCAAGAGTCACGTCAGTGCCTAGCTTTTGGCCTGACCCAGAACAATCGCTTTTAGAGCATCGGGAAATCTACCTGTTCTTCCAATGTTGTGATCACTTGAACGGCTTGATGAAGGATGCCGAGCTTCGTCTGCGCTTTATCACCGCTGGCCTAAAACAAAAAATTTGGTGTAGCAAATTTATCGGAGTCTAAACTACCGTAACCTGATACAAATTATGTCTAATAGCCTAGCCATAAACACATTCTTGCTCACCTCTTGTGCTGCAATAACGTGAGCGAATCCGACTTGCAAATGTTGGTGACACATTCGGCCCAGCTCTTTGAACGCCGAGTTGATGTCACGAACGCGAATTCTAGAAATAAACAAATTTTAGTTTAAGTATATTTGTCAAATTTTAGTTTAAGTATATCTAAACACCATCCCACATTCACCAAACAAAAACGAAACAAAGGGCCCAGAAAAATCACAATAAAAACCCCACACCAAGCTTTTTTGCTAAACAATGTTGGGATTTTTGTCAAACTTCTTATTCTTTAGTTAGCAAACTTATATTTCGTGCACTTTCCCACCCATTCAATCAATCATACCTAGAATGTATTCCTCGATTAATGCTATCTAAAAGGCACCAATTTTAGGCAACTATCGTAATCTCACCGCCATTTTTCAATATATCAGCCCAATTTTTGTATCATTCGATGAGGGATCAAAAGGTTTAGTCAATGATACCAAAACTGGGCTGATCGGATTTGTCTAAAATAGGTGCCATTTAAAAAGTGCACTAATTGCGAGGGACAGACTCTAGCCATACCGTTCTCGTGCATTGTTGGCCAGTCTCCTGTCGAGAATCTCTCTATCATCGGACACGCGTCCCGTCTCATCTTCGGCCCCCAACGATGACGAGCATGAGCCACTCATGCGACTGTACTTGGCACGCCTTTATGTAAACAAATGGGTAAGATAGTAAAGTTTTCTGGTAAGTCGTTTTGGAGATCGTGTGATAAGAAACAGAAAAATTTTGACCATTAAACTAAAATAGAACCCAAATGCCTCACAACAACAAAACGTGCACTCAAAACAGAAGGGAAAACATGCAATTTTACAACATTATATAAAATTTTAGATTCACCAACCTTTCCCTCGCGTTATTCGCCGATCTTCTATCAACATCTCGATCCTCAGTCGATCGTCCATCATCGTCCGAAAAACAATCATCGCCCGAGGCGATTGACGGGGCCGATTTGATGCCTAGAAGAAAAAATGTAGCTTGGTTACTCCATAAAGTTAAAAACAACAATTTGATCAAATGATTACTTAAGCTCGGTCCCGGCGGAACAATTGGAGCCGAATTGCCGACACTCTTCATTGATTTTCGCTTCGGAGCCGCTCGAGTCGGTGTGGGCAAGGTGGCACTAAAGGAAAGTTGTACAAACTCGTTTCTAATCAATCTTATACAACTAGCAAAGTGACTTATTATCTTGAGTACCTAATCGTCGGAGCAACACTCGTCTGCGGATGAAGAATCGAGTAATCAAAGGAGGGCGAGGCGAGCGCTGGATTGAGAGGAATCGGTGCAGGGCATGGGCCTGGAATTGAAAAATGGTAATCACTAATACTGTAACTTAAATATCAATAAATATAAACAGTCTTGTAGTTTAAAGATAAATAAGTTCAATACAAAAAATAAAATCATTACCTGTAACTCCAGTGACTTGGGGTTGCAGAGCGGCGGCGTAACTCGACGGATCAACGGCACTCGGTCCATCCAAAGATCCGGGTAGACCTGGGGGCTAAAAAGAAAGGTTAATCGTAAAAATTCTACTTTTATTCCTAATTCACTTTTGATCCCTAAAATCACAATTATCTTCCTCGAACAATGCACCATTTCCCAATAAAGACCTTCCCAAAAAAGTCAAGGCCAAGAGAGACTTGTTTGCAGTGTATTTACTCGTGTCTTTCATGTTTTCTCTCCCATGATCAAAAGTGCCGATGCTAGGGAGACAGCTGTTCCAAGAAGGGGATTCTCCAACAAATTCCCCAAACCATGTAATTGGTGCTAATCTTGATCGGACGACAACAGGGGAGTGATGGGATTGTGGATTTTTGATTGATTTTGAGGGTTTTAAAGGTCTTAATCTAGGTTTTTGTAGGTCTTTCTCATTTCTCTTGGACAAAGCCAGTCTCAATATTTACTTGATTGCATCAAAATGCAAATTCCTCCCACCCAAAGAACAAAGCAAAACTTTTTCCCCCAAGACTTGCCCCATTTTTTGTGTGTACCCAAATACAAAAGTAATCCTTCTTGTCCGCTGTCAGTGTTTCTTCCACAAAAAATGGCAGTG